CAAGAATAAAACTAATAAGTTACACATATTCAGAAAAGGACACCCAGTTTGCAACATATTTTTTCTTCTTTCGTTAAAATTAGGCGATGAAAACTAGAAAAAAATCAATAAAGTCAAAATTTATAGCATAAGTAAGTTGAAAATAAGAAATTTTATGCAAAATTTCTATTGATTTACAAAACTGAAAAAGGAAATAAGCCAACGTAAATATACTAGAATATTTAGGGATTTGGCGGCCATCTTTGACGCCATCTTGGATATCTTAGCTTCGCATCGGGGTTGAGCAAAATGAATATCCATTCCAGAAACTACAGATCCAGACGAACATTTTGGTATATGAAACTTGCTGTTGGCTGACATAGACCACTTACCCCTCTAAATAGGCTAGTAAAATGGGCTGATTTGCAGCACTAAATCTGGCCACAACCATAACGACGAGCGTCATCTATATTTGGATATTTGAACATTTTCTACATATGATGAACATTAAACATCATAATCAAACATAAGCAGATACATCAATGAAAAAGAAAATGGAATTTTGCCAGTGTTCAAATATTACTTAAGCTCGAGAAAGGCATATACATGTAGTAGAAAACCCAGAAACATAAAGTTGCACGTGAAGTTGATCTTCAGCAGTTGACCACCTTGCTTGACTCTTCTTTTTCATGAGAAACATTGACCGAGGCCCATTTGAAATCTACCTCATAGAAACCGTAGTTTGCTTTCACCAAAGAAACATATATTTATAGTTGTATGTACAATGTTCTAGTTGTATAATGCTATCTTAAGTTAATCAAGATATGAGCCGCGTCATGACAAAACCAACATAGTGCGTTTGCGACCAGCATGGATCCAGACCAGCCTGCGCATCCGCGCAGTCTGATCAGGATCCATGCTGTTCGCTTACAAACCCTATAGCAAGTAGAGAAACTGATAGCGAACAGCATGGATCCTGATCAGACTGCGCAGATGCGCAGGCTGGTCTGGATCCATGCTGGTCGCAAACGTACTATGTTGGTTTTGTCATGACGCGGCTCATATATATTTTATATAATTCAAATGAATGACAAACAGAGACAGATACATGTACATGTTTTTGTTTCATAATGGGAACATTAAACATGACATGATTTGTATATGTTATTTGACAATATGGGGATCAGCTTCAGATGCCGGACATGATTAAATAGTTTTTATTTATAACTCACTATAACTTATTTTTTAACATGCTTTATTGACAGAAGTTGTCATGTATAAAGACTAAAAGTCCAGTTCGGGGGTTCGGAATTGAATCAGTTTGCGTTTAGTTGTACACTTAGGGGGAGCGGTAGCCGTGTGGTTAAGGTGTCTGCCTCTCAACCCAGAGATCATGGGTTCGAGCACTACTCGGGTCACGACCATGTTTCTTCATATGACACCAGTACTGGATAGTTCCAGGAAGCGGACTCGAAAGTGATCAATATTAGTTGTAAGAACTTGTTCTGCAATCGAGCTTAAATAAATATGTTTAAACCAAAGTTGTACACTTATGAAGAATTAAAATGTAAAAAGTTAGTTCTGCGTTTTTTCTCGTACAACACAACAAAATCTAGAGGATACGTGTATCCTTTTATGATATAGACATTACATTGTGCCCAATATGTTAGACAAATGTTGATTCTGTACAATACTGTTCTACATATGGATTCCATCGGGATGTTTCAAATACAGGGCATGAATTCTTGATAACATTGCTACAAATTATCTTGGTAAGTAGGTCATACAAATTATGGTCAGTATGTCTGTAAACTGTGGTTTAACCTTGCTAATAATTGATATATTATTGTATTAATTGTGTAATAATAATTACTATATACATATGTATATAACGCGGGGTGATCAATAAAACCTCGAATGGAGAGAAATGAATTATCGCAAACAGCTGCTAATACATGTTTTATCTGCATGTAAGGTAGCAATGTTGTCGTTCTCATATAAAAAATAAGTTACAATTATTTTAATAATAAAAAATAATGTCTTGGCTCTAGAATAATAATGTCTTGGCTCTAGACAAAGTTATACAGAAAAGAAACAGAAGAAATGCAAATTGATTTCTACTAGTAGTTATTTTTCATCATAAGTATGTGTATTAGCTTTTAAACAAGCTACTATTGCATTTATCAACAAGTGTATAAAATATACAAGAGGCTGACCTAAAGTGATAACCGGCCTTGAATAAATAATGTCCCCTGGGGCTAATATTCATTGAGAGGGTTCCGGCCTTACTTAAACTTGTGATGTATTTACGTTTTAATACTGGTGATAAGAAGTAAGTAATGTTGTTGTTGTTGTTGTTGTTGTTGACGACGACTATCAAGCATTATGATATGACAGTAAATCTAAGAAAGGGGGGGGGGCAATCGAAACAATATTAATAATTAATCTATTACGTTTTATAACTATGTGCGCATGTAAAAACATGCACGAGCACTCAAAGCGGATATAACTTGTATAAATTAAATGAAACTTGCTCTGAAATACATTAAGATAAAAATTGAAACAAAAATCATCTGCTGAGGAAATGCATTATCTAATTAAAAGTGCTAGGTATAAAATATTTTGACTGAATAATGTGTGGCTTTTAACTGGAGTCACGCCTGGTCAACGTAATTCTATTAGAAATGATGTGCATTTTGAGCAATTTATTTTATAGATTTAAATATCAAAATACATAGTATAAAAGGGCTGTAATTGTTAAACCGCAGATAATATCTATCTTTAATACATGTAAATTTATTTATTTGCATAATATCAAAGCTAACGGCAGTATGTAGGCCCTGCATGGTCACAGTGTACGGGCGTGGTTTCTACCCTTGGGTTTTATTACTGGTAAACGCTAGTTACGTCCTGCTCCACTTCCGGCTCCACCTGGTTCAGGATATTATCATTTTTAGTTTTTAAGTGTTATTTTATAAACTTTAGGAAGTGGAATAATCACATTAATGACATAAATTAAACGTGTTGAATGATTAAAAAAGCATACTCTAAGTAATACTCTCTTGAAAGGGGCCAGATATGTCAATAAAATATAAGTATCAAAAGAATTTTAGTGTTGCATACGTTAAAGCAGCCTGACTACAAATTCGTCTATGAAAATTTAGATAGACTTGTAGTGCTATAAAAGTTAACATATTGTATTGCAGGTGAAATGCGGCGACTAAACTGTTCTTTGGTGAATTCAAAGTTGGTTACTGCCGTGATCCGGAGAGTACACTAACAACAACACCACCATCAGTAGAGTTGAACACATGTTTAAACTGGTAAAAAAGACATAAACTTAACTCAGAATTACATAATTGTATTTTACTTATTAGAGCATTTTAAATTGCAACGCATATGAAGGCTTATTTTACACTTGACATAAAGTGACACCTAGAATCGTCCGTCGACACTAAAGTTTTTTAGTAACGATCATTTTCCGTAAAAGCTATACGGAGGGTCAACGTTTCATTTTAAAGCAAATTTAGAGAAGAAAATAATATCAATAAATACAAGTAAATTGATACTCAATCCCTTTCCTATTTACATTTACAGGCATCTATTAGATTTTACGGTGCCACCCCGGTACGGAATTAGACCATACCAATTTCAGTGTAAGAGTTCTTAAGAATTTTGAAGTGACTCATTTTTAAGCCATATCTAGCTTGATTATTCATATTTTTATTGTATTTATTGCATCTGTATATTTTTCGTGATATCTACTGACTTTTAAAGTTGTTTTAAGTTAATTCTTCAGAACCTCATTTCTGTCTGGAAGGTTTACAGGTGTACACAGGCCCTTTTATTGTCTTGTTTTTCGGCAAGGATTGAAGGTTCCGGGATTAGATTAGACTGGTGCACTCTAGAATATACTATAGTTACAGTATAAGGGCGAAAGTAAAGTGGACCGACACCATTTAAAAATAATATTCGTAAAATTTATGTGCACTTTTAATAGATGAATATGGGAAATAAATTAAGAATGTTAAAATTGAATCCTTAGTTTGCTTACTATTACACTGGTCATCTAGAGACGTGAAGGTTTATACCTATGTCTGATACTGTAATTTGCAAATCATATTCGTAAGTGTAAAAAATGTTTTGTTTTTTTTCGCGATTATAGATCAATGCGGGGGTAAATGAGGCATATTTAAAGTGACACTTAACGCAGATTTTATCTTCTAATGACCCTTGAGTTCATATACAGGTGATTTTATTGTCCTTCAAAGTCAAGAAAAAAATCATGATCATTATTTTTTTCAACATTATTATTATCTTTATCATTATTATTATTATTATTATTATTATTATTATTATTATAAATCATTCATCATCATGTTCAACTTATTTCTTCTTATTTTTTCTTCTTCTTCATCATCATCATCATCGTAATTATTATTATTATTATTATTATTATTATCATTATTATTATTATTATTATTATTTTTGTTGTTATAAATCATTCATCATCATGTTCTACTTAATTCTTCTTATTTTTTCTTCTTCATCATCATCATCGTAATTATTACTATTATTATTATTATTATTAAATCTTCAACGAAGTGTGTCTATTTACGTTTTCATATAGACAGGTCGAAAATGCAACTTCATTCATTTTAAATACGAGCTTATATGCAACAGAATCCCTTTTCAAACAAACCCAACAAACTAATAGTGTATGTTCAAGATATTTTCTTTTGAATTATACCTATTTATAACTAGAGATATAAAGCTATTTAGAAAATTGTGTTAAGGATATAGATTTTTGCCTTAATTGAAAATATGAATTATCAGAATAAAGGAAAATATTTTTCACCCTAGAGACCTTTTAACGCGTCAAAATCTCGCCTGTGTGGTAAAAACCGTTTGCACTTTGCGTCGGGCTTGTTGTTTAACCGGGGTGTGAATTTTAAACGGGACCCGGGTTTGGGCCCCGGTTAAAGTTTTTTTTAAGGGACATTTTTTCTTTTGAAAAAAAAGGGGGAAAATACATAGGTGACTGCATGAATAAATGAAATAGTACATATAAAACACGAAAAACGGGTTTACTAGAGAGAGATAAAGACCTTTTAAAGATACCCATGAGTGGTGATAAGATACCAATCTCATACAAAATTAGTTAATTTAGTTAACTTCCTAACGAGTTACTCCATTGCCGTCTTGATTGGCTTATTTTTGCAAAACTATTACGGAGATACGGTTGGACCTTTGTGGTAAGTATTTTTTGTATATTTTTTAAGACAGAACAAGATTCCGTTCACCGGAATATGAAAATAATATCCATGAGTGCGTGAATATGATGTTGTTTTTTACATTTATTTTAGAGGGTACATTGAAGCTTAAATGCTTTTTGACTCTAACTTCAAATATACGACTTTATATAATGATATATCAATGGATTAGTCATTTTTACCTTTGCAAAGTATTTAATTGATATGTAATAAGGTCGTGTGCTGTATCGTTTATTTGCTTATTTATTAAACATCATTTTTCTTGGTTACAGTTTATCGCAAAAAGATAAATTATGTTTTACTTCAGCAATAACGAAAATATTTTAAGAAAATTAAAACTTCAGAGAAATGTACTAAGATTTAAAGAGAAGTTAAAAGATTTAGCATTCAAGTAGTAATTTACATGTTGCTTTTTTGCGATTCAGCACTTAATATTATGTAGTATTTGTCGTCTTATTTTCTACTGCGTCACTTACGTAGAAAGAGCTACTTTTCCTTACTTTAATGAATTGCTATGTGTAAATTATTTTCTTTGTTCAATTCACAATATTTTACTTTTAAATATTTTATTTTAAATTTTCATGAAATTTAGCATAAATCAGGAGGCATGTTGGTATAAATGTACATTCAAGTTAATATGATTGCTAATTATATATAGAAAGATGTTCAAACACGTGTTTAGAATGTAATGTATACATGTATAAGTTGCATCAACTTTAAGTTCTTGGATAGAAATGTTATTATTTTGTTGTCCAAAAAAATGAAAAAAAAAAGTAAAAAAACAAATCGATTCAAAATCTTAATTTTTAATTATTTTTCTATTTATTGAAAATAAAAAGAAAATCAAGCAAAATAAATATAACTATATTCTTGAAATCATTTACATGAATGCGAGATATGCGACATTCTTTCAACTTAGAAGATGATTTTCACTTTTTATTTAAATGTCAATGTTATGAAGATATGAGGAAGAAATACATTAAAAGATACTTTTTTAAAGGCCTAGTGTGTTTAAAATGATGCAGCTGCTAACAAATAAAAATTATACAGTAATAACAAATCAAGCAAATTATATTAAAGCCGCTACATACGTAATACTTTCACTGATAAGTAACTGATATTCACGTGCATTATGCATCGTTTGTATACTGTTTCACAATATTTATCCTCTCTATACTGTTTAATCTTAATTGATATCAAATAATATGATTACAAGCAAATGTTCTTCAGATTTTTAACACTATAAAATTTATCATTTGTTTGTTAAAATGGTTTCTCGACCTATGCACCTGATAAGATATACAAAATATGATTGCATATATGTATTTATTGTATGATTATGTATACTTTTGTACAATTCCTGCTTAGTTCTACTTAGTTTGTATTTTTGTGCAATCAATATATTTTTCGTGTGTAAACATAACCATGTGACATGATATATTGTATTATAAATATATTTGCAAGACGATGTATATGTACAAGTCTCAAATAAAATGTTTGTTCTGTTCTGTTCTTGAAATGCAGAAGTTCAGGACAGATTCTTAGCTGAAATTAAACCATATAAAATAAATAAAGCAAATAAAATAAATGAATAAATAATAAAAAAAATAATTTATTTATTTATTTAATTAATTAATTAATTGAATCAATTAATCAATCAATAAATCAATATCAATGTATTGTTTAAAGTGATAGAAGATGCAGGACCCCGACTGTTTACTTTTTCTTTCTTTCCATGTTTATTTCACAACTTCACGGGATGTTTTTTTTTTCGGATACTTACAAAATTCTTTCTATGTAAAGAATGTATTCTGCTGATGTTAATTAACAAATAAAAATTGTTTCAATAATATTTGGTATGCATGTTAATGTATTATTAAAATCATTTTATTACCTTTGATCACGAAGATCCTGTTTATTGTATAAAACAATAGATACCGCATCTTTTATTGCATAACAAAATATACTTTGTTCGGGTTGACAAAACTTATACTCGTATTTTAATTGACAATGAAAAAATAAGACGAAACTTTTCGCTTGTAGATTGGTTTTTTGAAACAAGATAAACATTTTGTTACAGAAATTAAAACAGCAAATTTGCAAAAGAGAAACGAGGGGAAAAGAACAAATTGTGTAATGTATCATTGTTATGTGCAGGGAGTTTGAAAAGAATAGTCATTTGTTGAAAGAAAAACATTAATCAGCCGCACCATGACAAAACCAACATAATGTTACTATATGATGTTTCCATAATCTTTTACTTTATTTTTAAACGAGTTGTCGAAGATAATGTCTCTGTTATTTAACACACATCCATAGTGTGCATAAGCAGAATAAAATGTTCCGGAACAAATTAGTATGATACTTTCTTACGCAGTGTTTTGACCGTTAAGCAAGCGTTGTTTGTTTTTAACAAAATGTACAAACATGTTTATTTCATAAAGGTATTTTGGAAGTGTTTTTTTTTTCAAAATTCATACAATAAATTAATTATCTATATTCAGCCGAAAATTTAATGATAGATTAAAAATTAGCTTTGATATTGATTTTTCTTCTTAAATATTTTCATCCTCACTTAACTGAGGCTTAATAACAAATATCTGAACAATGACAATTGTTACAATTACAATTATTAATCTCTTTATATTATTTATTTTATTAATTTCTTTATATTGATTGCACTGAAAAGTATATGTTGCTCAAATATTATTATGTTATGTATATGATGATGTACTATGTACAAATCAGAAATAAATCTTTATACACGTTAAAGTACGTCTTTTCTTAGTCTTTATCAACAAAATTATCTACGTATTCTTTATTTTGCATTGATAACATTTCAATGAAAACGGGGACGGTTTATTTAGTAATTAAAGCATATCCGTACACCAGACATACCCCGGGGCTTTCACAGCTAGGTTTAGAAATAAAGCTTTGTTAATCTAGATTCACGGTTTCGCGATATGACGTAACGTGTTGTAACTTTGCACAGACGGAATTTATCTAAACTGACTTAAATGTATTTTCGTTAAGCGATACGGTCTAGTAAAGGGAATTTATTGGGGGCGGTGGGGGATTGGTGTATCAAATTATTATAGAGAGAAATGAAATAAAAGTATATACTCGTGGATATCTCCTACCCACGACTTTCTTTTTCGTCATACTTTTCGTGTCGTTATTGTTTTTAATGTTTAATCATTAATTTACAAATATGGTGATTTATTCAACCAATTCAAAACTCGTTTTACAACATCTCTTAGCGAGATATTTTGAAGTGCGGTATTGATAAATACGGTTTGCATTTTATTTTTAGGAGTTAAAATCTTCATTATCTTATGGACTACTAATACATATAACAGGTTATTCTATTCATATATCTTTCCTTTATATATTTATTAAGTAAGTAGGTTTTTAATTACGCCTTCATTGTTCAAGTACGATACTGATTTATGGTAGAATGATACAATTAGAATTTTAATAAACAGATTAGTTATGATAACAAAATGCAATGCTTCAATGAAATATACTTTGCAATATTTATTCATTTTTCACCGGGATTATAATATAATTCATATAAACAATAATTCATATAATTATCTAGTAAACATACATGGTACGTTCCACACATATATTATGTAAACCTTTATTTAAACAGAACACGCATATACATGTATCCTTCAATTATCATAATACATTAAAATAAGAAAACAGACAACCGTCATAAAATAACATTACAGCATATATCTATAAAATGTTTGTCCATCTCAGCGTGGTAAAAGTGTTTTCAGGCAATTCAGACACCCCCATGCTCGCCACTATTGTTAAAAATACAAACAATACGTTCTTATTCGTTATGCGGTTTTCCTAAAGCCAATTCTTTTATGGTCTGGTGCATAATAAATATAAAACTTCTCTTAAAACTACATACATACGTACGTAAATGGGTAATTGGGAATATGGTATAAAAAAGTAATAAGTAAAGAGTGAAAGTGAAAGTAAAATTGCTTCTGTAGCTGCAGAGGTAATGTTTATTATTATTACTATTATTATAATTATTATTATTAAAAGTATTATTTATTATTATTATTATTATTATTATTTATTATTATTATTATTATTTTATTATTATTATTATTATCATTATTATTATTATTATTATTATTATTATTATTATTATTATTATTATTATTATTATTATTATTATTATCAACTATATATAATACATATAAATATAGTTCTGTGTTACTATTATTATTATTATAACCATGTTTATTACGACAAATGCCAGCTTGTATTGAGAAAGCCTTAATTATCTTTTTCATTTTTTTTTCTTGAAATTTTTATATTTTTATTTATTTCTGTAAATTTTGGTTTCAGAATTCTGACATCTAAGGACGAATATGCCGTTTAGAAAACAGAAAAAGCCTACTGGGCTTATGGTAAGAAATCCTTTTTTGTTGTCGTGTTTTAAGAATTGTAGGTGTAGAACTGAAATAATTTTTTTTATCAAAATGGCGCACATTTTGAGATACCGGCACAATCCGGGAACTATTTTACTTTACCTGTTTAAGCCTTATAATCTTTCACTCGCTAGAGTTTGTGCTCTTGCACTCAAGCCAGTGATTTGTTGTTGTACATTCAGACCGTTGTTCTGTTGTTGTATTCTTAAACCGTTTTTTGTGTGTTGTTGTTGTTGTTGTTGTTGTTGTTATTATTATTATTAGTGTTGTTGTTGTTGTTGTTGTTGTTGCTTTCACAATCAGATGCTTAGCCAATGAGACACAGGAAATTTCACTTGAATTATGTTTATTTTGTATATTCTATGACATAAGAGTCCAACAAGTGTGATGTAGTAACACTTCTAAATGCAAGTATTCAGTTTATTGCATTTCTTTAATATTAAAGACTCAACCACCTCAGACACAGTAAAATATCAATAACAAAATTGCAAGCATACTTATTTCATTGATATAAAACTTTTAAGCTTATTTTCGACATCAAAGACCTTGCCCTAGCGTCTGTATACATGCTCATGTCAGATGCGAAATTGCACATACGTTTTGTATTGTTATATTAACTTTCAACATTAAAGGCCCTTGCCGGAGAGACAGCGAAGATGGCACAAAGCATGATGGTTCTCAATAAAACAGAAGCTGCTCTCGAGAAGGAGTTGGAGAAAGATGAGAAAAAAGTCAAACCAACAACTAAAATTGGAAGGTAAAAACAAAAAACAGGATAACAAGTTAGCTATTGTCAAACCATTGTTTCGTTTAGATAATTCTATATTGAAAGTTAAATGATCTAGGATTGAATTTTGTATTTTTACTTATTTGTTTATTCATTTTTTCTTTCTTTTTTTTCTTTTTTCTTTTTTGAAGAATTCACAACTAATTATTTATAAAATTAGTACGTTTAAAACTTGAACCTTTCATATTATTTTAAAGTATTCAATTTAGTTATTTGCTTTAAAATTCGATTGTTATTTATGCATTATTTCTAAAACAAAAATATATATTCATGCATGTATGTTAAATGGACTCAACTGAGGTTTAAAAGCCTAAAAACATAACATTTGAACTTCTTTCATAAATTAGCTGGGGCACTTTAAACAGAAATATATGCAAAGATAGTTTGAAATATACTTTGCAATAAATTGAAAATCCTATTTTTATGATTTTCTTAGTCCCATTTAAGTGAAAAGCGTTTAAACGCTCTTCATTTTGGGTCATTATTTACATTTTTAATAATTATTCTGGAAAAACGAAGTGCGCGAATGATCTGAAATTTTGCACAAAGATTTGTGGTCTAAATCTACAAATGGTACATTTATCTGGAAAAAAATATTTTCAGTCCCATCATGTCAAAAAACCTCAGTAGAGTCCCTTTAACATATAACTTTTATATACAAAAAAGGGTAATGACATCTTGCATTTACATGTATTTGTTTTATTTTGTATATTGCAACCATTTGACTATTTCTAGAATACGTCATAAGGGAGCACATATGATACATGGGAAATATTTACTTCTGATGGTGGTAGTTCTAAACGTTTTAGATTGTTTACTCGTGCTTGGTACATTAATGCTGGACATCAAATATGTGACAGGTAATAGTCCTCTTAATTGCTGTTAAAATTAATCTAAACTCTTTGCTTACAGCAATTACAGTTGTTTAAGAGAAATGACTTGAATCATACAGAAGGTCTTTGAATGATGCCTCGGTATTTTTTTTTCACTGCTGTATTAGTAAAAGGAGGAATTATTACATCATAGTATTATCTATAAGTGTCTTTATTATAAAGGCTTAAATCAGTATTGATACTTATCTACATTAGATTTAGTTAAAAACATTATAGGCACTGGTTTTCATAAAATGTTATATCTCATATGTTCAGCCATGACCAATTGATGTTTTCCAAGAATCGATTTGAGGCCAACAATAGCTAACAAGTTTCCAAATACTGTTCTTTTGCCTGATTTTCAAATGCTTTAATCATTGAATAAGTTTTGACAGTATATGAAGTTCCATTAACTATTATCACCCGTTATTCTCTCGAGTCTAGACATTTTTTCTTCGACTTTAAGTTAAATTGCCATTAAAGGAACATACATGTATATGTAACATTTCTTCAAATTAGCCTAATTGCATTTCGGAAGATAACATGGCTTATAATCAGACATGTTCTAATCCTTTTTTTAATAGATTTATTAACGAGAGAGTATGATAGATCGGGACACTTTATCAGCGACATGATAGATCTGTATCCTGCGAGGCTTGGATATATCAGTGAAGAAAACATCGAAGCACTCGAGAAAGAAATTCTCGCGGCTCATCTTTCGTGGCTGAAAAGCACACATCCAAAATACATGAACAGCAATGAAACTAACTCAGGAAATAACCAAACCAATTCACAAACAGACACAGTTCTTACAACGACTATACCATCTGCATCAACTGCCGTACGAAAAAGAAGAGCGTCTGATGGTCATGATCATACTATAAATAGTAATCAATCAGATGACATGGTGCACGTGGAGCACGAAGAACATCACGAGTATCATACAATAGAAGAAGAGATTGCACACGCATTGCATAAAGCGTCAATAGTGATTCTAGCAATACTTGTCGTTGAGGTAATAATGTCTAATTGTCATTGTAATTTACGTAATTTTACCAAGCAATGTAGTCATTAATAAGTTTTTAATATTTTGGAATCAAGTTTTAAGTGCGTAAAGTAGTAAGAAAAGAGGTGTTTGGGGCTTAAATCGTGATATAACTGATAATAGGGGGAAACATTTTACGATATTAACCCTTATATATAATTCACTGAAAGTTATAAGCACTGAATAGTACTTAGGCCGTTATTCCTTTAAAAATTCTTTACATTTTGCCATCCATTTTATTTTTCAGACGTTTTTCAAAGTATTTTGTCAGGGCAAAGAGTTGCTAGAGCATAAACTCGAGGTAAGATTATCCTCGAGTGTGATGTCGGAACGTTTATATAAAAGAAAATGCAATGTATTCTTTTTTACCTATCGACTAAAATGGAATGGACTTCATCCGTTACAGCGAGATAAAAGTTTCAAAATAATAAAAATTAACGGAATAAAATGATATCATTAGCTTTACTGACGAACGTCTTGAAACAGAAGACATATATGTAGTCTTGTAAATGTGTTCGTATTTTAGAATATGAAACTATATTTAACCAATCTACAAGTATATTGAAAATGTAAAAGTTTATAAAAAACACATTAACACCTAATATCTATTTGACGTACAATACTATTATTTATATCAGAAATGTTTATGACTAATCTATAAATAATTGCTGTCTTTCTGTTTTTAGTGTTTTGACGGGTTTATAGTGATAGCTTCATTTATAGTAGATCTCGTCTTCCTCAAAGGTTTACAACAGTTCACAGTCCAGGAGTTTGTCATGATTCTCGCCTTTATGGTACCGTGGAGAATTATTCGAGTTGTTAACAGTAAATATTTGTTTTTTATTGTATTTTGAGTGTTTTATTTAATCACACATAACGTTAAGTTTGATACTATTTGTATCAGAAATCTATACAATATATATCATATTATAAACATGGACTAAACAGGCTGAATGTGCTCATAAAAATCCATTGTTCTGGTAAAAAGTGCATGTTTGATCATTTAACGGGAACAAACATCTTATGTTTAATTCCCACAGATTCAAACATATTCCCCAAGTACTATTTATATCATTGCATTATTTATTACATGCGCATTTTACTTCTACCCTCGGGTCAAATTCCTAGCTCAATGCTTGGAGGAGTAGCAGAAAGGAGCCAAGTACGGACTTTTTGCCTGTTCCCGCACTACCGGCTTAATGGAGCGGTTTCCAGTGGATATGATCAGCAAACAGTACAGGGATTCAGCAGGGATTTACCATCTGTGTGCTAGCTATCTCCTTCCCCCTCCCCCTCACTTTCCCTCCGCACCCACCATCACCATTGACTGGTGCGTAATAATACAGTTTCAATGAAAATTAATAAAGGTATATTTTCTTGCATATAGGTCTCATCGTTGCCATCATGGATCATGAACATTTACGACTGGTACTCCTTTACAAGCAGAAAAAGAAAATATCACAGGAACTCAAAGAATTAAAGGACGAGAATAAGGGTCTTGAGGTAATTATTGTCTTCTTAAACAATAATATGGATTAGTAATGATTGCCTTCTTAATATATTAAGTAGGCTTACTTCAGACTTATTGAAGAATGCTACAAAAACTTGATAATGTCTGTCAACTATGAAATAAGATACACTACAATGTACCGGTTCTATGCATTCGATAAAAAGGTATCGTTATTTGGATGTTTTTCAATGTATGCTAAAACAATGTTTTTTGTTAATTATGTAAATATACTAGTCTGTATCACTCACTGTCTACGTAATTATATATGAGCCGCGTCACGACAAAACCAACGTAATGCGTTTGCGACCAGCATGAATCCAGACCAGACTGCGCATCCGCGCAGTCTGATCAGGATCCATGCTGTTCGCTAAAGATCCTATAACAAGTAAAGAAACTGATAGCGAACAGCACTGATCCTGATCAGACTGCGCGGATGCGCAGGCTGGTCTGGATCCATGCTGGTCGCAAACCCATTATGTTGGTTTTGTCGTGACGCGGCTCATATCATATCATATATGTTTTGAATGTTTATTTGCCGGAAGCCTAAAGGCTTATCAATAAAAGAAAATCATATTTAGCCGATGAATTTGCTCGTTACCGGTTATTTGATTGTAACGATAGTCATGTTGTTTGATGTTAATATTATTCACCAATTGATATGATATTACAATTTCCTTAATAAGACACCTAGAGGTAAATTGTATCAGATAAAGAATTATAAAGATAATTCTGTGAACGTAAATACAAACTCCCTTTAGTTACGGCCAGTATCATTTAGAATAATATTATGTAAAACGGATGACTAGGTTTCACAAGCCATTAATTTAAATGTGTTTACAAAAGATTTAATGTTCAAAATGTGTTGTACCGCGTGACGCTTGTTATATATAATAAAAAAAAACTTTATAACAAAAACAAACATTGATATTCTTAAGCATCGCTGCACTAGAGGGCTATGCTTCATTTATATTTTATATGGGTAATATGGGATGCAGACTTAATCGAGTATACAACCTCGGGGGGTTAAATCAAATAAACATCAAAGTTCATAAAAAGGCTATAAACGACGAATTAAGGCTGTTGTCATCAAAAGGTCAAGGTTAGGTGATATAAATCAGACCCAGCGATCATTTTCAGGTAATGGATAAACATATAATTTGTAAACATTTGGACCTCATTTTAATGTCAAACATTGGTTTACAGAAGAAAAATATTCTTCTCTTCTCAAACAAGTAATATCGAAATATCTGTACAACCACTGACCAATCAAATCGTTTGTCTACCTAACTTACGATTTCACGATGTATGATGATATACAGTTATGTAAGAAATATAATAAATATAGAAAGATGAGCTAATGAAATAATAAGAAGTTTCTATGAAAAATTATTTCAAACTTTTGCCTTTACAAAATATCTATCTACAGAGACATACACGTGCTATTGCAATGCTAGTCTTTATAGTCATTAATAGAGAACACCTATATGGAATATTTGACATTTAAACACTTTACATGTTATTGTTGTTGTTGTTGTTGTTGTTGACAAACCATTTCCATGGCGATATAACGCTATAAACATGAATTTTATATTCCAGGCTTGTATTGACGCCTTACAGAAGATGTGTACAGACGCCGGTCTTCCTGAATCATATATTACAGCGAAACTCAGTAAGTCACCATTGTTCTAATATTCTCCGAATTAAACCTAACAAGTTATACATTTTATATTTAACTTAATTATTTTTCCGTTTTTTTTATGTTTTAATGTTAATCACCTCGCCTGTTATTTAAGTTAATTTTAGTTAAGCTGAGCAAAATGACAAATAGCTGTTACATTCCTTTTTACACTCTGTACGACGTGCGTGAGTATCAAAAATTGTCCAGAGCGCAATTTGACTTTACCAATTTTCAATAAATTCATCCGTTAACAGTACATAAGGTTTCAAGTTTTTCTTTCAAGTCAAATGGCAACAATCATTGTTCAACCATTTAAAAGTGCCGATTAAAAAGCGCACTGTGCAGGACATGTTCAGACGACAAGGACCTGCCCGCTAATTGCTATAAATACAATGTACATGAAATATACACCATACCTGATGTATTTTGATAATTGCAGATTTGTACCGTAAAGTAAAAGCTAAAACGAATGCTCTGGGTGCAATGTCTAATTTCGCCATGGGAGGTGCTGCAATGAATAAACCTTTTACAGCTGGTGTGATGTCGCCACAAAACGTCACAATTACTAATGAAACAACCTCAAAACAAGGTAAGCATTGTATAAAACTTTAATAACCGCGAGATTTTGAAGTTATATCTCATTGTAATGTGGCCTCGAAATGATCTAATTCAAACATGATAAAGTACTGATAATGCATCCCTTAAACGAGCTCAAGCAAACACATAATGCCAACGCGACAAGACGATATACCGGAGCGACGAGACGAATGAAATATCGTTCCTTTGCATGGTATCGTTGGTCTTTTTCATCGTCTAGTTGTTTCGTTTCTTTAAAGCGATGACACGACAAGACGATACACTGAAATGACGGTATATGTCGAAGCGACGACAAGATAAAGGGATGACACGACGAGACGAAATGACGTGTCGGTTTTGACGTTGCGATAGATGGACGACTCGATCCAAATGCACGATATTCATTTCACTTTGCTTTGGCGTATCGTTTCGTCGCTACCGCGTTAAATATGCACCAGAATTCGCCGATACGAAAACATGATGGAATCACGGAACACTGTTATCCGCTGCTGCTTTTCTCTAAGATATACGTTTTGAACAATTGTCATAAATACACGTGTATTAGATCAGATATCGTGTAATGACAAACTAGTATACATGTACTAGAATATACGAAACAAAATAAGACATTACAATACTGGGATTGCAAAAAGTTAATTTTTACTGTTTTTTATTCAGCAAAACAACTAGAAGATGTTCTGACTGATAAACAAGATAAAGTTGATGATGAAGCTGTTGATATAAGACTGCGTAACAACACATATGATGAGATCACAGGAAGGCCAAGAAGTAAGTAATTCTACCATTTAAAGTATTCCATCTACATGTAGTAACGAATAGATGATATGGATTTCGGTTGCACCTTTGTAAGAGTTAAGTCGTTACCGGCTGAAACCGGAAAAGGACCAGATCAGTTTTTGCCACAAGTATATGGCCAGGCTAGTTTGAATATACGTGTTGTCTGACTGGGCTCTACACTGTCTATACTGTTGGATAACTCTAATTGTCATATTTTGAAATGGAATTCCCTTAAACTTATACAATATGTCTTAACAATATTTGCGTAATATAAAGACTAAAAAAAAAACAAACAGAAATGATTTCATTTTACACATTGACTTTCATTATAAAAGAACGTACATTTATTATATTCAATATACATTTCAAAAATCACATACTTAAACCACCCGTCATTATTATTATTATTATTACATGAAATAATATTTAAGGATAGCTGGCACTAATGAATTTGCGCTGCTGTATTGGTATTTTCTCATATTATTATGTACGTGTACTGGAACACCCGCTCATGGCAATCAGAACACCTCGCCAACAAACAATGATCATCTCGGATATATTACGGATGAAATGTTCTATTACGTTACTTTTGATATGAACATGAAATCTTTGTAGTAATAATTATTAACAAATGTAATTTGTTGACATCTATTGGAAAATAAAGTATATTTCGGTAATAAAATGATTGAAATATATATCTGACAATCAATAACATAGAGTTATACACATCCGCAATACCCTCAACACTCAACAAGTATACCTCTTTTACTTCTGAGACAGTACCATCAAAATTTATTTCGTTAGAATCATGTTTCTGTGGAATAGTCTCCCCTAAACCGAACAGTCACACCCCAGGTTACAGTCTTGGCATTTAATTTTAAATTCTAAATCCGTACAAACTATATTTTAACATACAGTTTTGCAGAACGATTATTTTTATTAATTGTTCATCTTCTTCAATTAACATATAATGTAGCCTGCTCATCATGAAGTATATATATGTAGTTTTGAACTTTCGGTTTCTAAAAAAGATAATTAGTAAAAAAATGTTGTTTTTTGTTGTTGTTTTTGTGTGGGGGGTGTTGTTTGTTTGTTTGTTGCTTTTTGTTGTTTCTTTTTTTACTTTTACTCAATAACAGTCGAAAAATGTACTAAACGATTGACGTGTACGAAAACTGTCGGAAGAAGAGAGCGGCTGGTTCTAACGAAATTACCCGACATTTGTCGATATTTATCGAATTAATGGTGTCGTAATCCTTTGTGTTATTTCAGGCCGGTCAGCAATAATGACAAGGGAGGCTTCTAAAGACGACAAAAATTTGGTGGCAATTCTTGCAGAAAACACAGCTTCTTTTATTGCAACAATAAACAGAGATGACGCCGAATTGAGGTAGGCCTGATCATTTGCCAGTATTAGATTGTTATATTACCAAAGTTTGATAAATGGCGACACGAAGATATTGCTCCAGTTGATCATCCGTGTTGCATTACAAATTTTCTTGAACAATGGTTGTGATGGGTCTTCTTTTATTCTTTAACAGGAGTGCTACATCTGACAACTGAAAACTACCATCGATATTTTATTACTTTATTATTTTCATTATTAGAAGACAAAATTATGTACAGATGACTTCATTTCTTTATAGGGCTTTGTCATTGAAAAGTAAACGTATTTTAGCAGATTATTTCAGTATGTTTTTATCAATCTGCACTCAATACTGCGTACTATTCGGAACCAGAATACCGTCCCTACTTAAGACAATAAATCTACATAGAAAAAATTGATATTCCATGAAAAACAGTAAAAAGTTTAACATTTCAAGAGACTTATGTCACAAATAAAGACCAACCTTCATATCTGTGAAATCTAAAAATAGTGTTAGAATTTTATATCTAAATCCCTTGACCTGCGTATGAACTATCTCAAATTTGAAAAGTGTTTGTTTCATTATGAATAGAATAATAAGGATAATTGCGTTTTCATAATCAGGAACAAGCATCAGTCGCATAATTGAAATTCCGTTTATTCGATAAATTTTTTAATAGTTAGAAAAGAAAGAATAGTAAGAAATTGTCGGAATAAAAACTAAAGAATTTGTCTGGAAACTGGTCCGCAACTAGAATACTAAAGTCCTTTACTATTTTTTATTCGAATGTTCATTCATATACATGTATGTCTGCGGTAACAGTATGTACAGAATAAACACATGTATTCTTTACTTATGATGTGATTTAGCAGGCTTTTTTGTCGCTCGTCATTATTCGTAATGAGTTTTTACTATTTTTCTAACACTGCACACATTAATTTTATGGAAAATTTCCATCTTGCATTTCTTTTTGGTTTGTTTTAAAGCTCGATTAATGGAAGTTTAGAGTATATGGATTCTGGTGTGGGTGGTGAAAGCTCGTATGCTCTATTGGTAAGAGGGCAAGCTTAAATGAGTACACAAAAAGTCTCACATCACTTAATCAAGAAAAGAATGAAACAAAGTCTTTTTTTCAGTTTCTTAGCTTGTCTTTGTCATTAAAAACGTACAAAAGCACTAAAGTAACCTTTTGTAAAATATTTCTTCGTATCTTATGGTCACGGGATGATAATAATAGGGATATCGACTGCCACCTATGTGCTTCCGTAGAAATGTTTAAACCTCCTTAGTATTTATTTTTTATTAGAAACTAATGGGACAATATCATACGATTTTGAGCACTTGGCCAGTTTACACGTGAACAAACTTTTACATGTACAATTAATCCGAGTTTATCAAAAATACATAAGGCTGCTTTTATTTTTTGACAGAAATGGAAAGTATGTTCATACAAATTCACTTTTATGATGATATGTTCTACTCAGTTTATATGTGATAATTTGTTAATTTTTTATTATAATTAATCAAACACTCGTGGCTCCTGGTTTAGTTTTGTCTTACCGAGTAAAGTATTGTAGGTTACAGGAAACGGACAAGGAGGTGTCAGTTCTTCCGTAAGCTATCATAGCCAGTAGAATTATTATTGCAAGCATAAATATTATAGCAAATAGAATTTATTATCTTTTAAAATATAACTATTTTAATAAATACATAGTTAATAGAACTATCATTTTAAAACATATTTATTATAGCTAATAGAATTATCACATTAAAACATATGTATTATAGTCAATAGAATTATCATATTAAAACATATGTATTATAGCTAATAAAATTGTCATATTAAAACATATGTATTATAGTCAATAGAATTATCATTTTAAAACGTAACTATAATAGCCAATAGATTAATCATTTTAAATACATTTATTATAGGTTATAGAATTATCATTTTTAAACATAACTATCTTAGTCTATATAATAATCATCTTAAAATATATTTATTTCAGTTATTAATTGTTAAATTAAAATATAACTATTATTCACAACAGAATTATCATTAACAATATTACTATCATAGCTAATAGAATACAATTATCCTAGCCAACAGAAGTACCACCATACCCTATAGATTTATCTTTTTAGAATAAATCCATCCTAGAAAATAGAAATGTTAAATAAAAATGTGATTATTTTAAGCTTAAATATTCACCATAAGCCAATGAGATATATTTGTTTTAATCATATTTTAAAAAAGAGATTTTGAGAAATATTAATGAAATGCGTTATAATTTTCATTTTCCATATTTTCACTTTAAAATTTCATTTTTCACTGCAGTAAAATCTACTTTCCGTATTTGCACTGGTGTCTTGCCGGACTACTTTTTTCTTAATTCTGCCAGTACACAAAAGTTAAGGGAAATTCTTTTAAATTGTAATGTCAAAAGGAAAAGAAAGAAAAATGTATATAATAAACAGAAAATTCATTTTTTTTTCTCATCTTGTTGTATGAAAATTATCACGTTTCACCTGGTGGACTGCTCGCCGAGAAATGACCAAAAAGTGATAAAACTGGGCAACAAGACAAGTATGCAAGCAACTGAAAAATGTGCATACAAATGATAAAAGCTAGTATATTTGTTTTGTGGTTTTTCTCAGATTGCATTTTCTTCATACTTTAATCTCATAAGGTCAAGAACGAAATAATACATGTAGCATACATTTTTAGATGCCGCAAGCATAACAAAATATACAGCTATTTTTCCAATGTAGGGTATTTTCTTTTCTATTTGATATGCTAAAAGATAAATACGTAATATTTATATAAAAAATGAAATGGAAAAATCTTTACTATTGATCACAGTTTTCACACTTGCTTATTCAAAGATCTACACTTTTAATTTCGACTGACACTGCACAGTTTTATTTAAAAGATAGCCATTATTGTACATACATGTATATTTATGTATAGTCACTTATAGAAATCCATTACAATTTCTCTGCTTAAACCAAAAGTGATGACACTTTGCTCCCGGTATATAATAGAGCAAAGCTAGTCTGCGAATCTGGGCAGTCTAACTAAGCGTTATACTGTTGGCATTTTCACGTATGTATTCAAGGCCTAATGGGAGCGGTGCTTAGTGGTTAAGGTGTCTGCATCTCAACCCAGGGATTATTGGCTCGAGCCCTTATTGGGCGACGACCATGTTTCTTCATATGACACCAGTACTGGTTGGTTCCAGGAAGCAAAGTGATTAATATAATTTGCAAGAACTTGTTTCGCAATCGAGCTTAAATAGACATGTTTAAACCAAGGCTTAATGTCCATCCGCACTGCCATGCACTGAGAGAACAGACCCCAGACATGTCACCATTCATGTCCTAAAAGTCATTATTTTCCACAAGGTTACTCATAAATTTTGAATTGAGTAATTCACTGAATGTTAATTAATATCTATGCAAGTCGAGTTTTGTGATGTTCACTATTTTAAAAAATAACTTCATCTTGATATCCCTAAAATTCATAATGGACAGTTCAGTGGTGTTAATGATTATGAATGATTGTTAAATAGATACTATTTCATCGCCCTAGATCTTTTTAACTAATCTGAATAACAAGTATTTTAAATTCGTTTAGAGAACGGAGAATAAACTCACCAGCGATAGTTGACTGTATTAGTCAGACGGTGTTACCCAACAATATATGACACTAAAACATATGCTAATTCGAGTCATGAAATAAATTTTTGCTTAGTTTTCATTTAAAATAACATTTAACACACGATAAGTCATGTTTAGGAGCCATGAAGAAAACCGGTTTTTCTAACGATCCACTTTTTCGCACAAAGTTCTAAATTCATGCCATGATAATGAGTAATGACTGACACTTATTTAACTAGTTTTTTTCTTATGGCAGTATAAATGCGCATTTATTAGCATGTTTATGTAGATGGTAATATATTCTTTTATATGAGGACGTGACATGTCAAATTTATATAGAGACAGTACCATAATAATTAATTTAAATGACACAATAAATCATGTTTTATTCCATCTTTTGAAGAATATACTATCTGTGAAAAATATGAATATTCAAATTTATAAGCTTTATATGACATCATTATCATAATAGGTCAATATCCTTAAGGTGATGAGGAAAGTGGGACATTTAAACGTTCGTGCCTTTGTACCTTAAAATAAGTATTCATTACGAAATATATAGATTAAGAATTTGCAATGTAGCTAGCAGACTCCAATGTGAAATATAAACTTGCCCGTCATATTACTGTATGATATAGAGGATTGTACATGTATTAAAATTAAAAAATGTAATTTATATACAGTCACATATTAATCCATAATATACATATTAATATTTATGATATATAGACATGTATTTAATGTGATAATAATTAACATTAATATTAGTGATCACAGTGGTAACAAAATATGTAAAAAAATTGCCTCTTCTACATCTTTCAAAATTTAGTGATGAGCTTATATGAAACTGAAGAATGAAATGGGCTTTTTTACGCGATACAGTAACACTTTCTACAGTAGAAAAATCAAAACCATTTAAAATGAAGTTCGCTTCAAATTTATTGCATAACATATATTCTATTAAACAAAATTTTTAATATAGGAAACGGATAGAAGCGACAACGCGACGTCACCAGGAAGCACGTGGGAAAGCAGACGAAAACACAGACGACTCTAACACCTCCTTCTGTTCCACAACAGACTCTTTCGACAGCAAACGTAAGTTGTTTCTTTAACTCGTTCTTGTAATTTAAAAATAATATATATGAACCATGTCAAGACAAAACCAACATAATGGGTTTGCGACCAGCATGGATCCAGACCAGCCTGCGCATCCGCGCAGTCTGATCAGGATCAATGCTGTTCGCTATCAGTTTCTCTACTTGTAATAGGGTTTGTAAGCGAACAGCACTGATCCTGAAAATGCGCAGGCTGATCGCAAACCCATTGTGTTGGTTTTGTCATGACACGGCTCATATGTATATATAAACTTTATTATACAGGAAAAGGGGAAAGGAAATTAGTTCTCGCAAACATTACAAATATCTTAATTACCAGAAATATCTGAGATTTACATTATATTACAAGAAATGTTTTGACTGTAATAAAGATTACAAATTAAAATAATCGAGAGAAAAAGATTACAAAAATTATTTTTCATTTGAATGTATTTGTATTTATTTTGTATTCACACTTTACTTTCAGATAAAGAAGATAAAGAGGGTCTGATGAAAACTGAGGAAGACGCAAATGGTAAAAACCTTCAAGGCTTTGATAATCCAGTAAGCCGATTGTGATGACGCCCTGCCTTTGATTATAAAATCCTCGTGCCTGGAGATTGTTATTGAATTTTTTATTCCATTCGTTTATTGGTTTGAGAACTTTGTGTACAGTACAGTCTTCGTGTTTTCTTTGTATGTGTTTCAGGAAAAAGTTATACATACATAAATATGTTATGATTCTTATGAATACGAGAAATAAATATGAACTGAGTGACTATCCGAAAGCCAGATATGAAACATGAAGGAACCCAATCTCAAAATCAATCTAACTAAAGTTCAGATCTACTTATTTCTTACGCGTAGCGTTATTTAGGAGTTGATTTTAATCAGATTGGTCTCAAAATATGACATTCCACCCATACAGACATCTTGGTTAGTTTATGTGCTGTACTAGAATGAAGCCAATTTACATGTTACGTACTTTTCCAATGAATGTTTGTCTTTGTATATAACTTAGTCAGACCTGTGACTTATGATTCATTTTAAGTTCCAGGTCAGACCTTTTGTACAGTATTGTTGATACTATGCAAACCTTGACTAGTATTAAAGGTACATTTTCATACATAACTCATTAAAACCTGGAAAAATGGATCTCCCTTCCTAAAATGCCAGTATAACAAACCAAAAGTGGTAAACATAAGCGTATGCTTGTATAAATTAAGATTTTTTAGATGTTAACAGTTTTCTTTGACATTCATCATTATGAGTTGCTTGACATATATGGCTTAAACTTGAAGTTTGTAGATAGATCTTGGAGAAATAGATAAACATACATGTATATCTGTTTTCAAAGACTGAACGTTTTTTTTTTATTTAATCTCTCATATGCTTTCCGTGAAATGCAATTAAAAATGCTGTTTTTACAATTTGATGAAAATGTGCCTTACTTTTATGTGAAAACAAATCAGTAAAATAAAGTATACAGCAATAAAAATATACATGTTTGTTTGTTTGTTGTTGTTTTTTGTTGTTGCTTTTTTAATTTGACTTAAAAGAAAACAATACTTTCTACATTTCTCTAAAAATGAAGTTTATCTCCAAACATTAATTTGCTTTTGCATTATTGTCTACAAAACGACGGCACTTATATAAGAAACGGTTCACATATACGTATAACAAAAGCATATACATGTATAACACAACTTGTTATGGTTAAGATTTGTACAAAATGGCTTCAATTTCCTCTCATCAATTCAGAACAGATGCTAAGATGAATAACTAGGATCATACTTTAATATGTCCTGAATAATTTTCGAATGTCTCATTACAAGGTGTGAATGACAACAGTTTGGATCATAAGATAACTGCAACCATTATTAGTCCCCTACAAGTTAAACCGGAGGGGAATTTAGGTTTACCCTCCGTCTGTCCGTCTGTCAGTTCGTCTGTCCACAAAACTGGATCCCGCAAAAACGCAAAAAGTACTGAAAATATTTTATTAAAACTTGATATATGAATAGATGGCAGAATGGACATTATGCAGGTCTTTTTCTTTTCTTCCTATGTTAAAAATTTTGGTTTTATGGCAACAAATAGACTGAAAATATGGCAAATTTAACACATAAACTGGATAAAGTGATAATGCAAAAAGTTCTGAAAATATTTTTTATGAAACTTGAAATATGGGTAGATGGCAGTCTGGAGATTTTGCATGTCTTTTTCTTTTCTTCCTATGTTGAATAAATTGATTGCTATGGCAACAAATAGGCTTAAAACATGGCAAATATAACAATATTTGTGATATTAGTCAATAAGAACTGAAATCTTTTTATTAAACTTAAAATATGGATAGATGGCAGTATGGAAGTTATACTCACCATTTTGTTTGATTTGGGTTTTACGTCACACCGACACAGTATAGGTAATTTGGCGACGTTCCAGCCTTACTGGTGGAGGAAGACCTCAGGTGCCCCTCCGTGCATTTTCTCAGGCACGAACGAGCACCTGAGTAGAACCACTGACATTCCGTAAGCTAGCTGTTTAGCCTCCTCACATGAAAGAATCCAAAGTCCCTGTCGGGATTCGAACCCACAGCGGTGAGGGGCAAGTGGTTTGAAGTCAACTACCTTAACCACTCGGCCACGGACGCCTTTTGATTGTTGTATAAACATATTTTCCTTACTAGGCAAGGATACTTCACAAATTACTATGATACAGATAAACTGAGGACTCCAAACATTTAAGTTCAGTCATGTCATTCAATGGCATAATTGAATGGCCAATGGCCAAGTTGCACTTTTATCAGTAAATCCGAATATTTGTTCTTCATTTGACACTGCTAGTTAATAATTTATTACTGAGTGTAATAAAGAGGAGATAATTTTCAAAGTACATTGTACATGTAATTGTCTGAAATTAGGTCAGCTTTCCAAATCGCTCATTTATTTATATAATAATCCAAATATGCCAACATCCTTAACACAGGAAAGGTAAAAATAGCTTGGTCATTTTCTTTTCACCTCGCATTTTAGCTTTTATCCTTCAGTAGCTCAATCATTCACTTAGTTTAACAATAGCAAAACAACACATTCCCTTAAGAATTTCGCAACTAGTTTGCTGAATACAAATTTCTTTAAACATATTTATTGAAGATTGATTGCAAAAGAAGTTCTTGCAACGAATATTAATCACTTTCGAGTCCTATTCCAAACCAACCAGTACTGGTGTCATTTGAAGAAACATGGACGTGACCTGATTAGGGCTCGAACCCATAATACGCATGTTGAGAGGCAGACACCTAACCCACAAGGCCACCGCTCCCCAAATTACAATTGCAAAACCAAACTAAATGGTAACAGAAAACTAAGCAATACATTTTTTTAGATTTCATTTCATTAAAGTTACAAATTTTCAACAAATTATATGAAATATTTCAATACTAACTACACAGAATTTGTAATAATTTGTCTCTAGATGCAGTGAGCTCTTGGACTGTATCATGTGACTTCCCATAATTCCTTTCAAATATTTCACAAGCTCTTTCATTGGTTGAGAGAGCTTCCTTCCAATCTTGTGCACCAATCAATGTCTCTGACAATTTTTGCAGTTCATTGGCAAATTCAATGCTATTTTCTCCAAACATAATTTCAACTGTTTTGACACTCTCTCTGAGGTATTTTAAAGCCTTTTTAAAATTTCCTGAAAAAAATTAACAACAAAAACATATAACAACAAAAACACATATTATAAGCAAACAATAACAACAAAACATATATTTCAAGCAAAAAATAACATCAAACACATATATTTCAAGCAAAAAATTACAACAAAACCATATATCATAAGCAAATGCTATAGAATTAATCTCAATTTTTCTGGTCTGACTAAAACAATAACATAAATTATTTTAACATCAAAACACAAATGAAAACATGCAACATATCTTGCAATCTATATCCATTTTTCCCCTGTTTCCATAGTAACTGAACACATGTATTTCCATAGCAACTGTATCTTACCAGTCATAGCATAACATCTTGCGAGACAATCTTGAGCATCAGCCAACAGTTTGTTGTGTTTATACAGTATAGATCTTCTTATAGTGTGGCACTCCTCTAACACTTCTATTGCACCTGAGGAATATAATAAAGAATGTTGATTACATGACCTATCAAGTGTCAGTTCATTTGGAGATGTTATATAAAGGATAACAAGAGCTGCCCTAGGAGTAGCAAAAAATTGCTCCATTTTCATCTGTGCTGGATAGTACAATAACAGCAAACTATGAAAGGGGCATAATTCTGCAAAATTACAAAACAGAATTACCTGCCCTTGATAGAAGGTAAACTAATCTTGAGATATGCATTTAAAATTTGACAGTGCAAAAGTATCACAAGTTTCAAGTGATTGACTGTTTTTTGCGAATTAAGCTAAACAAAAAAGTTTACCAGCTGGAAAAAAAGTAAATAGTGGGGCATACTTTTAAGAATGTATGATTTTAGGATTATCTGCTCTTGAGATATTTGGATAATATAAATACACAAAGTTTGAAGAGAATAGCTGGATGTTTTCTGCGAATATGACCTTAACCTATTACAGGTATCAGTGACCTTGACATTTGTCCCAAGAATGCCTGTGAAATGTAGAACTCGTCACAATACATCCATATATGTTTCAATGTAATAGGTTTGTAAGTTTTGAATTAAAGACCATAAACGAAAACTAAACCACAGGTTGATGGCTGCCAGTCATGACAAAAGCCCCCCTTTTCCTTTAAAAAAGAGGAGCAAACCATGCAAGACAGACCCCAATACTTTTGAAAGGACTTGACCCCTTCTTAAATGGATGTACCTTTTATTCTATTTTCATGTAAGCAGTCTAGTCCATGCTGGAATAACTTGGCAGCTCTTTCAGCGCTTTTTACATCAGCTGTTCCCACTTGTTTACACTGTTGACAAACATACTGTGATGATGGTGTTCTCATTAGAGGTCCTGAACAACAGTTGCAGCTGTAACTCTTCAATATAAAAAACAAACATTATATGAGCCGCGTCACTATAAAACCAATATAAATGTAATGGATTTGCGACCAGCATGGATCCAGATCAGCCTGCACATCTGCACAGTCTGATCAGGATCCATGCTGTTTCCTATCAGTTTCTCTACTTGTTATAGAGTTTGTAAGCGAACAGCATGGATCCTGATCAGACAGAGCGGATGCGCAGACTGGTCTGGATCCATGCTGATCGCAAACCCATTATGTTGGTTTTGTTGTGACGCGGCTCAATTACATAAATGTATATAACAATCATTATTTCACATTATTCTCAGCCCTAGTATGATGGCAGTGACAGATTCTACCCATGCTTACACTGTAAACAAGATCAGTGGATACATCCCTGCTGTCTAATAATATTCTGGACTGTTCAGTATATATTTTGATTTTTTTCCCCCTAAAAATATTAATGGTTTCTTCCAAATTTAAAGACGGAGAAGTCTGTTTCAAATATTTAGCATAGTCAGGGCTAGTATATTACACAGTAAATCAGGATGTCAGAATCTGAAAAAATATTTTGATACTGAGTAACACTTCCATTGCCTACAATGTCAGAATACTGTTTGCCTGCAAGAAATATACCATTGAAGTAGTTATGAAATGAATCATGATAAAATTTCAGACAGAAAATATTTAAAAAGTTGTTTTCTTTTATGTGAAGAAATATGTCAGTTACCCCTGTGAAAAAGAATGCAAGCTTTTGATGAAAATTTATGAAATGCAAATTTGGATTTTATTGCTAGATATTTCACAATCATTAGAGTTTTGATTTCAGCCGCGCCATGACAAAACCAACATAATGCATTTGCGACCAGCATGGATCCAGACCAGCCTGCGCATCCGCACAGTCTGATCAGGATCCATGTTGTTTGCTTACCAACCCTATTACAAGTAGCAAAACTGATAGTGAACAGCATGGATCCTGATCAGACTGCGCGGATGCGCAGGCTGGTCTGGATCCATGCTGGTTGCAAACACATTACGTTGGTTTTGTCGTGGCGTGGCTCATTTCTTTTTTATGTACCACATCTCAAGTTTATCAATTCCAAAGCAGTTCTGAAAAGAAAGGAGTACACTTATTTTAATATAAAAATAATCCACATTTAGATTTATAAAAGGTTGAATAATCCTTAAATATTTTAGTCTTGTTAGTCCTTGATACTACCACATGCAAGCAAAGTCGGCCATCAAAGAGTAAGATAAACAAGAGCCATGTCAACATGGCCATCTCCCGCCGAATGTGTTTGCTCATTGGAAGAATGTATATGTAGTAGAGCGGAATAATTCTATTTTAAGAGGTCTTTTGGTAATGAAAACTGATGGCTGAAGTGATTAAAGATTAGAAACCTATGTGAATACTGATGGCTGAAAAAAACAATGGGCAATAACTGAAAAATAATGCAGGGTAGGTTATCATTCTTGTGTGCTGCATCCCTCCTCAGTAAAATCTATCCATCTATGAAGTTTCAAGTTGATACCTCAAATACTTTTTGAGATAAGCTCCAGACAAAATAATATGAAAAAGAATAAAGGGCAATAACTCAAAAATTATTGTGCACTGCACACCTCCTGAGTGAGATCTATGCACCTATATAGTTTCATGTTGATATCTCAAAGGCTTTTTGAGTTATGCTCTGGACAAAAATAAATTTTGAAAAATAACAAAGGGCAATAACTCAAATATTATGCAGGGTAGAGTTAACATTCTTGTGCACTGCACTCCTCCTCAATGAGATCCATCCACCTATGAATTTTCAAGTTGGTACCTCAAATACTTTTTGAGATAAGCTCTGGACAAAATAGTATGAAAAAAGAACAAAGGGCAATAACTTAAAAATTATATAGCAAAGAGTTATCATTCTTGCGCACAGCATTCCTCCTCAATAGGATCTATCCACCTATGACATTTCATGTTGACATCTCAAACACTTTTTGAGTTATGCTCCACTCAGGTGAAAAATTAAGTATGAAAAATAAGAAAGGTCAATAACTCAAAAATTATGAAAGGTAGAGTTATCATTCTTGTGCACTGTACACCTCCTGAGTGAGATCTATGCACCTATGAAGTTTCATGTTGATATCTCAAAGGCCTTTTTGAGTTATGCTCTGGACAATAATTAATTTTGAAAAACAAGAACCGGTTGAACCGGGTGAAGCTCCCCGAGAAGGTTCTGGACACAGGAAAGTATAAAAAAAATGAACAAAGGGCAAAAACTCCAAAATTAGGCAAAGCGGAGTTATGTTTTTTGCACTGCACTTCTATTCAATGAGATCTATCTATCTATAAAGTTTCCTGATGATATCAGAGTTATGTCCCAGGTAAAAGTCCAAGTGTAAAAATGAACAAAGGGCAATAACTCCGAAATTAGACCAGGCTTTGTTTAGGTTCTTTAAGCATTGCAGTTCTATCCAATTATATCTAGCTACCTACAAAGTTTCATGTTGATATCTCTAATAGTTTTAAAGTAATGTCCAGGACAAATGTCAAAAAGTAAAAATAAACAAAGGGCAATTACTTCAAAATAAGGCAAGGCAGAGTAATGATTCTTAAGCACTGCACTTCCACCCAATGAGATTCTACCCATGCTTACACTGTAAACAAGATCAGTGGATACATCCCTGCTGTCTAATAATATTCTGGACTGTTCAGTATATATTTTGATTTTTTTCCCCCTAAAAATATTAATGGTTTCTTCCAATTTTAAAGATGGAGAAGTCTGTTTCAAATATTTAGCATAGTCAGGGCTAGTATATTACACAGTAAATCAGGATGTCAGAATCTGAAAAAATATTTTGATACTGAGTAACACTTCCATTGCCTACAATGTCAGAATACTGTTTGCCTGCAAGAAATATACCATTGAAGTAGTTATGAAATGAATCATGATAAAATTTCAGACAGAAAATATTTAAAAAGTTGTTTTCTTTTATGTGAAGAAATATGTCAGTTACCCCTTTGAAAAAGAATGCAAGCTTTTGATGAAAATTTATGAAATGCAAATTTGGATTTTATTGCTAGATATTTCACAATCATTAGAGTTTTGATTTCAGCCGCGCCATGACAAAACCAACATAATGCGTTTGCGACCAGCATGGATCCAGACCAGCCTGCGCATCCGCACAGTCTGATCAGGATCCATGCTGTTTGCTTACCAACCCTATTACAAGTAGCAAAACTGATAGTGAACAGCATGGATCCTGATCAGACTGCGCGGATGCGCAGGCTGGTCTGGATCCATGCTGGTTGCAAACACATTACGTTGGTTTTGTCGTGGCGTGGCTCATTTCTTTTTTATGTACCACATCTCAAGTTTATCAATTCCAAAGCAGTTCTGAAAAGAAAGGAGTACACTTATTTTAATATAAAAATAATCCACATTTAGATTTATAAAAGGTTGAATAATCCTTAAATATTTTAGTCTTGTTAGTTATCATTCTTGTGCACTGTACACCTCCTGAGTGAGATCTATGCACCTATGAAGTTTCATGTTGATATCTCAAAGGCCTTTTTGAGTTATGCTCTGGACAATAATTAATTTTGAAAAACAAGAACCGGTTGAACCGGGTGATGCTCCCCGAGAAGGTTCTGGACACAGGAAAGTATAAAAAAAATGAACAAAGGGCAAAAACTCCAAAATTAGGCAAAGCGGAGTTATGTTTTTTGCACTGCACTTCTATTCAATGAGATCTATCTATCTATAAAGTTTCCTGATGATATCAGAGTTATGTCCCAGGTAAAAGTCCAAGTGTAAAAATGAACAAAGGGCAATAACTCCGAAATTAGACCAGGCTTTGTTTAGGTTCTTTAAGCATTGCAGTTCTATCCAATTATATCTAGCTACCTACAAAGTTTCATGTTGATATCTCTAATAGTTTTAAAGTAATGTCCAGGACAAAAGTCAAAAAGTAAAAATAAACAAAGGGCAATTACTTCAAAATAAGGCAAGGCAGAGTAATGATTCTTAAGCACTGCACTTCCACCCAATGAGACCTATCTATCTACAAAGATTCATGTTGATATCTCTTATAATTTTAGAGTAATGTCCCAGACAAAGTTCAAAGTGTCAAAATGAACAAAGGGCAATAACTCCAAAAGTAGGCAAGACAGTGTTACAGTTCTTGTGCACTGCAATCTTACCCAATGAGATCTATCTACCTACAAAGTTTCATGTTGATATCTCTTATACATTAAGAGTTATGTGCCGGACAAAGTTCAAAGTGTAAAAATAAACAAAGGGGGATAATTCAAAAATTAGGCAAGGCAGAGTTAAGGTTCTTGTTCACTGCACACCTACTCAATGATATCTATCTACCTACAAAGTTTCATGTTGATACCTCTTATACTTTTAGAGTTATGTCCCGGACAAAGTTCAAAGTGTAAAATAAACAAAGGGGGATAATTCAAAAATTAGACAAGGCACAGTTACGGTTCTTGTGCACTGCACACCTACTCAATGAGATCTATCTACCTAAAAAGTTTCATGTTGATACCTCTTATACTTTTAGAGTTATGTCCCGGACAAAGTTCAAAGTGTAAAATAAACAAAGGGGGATAATTCAAAAATTAGACAAGGCAGAGTTACGGTTCTTGTGCACTGCACACCTACTCAATGAGATCTATCTACCTACAAAGTTTCATGTTGATACCTCTTATACGTTTAGAGTTATTTCCCGGACAAAGTTCAAAGTGTAAAATAAACAAAGGGGGATAATTCAAAAATAAGACAAGGCAGAGTTACGGTTCTTATGCACTGCACATCAACTCAATGAGATCTATTTAACTACAAAGTTTCGTGTTGATACCTCTTATAGTTTTAGAGTTATATCCCGGACAAAGTTCAAAGTGTAAAATAAACAAAGGGCAATAATTCAAAAATTAGGAAAGGCAGAATTACAGTTCTTGTGCACTGCACACCTACTTAATAAGATCTATCTACCTACAAAGTTTCATGTTGATACCTCAAATAATTTTAGAGTTTTTCCAGGACAAAGTTCAAAGTGTAAAATAAACAAAGGAAGATAATTCAAAAATTAGGCAAGGCAGAGTTACGGTTCTTGTGCACTGCACACCTACTCAATAAGATCTATCTACCTACAAAGTTTCATGTTGATACCTCTTATACTTTTAGAGTTATGTCCAGGACAAAGTTCAAAGTGTAAAATAAACAAAGGAAGACAATTCAAAAATTAGGCAAGGCAGAGTTACGGTTCTTGTGCACTGCACACCTACTCAATGAGATCTATCTACCTACAAAGTTTCATGTTGATACCTCTTATACTTTTAGAGTAATGTCCCGGACAAAGTTCAAAGTGTTTTTACTCACTGATCATACCATATATAAAGCTTCACTGGCCTCCCCTTCTACACATGGACTACACTGGCATTCAAAGAAATATTGTTCCTTCAAACATTGCTGACGTTCACTCCATCCCATTCGTTTATAGTGTGGTCCTGATACATAAAAATTTTATGATTAGAAATACATGTACATCTAGTTCTATTTCCTTATAAAATTAACAATCCTAAATAAGAGGCCTCCATGACCAAGTGCTTACAGTCAGTTATTGCAAATCAATTGCTGCTTATCATTGTGCCAGGGAGTTTTGCCCAAATTTCCACTTTTACTAGTGAATGAAAATCTCAGGTGCCGTTAAGTGCATTAAGGCACAAGCAGACACCTCTGTAGAACCACAAACATTCTGTCATCTATAAAATAGGTGGATAGTTTCATTCCAAGATTTGAAAGCACTGCTGTGATTTAATGTCTCCCATCATAATCACTTTGCCATATGTTAGGAGCTAGTCAGTTATGGCAAGATATGTGTAGGTGGTTCAGATGCCAACTTTTGCCTGGAGTAATGGATAGACAGACACCTGACATCTTCCACTACAAGCAGAAAGCTTGTTTTAAGACCCAACTACGAAAAAAATGCACACACACACACACACACCAAAAATCCACAAAAAACTTAAGTAAGAACTTTTCATCATGATCCTTCATTTACATTATAATCTCATAATCAATAAGATTAAATTTTCTGTAAAATGGTAAGACATGAAATTGTACCGTTAACTTACTCAAGAAATGTTAGTTCTAAGTACACAATTTATATTCAACTAAGATGAGATTAAAAGGTAAATTACCATAACAGTTGAATATTTCCTCTCCTGTTTTTACATCTTTTACAGCACGTACAACTAAAATATTCTTACAGAAACTGAAAATATTAACAAAAATTGTAAGTTAAGAAGGGGCATAACTCCAAAAAATAATGGCACAGCAACAATCATTATCTATGAAACAGATGAGGTAAAATAATGCTGTAAATTGAACCAAATAAATCAGTTAAACATATCTTGAGGCATTTACTATCCACAAAATATAGAATATAATATAGAAAACTATTTATAATGTGTATGAATATGAAGATAATGTCCTTATTCTGTCAATAAAAAGATATAACATATGGTGATAAACAATGTCAAAGGTTTTGCATACAACTTGCAAAGGCTCACTTAAAACACACTTTAATCCATATAACATGATTATATTGAAGCAAGCACACTTACTTATGATATTATGATAATACTTTCATATCTTGAGAAGATACCTCCTAGTTCTCAATATTATTATGAAAATTTCACTCCTTGTAAGATTAATAATTATACTTGTCATATTTGTCTCAAGCAGACCCGCCCATTGGGCGTTAACTCGGCAAGCCTTGCAACCACCCAATGGGCAGGTCCCCTCAGGACGGATATTCCAATCCAAACTGCAAACATATGTCAGATATTTGTTCTTGTATGTTCTACCATAATCCATCTTAGTAAAACAATTTTCCATGGACATTTATGTCATTACATCCGTAACTACCCTAACTATTTTCTTACAATAGCATATGAAATTACATTTCCATCCTTAATGATAAAATTACATCATCCAAAGCATACCATTGTACAACACACAACTCATTTGACACCCAGATGACAGATGAAATTTCCAGCATGGGTTAAACTAGGGAAATGCAAGAATATTTAAAATAATACAGGGTCAAATAGAAAGATCCTGGATAGATAAAGATAAGAAACTTAAAATTTGAACCTTGATATGATAGTTGGGTCACAGGAATGATTCATCAGGCTAGCTGTAGGGTATATAGCTGTTGCTATTCTAACTTGACTCTTTTCTTCCACTATACTATCATTTGTTTGCTGATTGCACTAAATCAAAAGATATCACATATAACATAGCTATTCAATGAACATTTGATTAATAACGATATAAGTTTATAAAAATATAGTATTTTAGTAAATCTTTAAATATACAAATAGCCAATCAAACAGACTTGGGATTTTTTGGTGTTTTCTGACACTATGGTAAAATGTTGTAAAGAATCTGATGTGAGTTGTCCTTTGAAAAGAAAATTTCATTAAACTTGTCTTATAAATGTTATAAAACTTGCATGTAGAACTAGAAAATATATAATGTATTACAGAATTATTGACTGTTTGTATACGAACCTGTAATTCTGTGATAGCATGCGCATTACAGACTAACTGTAGAATATGCCTCAATAATAAACCTCCTATAATACATGATTCCTCATCTGTTCTATCTGAAATAAAGTGCACTTACACATGATTTTGTATTGAATATAATCAAAGACATTGTAATTTCATTCTAAATTTAGGGACACTATGACCCTGAAGTTTAGGTGTCTAGATAGAATGTTTGAGTGCTACAGGGGTCAATGGTCATGGTTATGATTCATCATATGACACTAGGACTTGTACATCCAGGCCATAGAATTAAAGGGAGACACAGTCAAAATGATCATTTCTTCGCTTTGAATATCATACATTATTATGTAAATGTCCTTAAAATAAATACACTAGACAGTCACAGGAATAAAACTTTTCTCCTTATAAAGAATAAAGTGGTGGTTCCCTAACTTGACCCACATAGGTCAGGTTAGAGTGTTAAATTTTTTTTACAATAATTGTCACAGTGAACTCTGGAACGTGTCAAATGGATGACTTAAGACTTGTTTCAATCATACAATATCCACAATATCTGTTATTGTAACTTCAAGGTTTTCCTAGACCTCAAGTCACATGACTTGTTTTAAAATTACTCTGTGATTCTGTTGCCGTCAAGATGTTGTTCAACATATATAGATGTATTAATGCTTTTAACCTTAAATATATAGAATTTATACAGACATTTATGCTGGGACTTTAAAATAATGTTGTGTACATAAGATCATTTTCATATTTTTGTCACTTATTTGTCTGAGTATCCTTTTATGAAATGGTTCAAATAAAATTTTATCACAATGTTTAAATGAATGTTTTAAATTAATCATATCCCATTTCCAGTATTTTGTATCCATATTACATGTTTATATGGGAGTAAAGCACACTGACAAAATTTGTATATGTAACAAGTTGCACTTGTTGGACCCACACAGACTAATCTTTAACCATTAATACTGCCCTTCCTGTACAGAAATACCCTATGTGACCATATGCAACTTTCAAGACACTTTTTACAATTTTCAAAAAAGTAGTGTTTAAAGACAGAGTTGTCTATAGTTTGATAATTAACACACAATTTCCGATCATAATTTTACATATTGTTATTAAAGATGATGATTAATGTCTAACATAAGTAACTCTTTACTTTAATGTCTAACATAAGTAACTCTTTACTATGAGTATTGAATTATTATTTACCCGTAAGACCTGATTTATTTCCCAGCCAACCGGAATGTTGAAGTATCTTTAACAATAATTCAGCTGTCTGCAGTTATAAAAAACAAGAAATCACATAACTTCTATAAGCTTTGCTAGTGCATTATCCGCAAATCTTCTTTTATACAAAATATCTGGTTGAGATTAATGCAAACACTTGTGATAAAATTGCAGATTTTCTTTCACCTAGCCAAAATATTTTGACATGCCTAAGCTAGATTATGACAGATATTTGTTATAGAGGGGAGATAATGACCATACACAAAATAGCACAATATCTCAATGTGTAATACAGTAAGTTCAATTGTTCTTTCATCATGCTGAATATTTCTTTTTTTATTTCTCTTAATAAAATTCAAGAAATAAAACAACAATACAATACTATGAAATTTGATGTAAAAACAGTGTCCTGAAATAATACACACAAAGTCTTACATTTGCAAAGCACTATAGGTATTTTCTTATTATATTTTTTTAAAAAAAAAGGCAAAGTTGACTCTGCACAAACGTTCAATTATTAAAGAGTTAAGTTACATAACAACAATAATTGTCAAACTATTTTTACAGCTGATATTGTTAGGCACTTTCGTTTTCATTGATTAATTTTATGTATTCTTTCCAAACATCCTGAATTGCTTCAAACCTAAGCATTTTTTTGCATTGATTATTTCTGTTTTAACCAAAAATAGTAATTGATTTTTAAAAGCCTCTAAGTTTGGCAATACGGACTTGATTTTACATTTGTAAATGTTATGTTTCAATAATAATAATATATTATTCTCTGGAACTGTGAAACGGGAACAGTCGAAAATGACAGATTGTTCTGAAAAATGAAAAGATGAATTTGGAATTTTGTTTGTTAACAAGACCTGCACGTCCCTTATAAACATGTTGACTATGTCACATTCCCAAAATAAATGCGTTATGGTTTCTGGATTGACATTACAAAATGTACAGTTGTCGTTGTCTCTAACCTTAATCTTTTTCAGTAATACATTAGTACCTAAAATACGATGCGTTATTCTATATTGAAGCCATAAAAGTTTTGGATCCTTAAGTCACTTTAAAGGGAAGAGAGTAGATACTTCCCCAGTTAAGATAAATATTAGAAGAATCATTTTGCCATTTTATTTCTGATTTTGTCTGACGATTATTATTGACCAGCACGTCGTATATTGCGCGACATCCTTTGCGACTTTTGTTAAGTATTTGGATGGCAATTGGCAATATCGAGTTTTTTTACTTTGGTATCGTTTTGCTTTACATGAAAATTCGTCCAAAAGCTTTTCTGAAGGAACGTATTATACCTTCATATTAAAGAAAATTTGAGTTAACATCAAATTATCCTTGAACTTCTTGAAAACTAAGAAACAACCTATTTTCATTTACAAAATCGAAACACCTTTTCTTAAGTAGTGTTTAAATTCAAACGATTTTCCTACAATTCTGAAATTAGGATTTAACCTGAACAAATCTTACATTGAAATAAATAAAATGAATTCAAAACATCCTTCCAAAACAAATTGTTTACTCTACTTTTATTTTGTAACAAAAAGTCACTACCATATTTGGCCAACTGGTAAAGAGCCGGACACAATTCTTGTACAAGAAAAGCATATTTAGTGTTTGAAGAGAAAAGTCTTCTTATCATGCTGAATATTATCAACATTCTTCTTCCCTATGATTAATTTAGACACAAACAATCTGAAAAGTGTAATAAGACTTTTAACCACCAAAAAGTATGCTTAACATTTACTCAGAGTGCTTGGCCCTGAAGACATTAGCCTTTACATGCCGTATACAGTCAGGCATGTCTGCACAGCCATGCAGTCTGACTAAGCTCAATACTGATGGTAATTATTTAAGAAAAGTGAGCAAAATTAAATTCATTCTGTGGCCAAGCTCATTAGTTTATTCTTGAAACAGGGATTTCACTGACACAAAAAAAATCTACAGAAACAAATAAGTCCTATTCTGCTAAGAAATATATTAATTTTGAGTGCATTGTTTGATTTATTAATTACAAAGCAATTGAATGATAAACCATATATTATCATACTATAATGCAAGAAAAATGAATATATATTTCCATTCTAACATGCTAAAAGAGAATTGATAAAAATATGTAGAACTACTTTTGTGTAGAAGTAATTTTCCTGACGTCAATTAGTTATTTGATGTCATATATGATATCATATGACCTGTAAGCATTTTTTTATGCTGTGCACATATCGAGATAATGCAGTGCCCTATCTGTTTGATAGGGGAATAGTGTGAAGCATGTTAGTATAAGAAATAAAAACCATCTGTAGGTAACTTTTACATATATATATAACTATATGAATGCTTGAAAACATGTTACACTTGTAAGCTCTTACAAATTAACTTGAAAGACGTTGATAATTATATAATTCATAGTTCCCTTTGATATTAAAACAAGATTCTCATAAAAAAAGTTGCAAACAAGCAAATTCGTTGAATTTATATCCCCCGCCGAGTACTGGTTATTATTAACACAACAACTGAAGACATAAGGCTTTATTTATATATTAATCATGGCATAAACTGTAATATTCTTTGAACTTGAAGCCTTGTACCTTCAAACAAGAAGAATTTTTAAGTTTTCACTATATACATATAAGGAAAATCTATGACCCCCTGGAGTGGGGCCAATTTTGACCCCAGGGCTAAAATTTGAACAATTTTGGTAGAGGACCTATAGGTTATATCATATACCAAATATCAAAGCTCTAGGCCTTGTACTGGCCCTGTGACCTACTTATGCAACAGACCGGAACCATTTGATCAACTTTAGCAGGGGATCGACCACCCTAGGATCATTCCTGTAAAGTTTGGTTGCTGTGCAGTCATTTGTTTCTGAGGAGATGTTGTTTAAAGAAATTGCTGACGACGCACGACGACGGACGGTGGGGGATCACAATAGCTCACCTAGATGTAAAAACATCTTAATCTCCAGACTTCATTGCCATTTTCAAGGCATCAAGAAGGGATCTCACAATTTTCAAATATTTTAAATGTTATTGTAACAAATCATTTTAATTCTTCTTTAATAAAAACTAGAAATGTGTTCACAGGACACGGGTGCCCCCACCGCGCCACTGTTCTGTCAATGTTATGACTCTAGGTCAAATATTTTTTTAAAACTAAAAATCTTTTTACTAAGTAAAGGGCAAGAACTTTACAAATACTGAATAAATCCCCAAGCAAACCCCAAGTTGAAAATTGCAAATTTATACTACTGTAATTCAAGGGCAATAACTCTAACAAAACTGAAAAAAATCCACATGCAAAGTCCCAGGTTCATAGTTTCACAGTGAGGTGAATCATTATTCCTGTAATTTAGTGATGTTGATCATTATTCCTGTAAAGTTGGTCGATTCTAACTCAAGCACTCAAGGATCAAATAACAACATAATGAAACAGTTTTTACAAAGTCAAGGGAAATAACTCTACAAATACTGGATAAATCCACAAGCGAAACCCCAGGAACAAACTAAATATGCTGAGCAACTTTCCAATAAGGTTTAATGACTCTATGTCAAATCCTTTTTGAGTTACATGCGACACATGTTGAAAATTGCAAACATTTTCTAAGTCAAGGGCAATAACTCTAAAAATACTAAATAAATCCGGACGAAAATACCCAGGTGCACAACTTCACATACTGATCAACATTCCTGTAAAGTTTCATGACTCTAGGTCAAATACTTTTTGAGTTACATGCGACACAAGTTGAAAATTACAAAATTTTACTAAGTCAAGGGCAATAACTCTAAAAATACTAAAAATATCCAGACGAAAATACCCAGGTGCACAACTACACATACTGATCAACATTCCTGTAAAGTTTCATGACTCTAGGTCAAATACTTTTTGAGTTACATGCGATACAAGTTGAAAATTACAAAATTTTACTAAGTCAAGGGCAATAACTCTAAAAATACTAAAAATATCCAGACGAAAATACCCAGGTGCACAACTTCACATGCTGATCAACATTCCCATAAAGTTTCGTTGAATTCCAGCCTATAGTTGCAGAGAACTACTCCGGAAACGAAATTCGGACAAAATTTTACTGAGTCAAGGGCAATAACTCTAAAAATACTAAAAATATCCAGACGAAAATACCCAGGTGGACAACTTCACATGCTGATCAACATTCCCATAAAGTTTCGTTGAATTCCAGCCATTAGTTGCAGAGAACTACTCCGGAAACGAAATTCGGACGGACGGACGGACGGACAACGCCAAAACTATATCCCCCTCCCGATTCCATCGGCGGGGGATAACAAGTTTTAAATAATATCCTTAGAGTGAAATCATACCATAGTATACTGAAATAAATCCTCGACTGTCATGTCTTCACAATGTGTCATTAGATTGTACACAGGCTGGTAATTGCCTGTATATTGACCATTTTCATCCAGGCCCATTGTATCCTTCACCTTGATTGTATTTTGTTCAGCCTTGAAATCTGAAAACATTGAGTACACTACAATACAGTAAAGGCATGGTGCAGGCGCACTACAGATATAGTATAGGAACACTACAGGCTGTGGCACAATACAGGGACAGTAAAGGTACAGTTAAGGTGTCACAGTATAGAACTTTTCACTAACAAGGGCAAAACATGTAAGCAGTCGTATAGCTCAGTCGGTAGATTACAGTACAGTATTCAAATTGTCCTGGATACGCCTCACTGTCAGACTGTACATTTATCTCACCTTGTGACATTTGGTGCCAGAGGAGGGGACCATAACAGTAATAATAATAATATAATAATATCTTTATTTAAAGAAGGTTACACATTAAGAACATACAATAACAATCATATATATCTTATTTCCAATGTGGCCTTCTGAAATAGAAAACAACAATAACAACAACAGGACATGCATAGGTAGAAAATTGAATGTATAATATGTAATATTTAGAATATTACAACTCATATACTTTCGACAGACACTCAACAATTTGTTTTAACATATACGTATATTGCATCATTCGTTCGTTCGTTCATTCGCTCGTTCATTTATTAATTCATTCATTCATTCATTTATTCATTCACTCACTTATTCATTCATATGAACATCAAGATATGCTTTGTATTTTTCTTTAAAACATTTAAGGTTATTAACATTACGAATATTTAAAGGTATATTGTTCCAAATGTTCATGCCATAATAAGAAAATGTGTCTTTAATATAGTTTGTTTTAGGTCTTGTCCATAATACAATATCTTTTCGTGACCTAGATCTTAAGTTATATATTTTGTTGTCGGATAAAGTCATCAGTTCTGTCATATAAGTCGGTGCCATGTTATTTAAAGTTTTAAAAACAAGCACCGCCGTGTGGTATTTACATCTGTCAAGGAACGGTAACCAGTTAAGAGTTTCGAATAGATTTATTGACGGAGATCTTTGTGGTTGCTGTAAAATGATTTTAGCAATTCGTTTTTGTAATTTACAAACATTATTTATGTAGTTTGTGTTTCCTTTACCCCATATAATACAACAATAGTCCATAATGGGCAATATATATGCATTGTAAAACAATAATTTCATATCAAAGTGCAAAAAAATACGATATCTTTTTCAATAAGGCAATTTTTCCGTTAAGTTTTTTACAAACATTGTCAATTTGCAAGTGCCATTTTAAGTTGTTATCTATGCAGATACCCAAGACTTTGTGATCAGTTACATTTTCAAGAGCTATTTCATTTATCTTAAGATACAATTTTCTCATAATATTTACTTTTTGTCTTGTTCCTATTACCATACATTTTGATTTATCTGGATTTAAGGCCATATTATTTATTTTGCACCATTTGTCAATGTTATTTAAATGATCTTGAAGTTTTATTTTTACTTTTGATATATTTTCCGGACTCATAAAGAGTAGAATCGTCTGCGTATAAATCAATTTTTATATCATTACCAATGAAAGATATGTAATTTATGTATATTAGAAATAATAAAGGTCCTAATATTGAGCCTTGTGGAACACTGGAAATTATTTTCATTGTCTGAGATTGAAGATTGCATATCTTAACCAGTTGTTTTCTGTTAGAAAGATATGACTTAAAAAAACTTAACGGCATTTTCAGAAAATGATAAAGTTTAAGTTAATGCAAAAGTATTTCATGGTCAACCAAATCAATGGCCTTCTTTAAGTCTAAGAATACAGTCCCGATAATTTTTCCACTGTCAACATCTTTTAACCAAGTATCTATTAAACTAATGAGTGCAGTATTACATGAATGATTTTTACGAAATCCTGATTGTTTATTATGAATTATGTTCGTTTTTTCAAAGAATGAGTGTATTTGTTTGGCAATATGGCGCTCAAATATTTTGGATATAGTTGACAAAATTGATATCGGTCGATAGTTATTTGCTTCATTCTTATCCCCCGATTTAACAAGAGCTGTCCGTAAGACAGCGCGCTCGACTTTTTTAGTGCTTGCCTATAATACAAAACATTGACAGTTAAGGGCCATAATTCAAATAAAATCTTTGACAGAATTACCTTCTCCTGGACATGTTTGGGAATCATGATTGTAAAAAAGTATTCCAACTTTCAAATTAATATCTCAAACAGTTCAGTCAAAAAGTGGACTGGTACTAAAAACTTAACCAAGATTCTAAGTCGATAAAAGGCCTTAATTTTTAAAACAAATCCTTGACAGAGTTACCTTCTCTTGCGTACAGATGGGGGTAATGATGTGAAATAGCATTAAAAGTTTCAAAGCAATATCTCAAAGGGTTAAGGCAATAAGTGGATTTTACCCATATTCAATGTATTTTCTAAGTCAAAAAGGGGCATAATTCTGTCAAAAACCTTGACAGAGTTATGTCCTCTTGTCTGTTGATGAAGGTCGTGATGGTAAACAAGTATGGTCAGTTTCAAAGCAATACCTCCAATGGTTTTGAAATAAAGTGAGGTGGTACAAAAAAACTTAACCAAGCTCAATACACTTTCTAAGTCAAAAAAGGGCCATAATTCTGTCAAAAACCTTGACAGAGTTATGTACTCTTGTCTGTAGATGGAGGTTATGATGGTGAACAAGTATGGTAAGTTTCAAAGCCATACTTGTAATACTTCTGAAATAAAGTGGGGTGGTACGAAAAACTTAACCAAGGTGTGACGCCAACGCTAACGCCGACGCCGACGCCGGGGCGAGTAGGATAGCTCCCCTTTTCATAGAAAAGTCGAGCTAAAAATAGGTATAACTCTAGCTCTTTTTAAATCATCTGGGAAAATATTATATTTAATACTATTATTGATAATTGATGCAATTATTGGTGTAATATAATCTCCACAATATTTAATGATGTTTGGTCCAATTCCATATAATCCTGTAGATTTTTCAATATTCAGTTTTTCAATAATAAATTTTACTTCAAACGGTGTGATTAATCCAATATTGAATTCATTATACATGTATATAAGCTTTTGGTCTAAAGTTTCTTTCATGTTTGAAAAATTTGTATTTGAAAACTTTGTTTATGTATGACATTCGAGATATTGACAAAATACTTGTTTAATTCAATTTAAATATTTACATTTCCGTAAATTTCTTTATTACCTGTCACTAGTCTGTCTGGCGTTGTAATACAACTTTGAAACGTCCTTTAAATTTTTCCAAAAAAATGCCGGGTCTTTGTTATTTTTAATAGCATTGTTAAAGAAATCTCTTTTACTTTTTTTAATCATTGATGGTATTTTATTTCTGAGCAATTTGTATTGATCATATTTCCCTACTTTATGATAGTAATCGCGTTCATGTATTATATATTTTATCTCATCAGTAAACCATTCCGGCAGGTGTTCCCGTTTGATACGTTTTTCTTTTATTGTTGCATGTTTTTTCAATATTGTATTTAAAATGGAGTAAAATAAGCTAAGAGATTTATTCAGATTAATTATGTGCTCGACCAATTCAAGATCGGATAAAGCAAGGTCTACCTGAAATTCAATTTCATTGAAGTTTTTAAAACATCTATATTTAATTGAACTATGTTCATTAATCGATTGGTATATGCTTTCGTTGATCTTGAAATACATATCGAATAATGATCAATTAATGAGGTATCAGAAACAAACGATTCAATAATATATCTGCTACTGTTTGTATAAACATGATCTATAATTTTTTGGGTATGTTTTGTTATCCTAGTAGGATCTGTGATAAGTTGTTTCAAACCATATTTCGTTATCAAATCACCCCATTTTGTATTGTCATACTTTTTCTTTTTATTCATTGGATAAAAGTTTCCATCTCCTAGAATATGATATTCTATATTTGATATATCTATTATACTTAGTTGTTTTTCATAATCATCAATCCAAGATTGGTGAACATTTGGTGGGCGATATATAAAATTTAAAAGAAAAGGTTTGCAATTTGGGTAAATAATTTCCAACCAAACAGATTCTAATTCGTCCGTTTCTATATCGTAACGGCGCCGATATGGCACCTTGTCAGCAATATATATTACAATTCCCCCGCCTTTATGACAACTTTTACGGTCCTTTCTTTCGTGTGTGAACTTGTTTATATTTAATTCATCATCTGTTGTATCTTCACCAAAAAATGTCTCAGTAAAGCCGAAAATATCTGGCGAATTTAATTTGTTTAATAGATTGTATTTTATTTCGTCTATTTTCGGCATTAAATGATTAACGTTAAGGTGTGCAATATGTAAACCTCGTTTTTCAAACTTAGAATTGAACAATTTATTATCTGGAAAATTTGATTTATGGAGTGTAACATTATTTAGTACTTTGCAATTATATTCATCATTTCCGTATTTATTGTATGGCACTGATTGTTCAAAAGAAACAATTTGATTATCAGATTCATTAGTGTCTATAAATTACCGTTCTTTTACTATCAAATCGATAATTTTTCGCGTACTTAAACATATGTGTAAAATATCAATTGTGGAGTACAACAATCGTAACATACATTATAAACAATAGTAAAGAAGGAGTGTTACATGCCTCCTATCATAAAACAAGTTTTCCTGCAACCATTTTGTAGGAACATATCGAAACCGACTTTTTTATTTAACGGAATTAATTGAAAAGTTCTTGTGTGTGACTGAAATATTACTATATAGTTATTTCTTATTTGAGATATACCAGATATGTTAATGTAATATATATAAGAGAAAATCAAATTCAAATTATCTACATTTGTAAAACTATTTGTTTTACTCTCACATACCTCGATCCAGTAATCTGTTAGAATACACATGTTACTGTTATTTGATGAAATCTCATTTCTAACAAAGTAGTCTTATCACGTTCACTTAGATTCTTTACATATTAATTGTTAAATTTATTTAACGTTCGGAATTTTTCTTTGCTATAATAGATTTTAGAGTGTCTGTCCGCATTATCCTAGTTCAGATACCAACAGTCATTAGACTTGTGAATTATTCTTCCGCAGATAAATCACTGATCAAAGCATTTCCTACTTCCGGTTCCGCCATATCGCATTTTACTGGGAAAGTCGTACCCGTTGCTCTGCTTCGAAGAATGTTGCCACCTCCTTGTCAAGTTTTTGTTCATGCTTCTGGTTCTATCTGTTACAGTTGCGCGCATATCGGAATTTGGGGAGGATTGTTGTTTGATTATACGTAGCCTTTTATTTATTGCCAGGACTAACGCAGATGCACCCCTCGGGCTTAAATGGATACCATCCCTTACAAATTGGTGTTTCGCTACACTGCCGTCACCATAGACAAATCCGCTGTATACATCAATAGTAGGCCCCTATATAGCTCAGAATCAACTTAAATTGTTTTCTATAAGAAATTTGAGGATGAATTTCAATAAAGCAGGGTATTATGTAACAGTATAGTACAATTCATCGATTACTGAGGAAATGTGTAAGCAGCCAGATATCTCAATCTTTAGAGCAGCAGTATGTTTTCCCAGAGGCCCGGGTTTCACTCGTGTTCCAGCATAATTTATCAAACATAAAATCACAAAATTAGGTCCCGGGTTCCAGTTGTGTTCAAACATAAAATCACAAAATTGGGTCCCGGGTTCCAGTTGTGTTCAAGCATAGTTTATTCAACATAAAATTACAAAATTATTAATATCAAACATTAGCAACAGTAAGAACAGGACTGAGTGAAGCAAAAAAAAAACAAAAACCATCGATACAAGAAAATATCACAACAGAAACAAAACAAAACAAAATATTTGTAGAAACAGCGACATAAGGGAAACAACTCAGTATACTTAGTAATATTGCTACTTGAATAGTCGTGGTTCTAAATGAGAAAAAAATTATAGTAAACTTGCTTTAGAAAATAGGAAAAACTACTCATAAAAGTTAAGGAATAAATATGTACAATTATAAAACAAAATGCATAATTTTGTTATATACATGTAATATGCAAGTGCCTTCCTACATGCATTTAAAACATTATTAAGAAAATAGATTTTGATAATAAGTGTTGTTGCAGAATACTGCATATTACAGAATGCAGATGTGTAAGATTATTGACATAAAGATTGTATATCTACATGTCTAATTATGGGCATATATCTGACTTTTATATTTTACAACAATATACAGTTAAAACCTCAAAACTAATATACATTGTATATATATTTATTTCCCTTATCACATTTTGATTTGAAAAGGAAAGAAAAATTTTTTTGGAAGTTTTTGTTTTGCTCACCAATGTGAAAGGCATGTCTCTCCTATTGACCCACTTTTGACCTCTGATTAAAAAGAAAAATTAACTGAAAATGTTAAGTTTTACAATAAAGTTTTTTTAAATTACATTGGAATTTTTAGGCCTAAAAATTGACTGGTACATGTATATTAAAGAACTTTCTATGTCTTTTATTTATTTCTTCTGTCTCCACTTACCTAGTAAATATTTAAGTCCAGCTACAAGAATTATTCTTAAACTCAAGTGAGCTATACCAACCTGCAATATAAAAATGTAATTACAAATCAAAGTTCAATAGTTCTCTTCATTACAATATAATTTATACAAATATCAGTTATGAGTTGCATACAATTCAGCATGAAAATAAGTGGAAACCTTTTTACGAAGATTGAAATAACTTGACCTATAATTAGCTAGACAGCTTAAAATTTGCATTTTGGAAAAGAGATGTTTATTTATTTGTACCAAAGAAAGTTACAACAGTACTTGTTGCCATGGTGCCTCATTTAACAAATTTATAGCCATTCATTGTATTACAGTATTAGTGTATTAAGTGTGGTTCTTGACTTACTGAATGAAGCAGTTGCAGATATCTACATTCGACATGATGATAAACATTCCAGCTTGAAGTCTCACAATCTGGACTACAATATCTTACCATTGTACATTGTCTACACCTGTAAATAGAAAAGTGCTAGAGTGAGCACTAGATATAAATTATTATGTTCTTTTTTTATTTTTTTTTTGGTTGTGTTTTAAATTGCACCACCACTGTAAAGAAAGGAAAGGTCATATACGGTGACTTTCCTGCTTTACCAGTGGAAGAAGAACAGGCACCTGAGTAAAACCACAAACATTCTATAAGCTAGCTGAATAGCTTCCTGACATGAAAGAATCTGAAGACCCTGGTTGGATTCAAACCCGCAGTGGTGAAGGGCAATTGGTTTGAAGTCAATGTTCTTAACCACTTGGCCACAAATGCCCCAAATGTGCTCAGAATAACTTGGAAACATAGGGTAAAAAATGGTCACAATCTATTGAAACACTTGGCATGTTTTACATGTGTAGCACCAAGTAACATAAATGTAACACTTATAAATAACATTAACATCTGTGTGTTCCCTATCTCAACCTGAATACTTAGAATGTTAGTGATAGTGATTTTCTTGAGCCAACTTTATACTGTCAGACCAGTCTTTACATATTTGCTGCCGTGCCATATCTTATACTTTTGGTGTCTTAATTTTGATATTTTCATTTCAAAATCTCTCAAACTTACAATGAGCTGCACTGCATTCAAAGAAGGACAAGACAATTACATAAGTTTTGTGTAGATGGGTTAAAATTAGGGGTGTCACGGTTAGAAAAAATGCTAACCGTTTAAATGGCGATGTAATAACCATGTTAAACGTTTAACCGACCATACTAATTAAATCCTTAGATTTTCAACATTTGTTTCTTTATGACAAAATATGTCACATTGTTCAAATTTTGTTACTCAAAATGATTACAATACATATTCCAATATGGAGATATTATTTTCCGCTAGGGTCGTACCGTATTCGATCAAATCAGAAATGCTACATTGTTGAGTACACCTAAAATACAAACAATTGTCATATCTTGTCATAAAAAACATAAAAAACAAAGGTAATATTTAGAATCAATTTTAAACTGTTCCACCCCTGAGTCAAATGCTAACTTTGGTTACCAGTTACTATATTTTCTAACCGGTTTTTAGCAAAAAAAAAAACAACTGTACACATTTAAACAGATAAATGTGACACCCTTAGTTAAAATCTTACGTCAGCATGGAATAATTAACCTTAAGCCTGTTGTCAGCAACAAATTCTTACCATGCAACAAGTGTAGACCAAAGCAAACCAAACACGAACATGGTCTCCAGCGGTCTGCTGTGGTCGCAAGTCAGTTACTACATATACTATGTATTGAAATTTTCGGTAAAAATAATGAATGATTATGTTCAAATTTAAGTAAAGTCTATACTAGTCCATTTAATATTTTTAGTATTGAAAGGGTTAATACAGCTAACATATGTTTACTAAGATTGTATAAAATTTGTTTAAATTTTGATATTATTAGAATAATGTTATTCTACATACGGATAAGCTATTGATAACTTTTGAAAACAGTGATGGCAGTGTGTGGGGTAGTGGTCTGGGAGCAAGACGGCAGCAAATGGTCTTTCTACTATCAATGTGTCTCCAGCTTTCATATCTTTGCAAGCCTGAAAACAAAAACACAGATTTCATTAAACACAATGCTAAATTTATAAATCTTGACAAAAAGCAGAATTAATTTTAATGACAACGGGTCTGGTATCAAGATGTATGAATCAGTTAAAAAAAATCAAAAAAAATCCAGGTTCTTGATGTTAATTGATAATTTACACCTTCGTTACAATTACGTCTTTTTAATTTTCAAAACAAACAATATTTCCAGTACATCTATCCTAACTTCTTATTTTAAAGGGACTCCACTGAGGTTTATTGACATGATGGGACTGAAAATATTTTTTTCCAGATAAATGTACCAATTGATGTAGGCTTAGACCACTAATCTTTGTGCAAAATTTCAGATCATTCGCGCACTTTGTTTTTCCAGAATTATTATTCAAATTGTGAAAAAATGACCCAAAATGAAAAGCGTTTAAACACTTTCCACTCAAATTGGACTAAGAAAAGCATAAAAATACGATTCTCAATTTATTTCAAAGTATATTTACATTATATTTACCTATCTTTGCATATATTTCTGTTTAAAGTGCCACAGCTCATTTATGTAAGAAATTTAAATGTTATGATTTTAGGCTTTTAAACCTCAGTGGAGTCCCTTTAAGGACATGTCTCATTAATTTATGCAACTCATAAATTCAGAAATAAGAGCTTACCAGTATTCAATGTTCTTTTTGTGTATAAAGATTGAATCTGAACGGATTCAAATTCCTAATTTATAAAATAAGTTCTGATTTCATTTCCAACATCTAAAAATAAACCTTCATTAGATTGACCTACAGTTAAATATCTTCCTTTAGCTGGGCTTGTGCTCATGACAACTGCACTGGAGGCTTGAACCAGTACTGGATTACAGCCATATGATACCTCTGGCCTGACGTTCTGAATCTCTTGCTTATTCTTACATACACTTCAAGAGAAAAAAGAACATTTTTTTATATCATAGCAAGATGTAAAATAGGGTATACAGCTATGTTAGACTGTTTGTAATTTGAAGAATGATTGATTATATTAAGATAAGAATCATATCAAAGAAATTTTATCCAAGAGAATGTAATTTTGAAGCATGACTGAAATCATCAATATACATACCTAAAATTGCGACTGAATATTTTGACTCACATTTTATTTTTCAAATACAGAACAAAATTATTTTGATAATTAATTCCAACAATTCAGCAACATATAGGATGTTTTTGAAAAGGGTAATTCATATAACACTACAGCACAGAGTCAATGAAAACAATTGGACATATACTGCGAATTTTGTTTATTTTGATTGCCTTTTATATATGATTTAGATCTGCGATATATAGACTTTATAGAATTTTTTTTTATGTGTTTCAGAAAATGTAAAGCATCCACCACTTCGTAAATGCACTATCGTGTCGGATTCTATGGCAAAAAATGTTTCCGGTATTTGGGACACGCATGTTACAGCCTTTCCGGGAATTAACATTTCTAGATTAAGTTATAGAATATCACAGGGTCATGTTGACTTGAGGTCCGATTACATTTTATTACATGTTGGTACTAATGACGTGACTGGTTCACATACTGTAGATGAAATTTTATCTTCTTTCAATGATCTAATTTCTAATGTACGTCAACATTCTTCTGGAAATATTATTGTTTCAGCTATTATTCCTAGGCCTATTGATTTTGAGGTTACAGGCAACAGGGTCAAAATTCTAAATAACAAACTGGCTCTGCTATGTAAGGATAGGCATGTTTTGTTTATTCGTACATTCAAGCCCTTTCTTAAGTGTGGGATTCCTCGTCAGGAATATTTTGCTATTAAGGATGGGGGTTTGCACTTGAATTTGGAGGGTACTAGGCGCTTAAGAGAATTTTTTATTAATACAATTTCACATTTAAAATAAAAGATTGTGGTAGTGCTTTACATTGTGTTGAAAACCTGTTTATGTAATTTAAAGAATAACTTGCAACAAGAGATTTTTGTTAGTATTTTAGATATAATAATAGTATATTTATCTCTTCAAAGACAGTATTTTAAAAGTCTATTGTCTTGGGTTTTCATAAATAATAGCTTTATAATGTTATTGTTCTTGTCTTTGCCTGGGACATATTATTTTCCAGGATAGGCTTCTTCTTACAAAATGGCTATGGCCACTTTGAAGATAGTTTTACTAAGGAGATGATAAAGTTAGTCTCTTAGTGAAATGTATTTTGTTGTATTTTGTGTTACATATGCTTTGTTTCTTTGTATGGCCTTGGGTTTGGCTTTATGGAGAATACTATATTTGAATGATTATAATTGTATTTGCAAGTTGAATAACAGAGCATTTTGATTTGATGACTTATGAAAGTCACACATTGATAATTTGATTATATGTGCTTTGTGAATTTGATATATGATTCAAGTGATCATTTTGGGGGATAAATTTAATTGAATTTATTGTGGCGGAAAAATTCTGTTAGCTGAGAGTTTATCAGGCGAACCAAAACTTCATTGCATTTTGTGTCATAAAGTTTTTATCTGCTGGTCGTGTTTTCTCCGATATCGGTGGCGGGGTCATGACCTCATTCCCGTCGGTTTCGGGGCAAATACGACTAGTTTTCATAACCTGTCATTCATAGTTTTAGTTTTGGTCATATATCAAGCCTGGAGTACTGTGCGCTTGCCAAGAAGGACTTCAATATTTTAAGTCAAGTTGCGTTTCTAGGATTTGCCCAAATGACACGTAGTCTGGCAATCCTAGCTTGCCTTGTTTCTGTTACGCTTGCTTTGGTTTTTACCGTGAGTCTAGCTTGCTTTATTCGTAACAGTTTTGCTGAATATACTATTCGCACAGTGTTTGCTCGTTGGTTTGCCAGTTATTTGCATACATCTTTTTAACTCTCAGCTGATGGAATATTTACGTCATATAACAGTTGCTTTATGGCATTCCCTGTTATATAAGTGGCCATATTTCTCCAATCTTAATATCTGGGAACATTTTGATGTTAAGGTTGATTGAATAAAAGTGTAAACTATACTATTTGTTATTCATTTTTTCGTATGATAAAATAAATGATTCAAGTGATCCATGGTACACGTATACCTAAATACATTCTTTAACCTGAACTTTGCTTTTGTCTTTTATAAATGAAAACTTATAATTTTGTTTATTTTGATCTAAAAATAACTTAATTATCAGGTTGAATGATTTGACCTTTACAAAACATCTTTTCATTGGTCTAAATTTATTTATGCATCATATTGGCATAACAATTTTTTATTGGTCGTTTATATCATTGGCGGTAAAATATTTTCTTTCTTTTCTCCTTGACAATATTTGTCATTCTGTATAAGTTGACCATTAGGATCACATGTTTTTAAAATTGAAATTTCCCACCCTACAGTACCCACCCTTTAAACATTTAGATACTTTTTATATGAATGAAAAAAAGTATTTGGATATATTGGTTCATTCATTGTTGTATTTCAGTGTTTAAACTGCAACATGTGTTGTTTGTACTGTAAGTTGAGTGACATTTATGTTGTTATGGTATCTATTATGTTGATGATGTCTTTGCCTGAGACTCATTGAATCTCAGGAAATGCTAAATCTTGCAAGCTGGTGATGGCCAGTCTTGAAGATTATACTACTAAGGAGGTATTATGAATATGTCTTAGTAGATCTTTATGGAGAATATTATACTTGAATGATTATAATTGTATATGCAGGTTGACTAACAAAGCATTTTGATTTGATGACTTATGAAAGTCACACATTGATAATTTGATTATATGTGCTTTGTGAATTTGATATATGATTCAAGTGATCCATGGTACACGTATACCTAAATACATTCTTTAACCTGAACTTTGCTTTTGTCTTTTATAAATGAAAACTTATAATTCACTTATATTCGTGGACATAAAATTTCGTGGTTTTACCAAAACGGGCATTTTGTGGGTTCTTAAATTCGTGGATTTTCGTTTTCTTGTTAAAAAAACCAGTAACCTAATGCAAAGTAATCTTAAACTTAATCGCCGAACATTTTTACTAACAACATGTACATATCTTTACTTGTCACACAGCGCTTGTCAATAAATTTAATCCTTGCCTCTGGGCATAACTCTAATATAGCGAACTGTTACTGCCAATAATTGACTGCAATTAACACATTTATGTGACATGATATGCACCTCCATTGGACACACTGCCCCTGTAATTCGCCGATGTTAACATCGCATAATTTATACGACACCTGGCAAGTTTAAAAGTTTACACCCTGAATTGGTCTTAACATATTTGACAGTAACTACACGCAACGTCACAGCGACTGTGTAAATTTACATGCATATAAATTAATCTCGGTAAATAACACGAGTATATGTGGATCTTGTAAAAGTCGGTGGCATCTTTGATGTTTACGGAATAGCATTCACACAAATACAGATTAAAATTCATATAAATTGGATCATTTAAAAACGACAAAAGAATGTACAATAAATCTGTTTTAGCGATCGTATTTTTATAGTTTTGTGTACTTACGACATTAATATCAAAGACTTTTTTTAAATTAATAAGAGCAATTTTTATTAGCAATTTTTATTAGCTCTAATTATTGCACTGCCTGGGTTCCTATATTTACTTGATTATGTCAAGTATTCTTGTTAACACAATCAAGTCCTAGTAGACTACAACGATCAAGTATGTATATGCGACATTTGTGACAATATAATCGAGTTTTCTTTCAAGTTTCTTAAATATTGCAAACGGATTTAATATGTCACAAACCTGATTATCTGTCTGTATTTACATCCATTTCACGAAATATCAGCCGGAAAAGAGCCGACGCATGTTTGTTATATAGAGACTTGGTAAGAAGTATTTGTTGGGATAAAAGTTCGTCGGATCTTAAATTCGTGGATTGACCTACCCACGAAAACCATGAAAATTTGTGCCCCACGAATAATAATGATTTTACAGTAACTATTTAAAGTTCACTTTATAATCTTTATAACAAACACAGACACAGAGGTGAAACACTATATCCCTCCAATCGCAGATGCTGCATAAATATACATGTATCTTTCTCACAAATAGTAATTGTAATAGATAATATATAATATAGATAATAATATGAGCCGCGTCACGACAAAACCAACATAATGGGTTTGCGACCAGCATGGATCCAGACCCATTTTGTTGGTTTTGTCATGACGCGGCTCATATATCTATCATACATATATTAAACACAACAATATAATTAACTTACTTTGACTTATGTAAACTTTGTATCTCTGATATTTCCTTCAAAATAACATCTGAAACAAAAGCATATGTGTCCTTTCTTACAATCTATCAACTACTTAACAATGCAAATTCTTTACTTAATATTTTGCTAAATAAAACTATTGTAAACAAACTGCAAAGAGAGCTTGGAAAATATTATCATTATTAAATGATGTCAACATTTATCTATTTATCAAGATGATCATGTACAATGTAATCAATATTGTCATTGGGGCACTGTCTGTTGTTATACTTTGACGGATTTAAATATTAAAAGCCAAGTGGTTAAGGTCATTGACTTCAGACCACTTGCCCCTCACCGCTATGCGTTTGAAACCTGACAGGGACTTTGAATTCTTTCATGTGAGGAAGCTATCCAGCTAGCTTACGGAACATCGGTGGTTCTAATCAGGTGCCCGTTTGTACCTGAAATAATGCACGGTGGGCACCTGAGGTCTTCCTCCACCAGTAAAGCTGGAACATCGCTATATGACCTATACTGTGTTGGTATGACGTACAACCCAATCAAACAAATATCAAAATGCTTGAATTTTACAACCAACAGAATAGGTTCTTGTCAGATCTAAAGGTTAATCTGGCTGACCTGGGTCTAAACTGGAGACACGGGCAAGTCAATATTACTGATAGCATTCAAAGACTTAAAGTACAGTTATAGAAAGTTACACATGTTTATATACCTTTTTTACTTGCATCAAGATCTAAGCCTGACAATTTTTTCTGCAGCACCTCTAAACCTGCAATTCAAGAACAATGATTAGTGGCAATTCTTTCTATAATTAAAGGAACTCCACTGAGGTCTAATAGCCTAAAATAATAAATTTTGTAAATTATTTCTTAAATCAACTGGTACACTTAATTTTGAAACCAAGCAATAGATGATAGACAAATATACATGGTTTTAAATTAATAATCAATGTCTATGTAATGTTTGGCCAATTTGAGTGAAAAGCGATGCAACGGTTTTCATTTTTTGGGCCAATTTACACAATATAATTGATTATTTCTTGGAAACAGAGTGAATAAATGATCTGACATTTTGTACATGAGTTATTGGTCTAGACATATATCTAGTTATACAAAAATCTTGAAAAAATATTTTCGGTCCCTTCACATCAAAAAACCTCAGTGGAGTCCCTTTAATATTTTACTATCATTCAACAGATAAATCTAATGTAAATCTAATGTATATTAATTACAGCTTTTTCAAGTTTCTTGCTACCATTACTGAGTCACATTATTTAGAATTGCTTTTCATGATAGGAAAGAGTAAGTCTAAAATCAAACAATTTTCTCACATAATTGAGTGTCCTCATGTTGTCCAAGATGGCTCATACATTGTGCCTTTCTAAGCAGTAACTTATGGCAGAGAGAAGACGGAAATCCACACTTCAGAGCTTCTTCTATATCAGCTAGACATTCCTTAGAAAAATATATTGTATAATTGTAAGTTTTCATGATTTAAAGATCCTGTATGTTGTAATTAAGGATGTAACAAAACTTCAGTGAAATATTATATACATGTATTTATATAATTATTCCTCTAAAGCAATTTCCAAACATCCAAGAATATGTTAAATATGTTCTGCAAATGTTTATTCTCATTGTTAGTAATCATTAAAATCTATGCATTCATTTCTTAGTGAAAAACTAGGATTAGGCTTAGACTTTATCGAAAATAGATTTCCAATTACCTCCCTTTATTTACATGAAATGTAAATTTGTTAATATCTTTACAAATAATGCTTTTTTGAACTTACAATATTGATAAATCTTCATTTAATCATCAGATTTATTATATAAAACCATAAAAAATTGAGTTACAGGATATTTAACAGACTTTGAATAGTGAAAATATCTGTCTGTAAAGCTAAATATAATTATGCTTATGAGAAGTGTTTTGCCAATAATACAGCATTCTTGACTATTCTCAGAACTTAATAGTTATTCTACAGTCTGGATAATGTAGAATTTTCTAAGTTAAAAAAATCCATAAATTTGTAAAAATCTATGTTATGAGTTGTGTGCCTTAAACAGTGACCTCCTATTATGCTCTGAAATAAAATGTGTGAAGTTTCAACCCATGCCCTTCAGTAGATTTGGAGATACCAACTTGCATGCCAAAACTTAGCCCAAGTGTGACTCCAACGCTGACACCCGGGTGAATACAACAGCTCTCCCTTTTCTTTGAATAGTCGAGTTTAAATTGTGTTCTTCATGTCATACTATTGTGAATATTTGTCCAAATTCTAAAAGAATTCATCTCAGAAATTCAGAGATTGTTCAGCAAATGCTCCATATATGTATACCTCTGAACCTTTATTTAAATCAGTGACAAAATAGCAAACATCTGATATTAACCTGATAAGATCCAATCCTGTATAAAGCAGCAGATCTGTTCCCATATGCCAGTGCAAGCTCTTCAGATTCTTTTGGGCCATTCAAGACTGCCTGATGACATGAAAAGAAGAATGAAGATCTATGCATTTTTTTGTTGTTTTCAAGAAACAGTAAAATTAAAGAAACTTCTCAATAAACATGTACTATATGCAAGAGCACAATTTTTCATGTTCATTAAAAGGGGAAAGATTCAGCAAAAAAATCAATCTCAGAATTTACTATTTCAATCCAAAAACAAGTATATCCCAATTCAAGTAAAGAAAACTAAAAATAATTTTTGTCATTCTGGATTATCTTAATTGCACTTTTGCCACAGCAAATTGGGTTTTTGCATTCAAGATCTTAAAATAAGCTAATAAGATAAATACTGTCTTATAGAAGTAAAATGTAACATTAATTTTGATTCCTTCTTTTATTTGATGTATGCTATACAGTGTGTGTTTTCTAAATGTTGTCTAAAATTATGTGAAATTCCCAAATCTTGGGGTTGTGACATTTTCTCAAAATGGTAAAAAAAAAAAACAGATGATAGAGTAATGGCCAATTTAAGTATCTACAACTAGTCCAGTCTTAAAGGAACTCCACAGAGGTCTGGAATACATAAAAATTGAATTTCTTACATACATGAATGACCTGTAATTTCGCACACAAGTAATTGGTCTAAACCTACATCAAATGAAACATTAATCTCAAAAAAAAATTATTTCCAGTCCCATCATGTCAAAAAAACTCAGAGGAGTTCCTTTAAAAACATTTGTGAAATTTTCAATTTAATAATCTCAGTATCTGAAGAAAATAAAATGGCTTTGCTTTATATACAAACAAAAACAAAGAGAATCTACAGTTTTAAATTTTACTTGCTTGGAAAGGAAATCCAATTTTATCTCTGTAAACCTACCTGTGTGTATTTTGAGACTGCCTCTTTGTATATCTTTCTTTGAAACAATCTGTTCCCTTCATTTCTAAAGCCACTTGCATTCTCACTTGCCTTAATGTTCAGCTTGTGACAGTTATCAAAGAATACAGTCACCCATTCTATGTCACTAAAATAAATTTGTAAATCAAACAAGATAATGTACATACAAAATAAGAAGACCAAATTTTCTTTCAATTCAATGTTTGTCCACTACAAGCCAGTTTGACTTTCATTTTACAGATTTGTAGAGAGATGGTTCAAGTCTTCAAAGATATTTAATGAATAGTGGTACAAAATAAGAGGTCCCACAAAAAGTATATAGGACTGGTTTACTTTTATGTTCAATTGCTTCTTGAAAGAATAATTTTACTTTATCAAGCATAGGTTTGTATAATAAACAGACTACATATTTATCAAGTTAAGGATGAACTTAAGGTCAGATGGTGATGGTCAACCCTCACAAGATTATGTTGGATTTTGTAGAGAAGGATAACAGAGCTGATGTTGCGCCTCTGCTCTAGAGTTTACCAATAAGTTCACTTAACATTTTAGAGACACTACTGGTGTAACTGTAGTCATTATATACATATCTGGAAGCTGAACTTTGAACCAGTGTTCGAAATTAGCAGTAGTCCAATAGCCCCTGACTTCTAAATTTCTCCTTGGGCTACCAACTTTTCACAGTAACAAGCCCGACCAGGCTACCATATTTTCAGAGGCAATAAAAACAACTGTTTTGAACAAATGATTCATGCTAGTGAAATGTCTTTGGGCTAGTGAATATTCCAATCTGGTAGTCCGACCAGCCTAGTGGATTCAAATTGAATTTCTTACACTGTTGAACCTGTTCTAATTTAGTAATCAGGTTCAAAGTGCGGACTGTTGGGACAGGGCGGACCGTACCAGGGCAGACCTATGTTTGGACGGGGCGGACCATATTTTGGGACAGGGCGGACCGTGACTCGAGATGAGGCGGACCAAGCATATTTTCAAATTAAATATTGCTATTAATTAATTTTCTATATATATTTTGGCATCATTATCATACTAAACATGTCGTATTTATAAGCATTTTCATATTGAATGATTTGTATTTAAAAATTTAAACATTGATTTAATACGGGGAAGTCAAAGACCGGGCCCGCGAAGCGGGTCCGGGCTTTGGCTTGCCCGGCTATAGACTACACGTGTATATTTAAAAGAAAATCAAATAAAAAACAATTAAAAAATATATAGAATTCTATACCTGTCAATGAAATTTTCAGTGTCAGTTCTAGTCGGGCGCCGCCATTTACAATGTAACTCAATGAAAAAAGGCGGGGTATTCCGATATTAAACGGAACAAATCTCAACTTTTCGGATAAATAATAAACGTCGAGTGTTCCGAGTGAAAACGGAAGCGGTGCATGTAATATTGAATGACAATTTTAAAACGGAAAGAATGAAAGAAATTTTTAACGACTTCCCCGTTCATAGGCTTTGCCTAATTTCATATTACTAGTTAGATCTACATATGTATGTATTAATCATATGCACATGACATAAGGCAGATTGTCCATGACAATGAAATCAGTCTGTTGGCCTTGCTCTCGGTTGTCATGAAATTCCTGGGTGAAACTGATAAGCTGGGTTTTACAGCTATGTTTTGAAAATTGCTGAGGATATCGTGCTTTTCGTAGAAAATTTGAAGAAAGACATGAGACAAGTATAATTTATTGAAAACAGTTTCTACGATTACTTTATTTTAACGAGTTGCCCATATGTTTTGATGAACACATCCTCTGATTTCTCGTCTGTAATTTTTCGCAGTAAACCTCTCGATTTTGCTGCTTGCAAAGATTGTTCCAGCTCAAACTGAAAGTTCCCAATGGGCGCAGACATTTTGAACGGTGTTCGTAAAATAAACACGCGTGTAAAAATTACTAGACTCGTGAATAAAAATACATAAATAAATAGAAAGTTCTGGATATTTCAAGCATTTTTGTGACTCAACAGGCAATTTAAGTATATATTCACTGCAGCTAAATTTTTATGTATTATCATTCAAATTGGACAAGTTGACAGGTTGTTATTTTTTTTCTATATTTGTTTTTTTTTAATCAGTTGTTCATGTTTTCAGATTGTATCATTCTATTTCTAGGCTCAGTGATGCTATTGCTAAATTACTAATTATAATATGTTATTGTTAACAGGTTATTATGTATACCTTAATTCTGAATTACTTAACTTTTCTGTATCATCCACTGCCAGTAGGTGTGGATATTAAACAATTATAAAAAAATTCAGGGATTGTGCTATGTATGTATAAAAAAAATATAAAAAAACGGTCTGGAGTGCTGGACGTCACTGATATGTTGCCTTTGAGTAAATAAGGACCTGGCTAAAGTACTGTGCAATGATTGAACTATTACTAAAAACACAACAATGTGATAAAATATGACAGATAAATGATTTTATGATAATTTGACCATAATTGGCATGGCAAATGTGCCAAACGCCTGTGGTTTGTTCTCTTACCTACACAGTATTGGTTTTCCCAGGGTTAAAGTTAGAAACCACATCGCTTTCAAGTTCAACATTATGAAAGCTTGTCGATTATTAGCTGTGAATAGACACCAGAAATAATTTTGTATATGGTCACGCTCGATCAGATCTAAAAGCAGAGTGTTATTTAGAGCTGATTTTAATCAGATTGCATTTATACATAAAGTCAAACGTCAGTTTACATCAGTTATGAAACTAATACAACTCTGTGTCATCTTATTTCTAGGTGAAACCTATTACATCATTCAAATTCCTGAAGAAAATGGCAAGTGAGAGACCCTCTGATGGTAGTGGAAGGGATGGTAGAGAACCTCGGATGCCGAAAGATGTGCAGGGATTACTTCAACTTTGTGCTGGTATGTCTGGCTCAGATACACAAAATGAAAACACATCTTTTCAAGAAATGACACCCGAGGTAAGATTGAAATTTTATGTTATTTCCTACTCTTGTTAATATTCTATAATTTTTAATCTGGTGGAATGCTTTTAACATCAGTTTTTTAATAAATGAGTTCTTAAACAAAAATATTACAATATTACTTGATATGTATTTCATTAAATAAAAGCCAGCAATGTAGGTTGAAAATGTATTTACATTTTATGGGAACGGTACTGACCAGCATTAGTTGAATGAATAATGCAAAATGATTTTTATATTTTAAGTTGTTGCTGCTGTAAAGTATATGTTTGTTGATTGACAAATAAAAATAAAATAGTCATTAAAATGCAGAATACTTAAATAAAAACACAGTATATAAACGATTTGTACCCCAACCGGATCTTGTGAGAAGATCTCAACATCAGTTCAGTACAAACAGGCGGGGTGACCAATAAAACTTTTTAAGACGGCTTGCATTTAATCTGAGACGGTATGTAAACATTTGAATCATATTAAGAAATATTTTTTCTTTGCTTATAGATACATTTATATCCAGCTTCTTTAAATTAATGCGCATAAAACGCTTTGCTCTTCGCTTCGTGTTTTGTTTATGTCAACACACGCCGATTACACAAGCAAATTTATGCCTAAAAATATTTTATTTCACTATAACTCATATCTGAATCTTAACTTTATTGTCTAAACTTGTCTTACCGCACAGACACTTGTGTGGATATCTTTGAATATTGATAAAAACACAGTAAATAATAGAGGCGAACATTCTGATAACTGTACCCGTCTTGCTAAAACAATTTTAATGATCTGTACCCTACTTGTGTTTTCACTGAACCATAACTTGCGAGTCACTTTTGATGATTTTTATTGTTTTTGTCCTATGTTCCAAATTATATCTTGCAGAATATGAAGTTATTGTGTCACAAGAGCATGACACATCTTTTAGTTCTATATAAGTAACCAATACTGCACATGAATGGACCTTCATCATGTTCTCACTTTCCATGGAAATACAAGCATGAAGTAGCTGGTAATACGAATTAGAAAGAAAATTATTTCTTGACAGGAATTATCAACCAACAAATCTTATCTTCATTTACCATTCATTTTTCTTTGAAAAGATATAAAGCTAAGATATAACATAAGTACTATAAACGTTTCTACTATTAAGTTCAACGGCATTGTTGTTAGTCTTGACGTGACCGTTATATAACGTCACATATCAATCCATCCTCCTCGAAAGATCATCACAGGATTACTTATTTCAGCATGTTGAAAGCTTTACACGTACCTTTGATTTCATTATGCTTTTTGAAACACGGTTTTATATTCTCATAGATGCCTTGAATTTCTATTTCTTACATGCGCGACTAGGATCACTCATAATAAATCATTTTAAGGAGTTAATTTCTGCATATTGTTGTTAAATGTGTAAAAGGTAGTTTTCACTCTTGCAAGTTTATTTCCACTTATTTTTAAATAGTTATCAGCCTTGCCAGTGTCTAAGACAACCTGTTAGTGTTCTTTTCACACAACTTGAAAAGTTTATCATTGGCTATCATAAGTGATCTTAAGTCAAAAGATATATATAAATCCAGTTCCTTTCTATAAATTGCCATATACATGTATTTCAGATGGATTTGGATGAATCATTTGTAGTTGAGGGTCTTGGCAGTAGCTTTCGTGTAACAAACATTCCCCTGAAAACACAACTTAAATGTGGGATCTGTGGAATAATTTGACTCCAAGTTTAAACTTAAACTCTTAGTCTTCTGTACTAAAAACGTATCTTTTGTCGATGTGTAAACATCTTTAACAGGCGTTTTGATTTTTTGACATTTCTTGATTGGAGATTATTTTTCAAGTCCTTCTTGTCTTGAAACTTTTACTGTTTTTGTAATATCATTTGCTTTTAAAGTCCTTTTTTTATTTTTTTTTTTCAATTCTTTTGGAATAATATTTACGTCTTTGGAGTATGATTTTAATGTTTATGTAATTGTTCTCTCCATTAAATCTTTTAAAATACTCACAAGTCAGGGTACAGATAAAATTCGTAAACTCACAAGTAGGGTTCACAATCACCAGCAAGTAACGTTCAGTTTACGGAATTGACCTCCTTGGTTAAACTCTTAATTTAATGTTCAAAATACAGCAATATTTTTTGCAGATGACTAAATTATCGTTTGTTATTGATTATTTTAGTAGTTCAATATCACAATTCAATGTTTAACTAAATAAACCTTGAAATAAGACAGATTTTTGTTCGTGTTCAGTGTTGATCACATGAAGGCAGTTCGTGAGTTTCGATTATTTTATAGCTTTAATGCTAACATTTATATTTTGCATAACTTAAACGTTTAATAAAGTTTCTCTTCTACGATATAAATAAAGATTTACTAACCTAACGTCCATAAGTATCAATATAAATACCAATATATTAAATAAGTCAAGCGTCAGAAAATGGTTGACACTGACATCTTCTCACAAGATCCGGTTGGGGTTCAAATCCTTTATATACTGTGAAAAAGTGAAAGCTGTAATATTTTTTAAATTACATTTACAGTCTGAACTGTGTTACCTTATATAACATGACCCTGTCTAAAACGGTCATTTTGAAGAAATTCCACCCATTTTATGAACCCGTTTGTTCAACAAGGTCAGCGGCCAGTAAATTGCAGCAACAATAAAGGGTATAAAAACAAGTACATTTGCACAACTTGTAGAAATATTATACAATCTGGCTAAAAGCAACAATCAGCTGATAAATGTCAATTATGAATAAAGTGTGACAAGAGATTAGAGCAATTAGGCAAATTTCTCTTTACATTGTTAAATGATTTCAGAGGAGAAAATGGTTAGAAGAAGCGTTAGAGAACAGTACAGTAAGTCCAGTAGAGGAGATGAAGAAAGCTATAGGTGTGATACAAGATAATGATGCTGATGTTGATGATAAAGTGACAGCATTTGAAACACTTGTTGACTGGTGTGAACATATAGACTTTGCAATAGGTATATATGATATTATTTTTCTGTTCTTGGTAAGGTGAGATCCAGTGATCTGAGATGTTTAGGACCCGTGAATCTGTGGTATTCTGTGTCATAATAAACTTAAATAAACATTTTGAGATGAAATTGACATTCAGATATCTTCCTTATTACACTAAGTATCTTAAATGGACTTGTCAGTCTTTCAATATGGACAGATTATGTTAGATTATTTATTATCCCCCGCCGATGGAATCGGGAGGAGGATATAGTTTTGGCGTTGTCCGTCCGTCCATCCGTCCGTCCGAATTTCGTTTCCGGAGTAGTTCTCTGCAACTACTGGCTGGAATTCAACGAAACTTTATGGGAATCATCAATATCAAGAGGAGATGCGCATAGCATATCGTCAGCTTGTTCCGGTCCGACACTTTAACTCAGAGTTATGGCCCTTGATTAGTTATGCAGTATGCATGTAGAGTAAAAATCGTTTCCGCGCTACTTCTCTGCAACTACTGGCTGGAATTCAACGAAACTTTATAGGAACCTTCAATACCAAGGGGAGATGTGCATATCGTCGCCTTGTTCCGATCAGACACTTTAACTCAGAGTTATGGCCCTTGATTAGTTATGCAGTATGCATATAGAGTAAAAATCGTTTCCGCGCTACTTCTCTGCAACTACTGGCTGGAATTCAACGAAACTTTATGGGAACCTTTAATACCAAGAGGAGATGCGCATATCCCATCTGTTAGGGTAAGACACTTTAACTCAGAGTTATGGCCCTTGATTAATTATGCAGCAAAAATCATTTCCGCCCTACTACTCTGCAACTACTGGCTGGAATTCAACAAAACTTTATGGGAACCTTCAATACCAAGAGGAGATGCGCATAACATTACCTTGTTTGGGTCAGACACTTAAACTCAGGTTTATGGCTCTTGATTAGTTATGCAGTATGCATATAGAGCAAAAATCGTTTCCGCGCTACTTCTCTGCAACTACTGGTTGGAATTCAACAAAACTTTATGGGAACCTTCAATACCAAGAGAAGATATCATTGCCTTGTTGGGGTCAGACATTTTAACTCAGAGTTATGGCCCTTGATTAGTAATGCAGTATGCATATAGAAAAATATTTGTTTCTGCGCTACTTCTCTGCAACTACTGGCTGGAATTCAATGAAACTTTATGGGAACCTTCAATACCAAGAGAAGATATCATTGCCTTGTTGGGGTCAGACATTTTAACTCAGAGTTATGGCCCTTGATTAGTAATGCAGTATGCATATAGAAAAATATTTGTTTCTGCGCTACTTCTCTGCAACTACTGGCTGGAATTCAATGAAACTTTATTGGAACCTTCAATACCAAGAGGAGATGCGCATATCATCGCCTTGTTCGGGTCCGACATTTTAACTTTGAGTTATGGCCCTTGATAACTTATGCAGTATACAACCAGAGCAATAATCGTTTCCGTGCTACTTCTCTGTAACTACTAGCTGGAATTCAATGAAACTTTTTGGGATACGAAGAGGAGATGTGCATATAGTCGCCTTGTTCCGGTCAGACACATATAACTCAGATTTATGGCCCTTGATTAGTTATGCAGTATGCATACATCTCATTGGCATTTCCAGATATTACTATTTAACACAGAGTTATGGCTCTGTTATTGCCCTGAATATTTATCAAGTTCAAAGAATATTACTGTTTATGCCATGATAAATATATAAATAAAGCCTTATGTCTTCAGTTGTTGTGTTAGTAATAACCAGTACTTGGCGGGGGATATAAATTCAACGAATTTGCTTGTTTACTGAAGAGCAAACAGTGCAGACAATGATCAGACAGTACAGATGTGCGGGATGATCTTGTTTTACAATGGTCACATTCTAGAGAAAATGTTTCCTTAATAATGCATTATAGTTCAGTTGCGTGTAAAAGATGCACTAAAAAAAACAATTATATTGTAAAAACATGCACTTGTAACAAACTGCATTTTTTTGTAATTTTATTGTTAAAATTTACTTTCAGATTTTCATAAAATTGGTGGTTTTTCAATATTTCAACAAAGTTTTGAATCAGAGGAAGGGGAGGTAAGATGGTCATGTCTTGAATTGATTGCTTCCCTTGCACAAAATAATCCCTACTGTCAGACAGCCATTTTGCAGCATGGACTCATGCCAACCATTTTAAAGATGCTGGACACAGATTCAAATCCTACAGTGAAAGTTAAAGCTCTATATGCAGTGTCATGTAAGTTCACAATCACACAGATATTTAACTCTTTGCATACATGTGAACTCTCCCACTTATAGCGGGAGACTCCCACTTTTTGCAGCCATATTTTCAAAGATTTTTCTTAAAATATGGGGTATTTTCACAAATTTAAGAAATCTCCCTATTTTTGATGTCAAGAAATTTCTTCTTTGTTTACTGCAAATTCTAAAATCTCCCTCTTTTTGAAGAAAAATCTCCCACCTGATCATCGAAAAAAGTTTGTGTCTAGGTCAATTTAATTTTACTATAATCCTTAAAATAAGAGGTTAGTACTTGGTCTAGAACCTAGTAACATTTTTCACAGAATCTCAAAAATCTGGTACATTTCGCTAAGATATCAGTGCCAATGATGTGGTGAACTCAAACATCAGTGACATCTGTAAAGCAAGTTCAGAATTTGTTCAGAACAATCAGTGACATTCATAAAGGAGTTCCAAATTTAGTGATATTTGAAATCTTAACTCAGAATTTTAGGGAAATTTGTAAGTTGAGCTCAGAATTTAGGAACAATTATAAAGTAAGTTCAGACATGATAGATGTAAGGTGAGCTTAAAAATTAGGGACATATATAAGGTTAGCCTAGAATTCAAGGACATCAGTAAAGTGAGCTTAGAACTCAGGGACATTTGAAATATGATAGCAGAGTTTAGGGAAAATTGTAAGGTGAGCTCAAAATTAAGGGGTATTTTGAAAGTTAGCTGAGAGTCAAGGTTTGCTCAGATTTAAGTGACTTTTGTAACACAGGTTAAGAATTCAAGGACACCTAAAACTTGACTAGGCAATGCAGCAATGGTTTATGTACAAATTGGCATCTAACCCAATGATCTGATTAATTAATATGATTTATATATTCTGTTTATCTCCCAGGTTTAACAAGGGAATGTGAAGATGGCCTTAACAGTTTTTTGTCACATGATGGTTTCTCAGTTGTCATGCGAGCCATGCAGACAGATATAGAAAAAGTGAAAATAAAATCAGCGTTCATGTTGAGTGCCATCTGCAGTGATAATGATAAATGTAAAGGTAAGCTACCTCTTTCTTATTGCAGCCCGTTGATTTGTTAGAAAGTATAAATAAATCTTTAAACCCTTAATCTGCTGATATTGTGTTGTCCAGCTTTGAAATTGGATAGTCTATTCAAAGTTAAAGAGATTTCAGTATCAAAATGCATAAATTGAAACAGACTATATCGTTATTTATTGATATAGACTATATCGAGCCTGGTCAGACAAGATGTGCATGTAAGCCTGGGCTAAGGTCATTCGCATTAGGTTCCAGTGCATTAAAGATTTGAAATAAACAATATTATTAATGGAAAGCTGATTGTTAATTAAATTCCAAAAGTCTTGATTATCGAGGGTATTCTTGAATAGTAATTAGCATAAATGTCAGTCCTAGAATGATTGAACATTTCAGTAAAGCCCTACATGTAATATATGAGGATCTCAAGTTGGTTGTGTTTCATTATGTTTAAAACTTTCTTATGGCCCAGATTCCTCAAATAACACTTGTTATATAATTAGTACAAATTAAAAGCACAGTAAAGGGCAGTGGCATCCATGACTAAGTGGTTAAAGTCATTGACTTCAAACTACATGCCCCTCACTACTGTGGGTTGGAATTTTGCAAGGGAGTTTGGATATATTATTATCACACAAAAAGCTCATAACAGAAGAGAAAAGCCTTTGCCAGCACTAATTTTGTGCTGATTTCTGTTACACAAGAAGTTCTGATTTTCCTATTCTCAAAATTGACAAGTTTATAGAAACTGAAATTCAGAAAGTAAAGTATACAAATTTATCACGTTTGTTTTTCAGATATTGTATGTGATATAGGTATGATAGATCAGTTAGTAGGACATCTAAGTGAAGAACATAGCAACTTTCATGAACATTTATTATCTGCTGTACTGTCTATAGTAAGAGGTCACACACGTAGTTTACAACAGTGTTCACGTCCAGAATTAAACCTTATCTCATTACTACAACAGAAAGTGCAAGATCTAAAAGGAAAAGAGCAGTTTCAGGTATTGTTTTCATAAATGTTTTAGATAAAAAGATGATCATTTTGCTGGATATTTTACTTTTTGGCTCACCAGCACACAGCATGCAAAACTCTGGTTTCCGTAGTAACAAAAAGGAAAATGTTTCTTAAAAAACACCTCTTGTCAAACACATTAAATAAATTTTAATATTGTGTTATCAAAATGATTATCAATTTGTCTGTAAACTAATGCTAAAATTATTGTTTGAAATTAACCAGCCAGAGACAACTTATCCACTGGTTAAATCTGTAACCAGTTAAACCTGCAAAGTTATATATCATGTATTTTGCAATACATGATGATTGTTATGGGGAAAAAAACAATATATATAAATAAAGTTATTTTTGAAATAATAAAAGGTCTACAAACTCTAAATAACACTTTTCATTTTAATATGTTTGAAAGTTTTATGTTTATAATACTCTGTCTTTGTGACCACATTGAACCTATGGTAAACATTCTGCATGTACTGCATTACCAGTACATGTATACAGTAAATAGCCTAGGTTACAGAGGATGTTGTGACCAGTGCAAACCAAGATCAGCATGCACATCTAGGCTGAATTAAATAACTCCATGTATTCACTTGGTGATCAATAAGAAACAATATTAGAAATTTACGCTATAACTCCACAATTGCAACATTATTTGAACTTAAAATAAATTTTACTGTGAAATCATTTTATTTTGTGGCCATAAAATTTCATGGTTTTGCCACACAGGGACATTTTCATTGGGTGTTTTATTCATGGAGTGTCGATTTTTTTCACTTAAAGAACAAAAATGCAAAATAATTTTACAGCAGATGAAATAAAATGTGTTAGATGGATTGATTGATCTATCTATGAAAATCACGAAAATTAGTGCCCCACAAATGTGGTATTCTGATAAGAACACAAAATTAATGGTTTAAAATTCTAATCTTAACATTTTCTTTTTCTTCCAGGAGGAATATGAATATGCCCTGGAATTATTACAGTTATTGCAGTCATCACAAGGCAGTACGGAACAAGATGTTGTTAGATGATGATTCATCAAAGACTTTAGATTTGTAAAACGTTACATTTTAGTATGGTGTTTTCTTCTTTAAAGTGCTACTCAATGTCTATGTAAATGTGCTTTTAGTTCAGCATATTTAATTGTTAACAGTGATGTGAATGACACCAATTCTTTTCCGAGTGTTAAGATCAAACTTTTGTAGTGTTGAACTTAAATATTAAATATGTAAAACTAATCTTTTTAATAATGTTCAGGATTGATGTGTGTAAGTAATGTGTAGCGGAAAAATGACTGGGAGAAATTAGTGGTTAACCTTGGATTAAAATACAATTTACCTTATATAGGTAATCACTTTAAAATTCAAAGTCATTCTTACTAATTGGATGTCACTTTGGCAGTTACTTACAGTACAGGCTTAATATATGGAAGGCCAATGTCATCAGTATACAACCAAACTACACTGTTTGCTTTAATCATTGTTGTGAAAAATGTTTTTAAATAGTGACAAGTTTCAAACAGGACTAGCCCAGTACACATATTTATCTGGGTAAGGGTTAAAAGCTGTGTAAATCACAATATTTGTAGGATAATTAAAGAGATACATGAGGTGAAATTATCTGAGGTTGGTAATAATTTGCAGGGAAATAGTTATGTACACACATGGCAAAAATTTTATGTTGTGAACAATTATATAATTAGCATTTTCAAGTTTCTTTCTGCTTCTCGAAAAAATGTTGTAATTGATCTATCGATTGTCATATATTTTGCAAAAAATTGTGTTCACAAATGTCAAGATGCTTAATATCTGTAAAACTGAAAATAAAATGTAATAAATGTATTATTTTTATTTTGACATATTGATACGTTTCAGGAAGTAACACCAAGGGACTTCTGATTAGACTAGAGCTATATATATAAAAACAGGGGATTTTCGCCTTTTTATACGCCCGTTTGAAAAACGGGACGTATTATGGGAACGCCCCTGGCGGGCTGGCGGTCGGGCGGGCGACCGGCGTCCAATTTTGTCCGGAGCATATCTCCTACATGTATGGAGGGATTTTAATGAAACTTCATAGAAATGTTCACCACTATGAGGAGCAGTGTCGCGCACATGAACCAGGTCTCTAGGTCAAAGGTCAAGGTCACACTTAGAGCTCATTGAAAAATGCTTGTCCGGAGCAAAACTTCCACATGTATAGAGGGATTTCAATATTACTTGGCACAAAATGTTCACCATTGTGAGGCGGAGTGTCGCACACAAAATTCAGGTCCCTGCAGCCAAGGTCAAGGTCACACATAGAGGTCAAAGTTTAGATAAAAATATGAAGATGTGTATAGGGGGACGATTTAATCATCATTTATTGAGGGATTGTAACACAAATGGTCATTATCATAACTACGGCTGTGACACATGTACTTTAGGTCAATATATGCAAGGTCAAGGTCACTAAAGATGGTGAAATATCCAGATTTTGTCTGGAGCATATCTCCTACATGTATGGAAGAATTTTTATAATACTTTATGGAAATGTTCACCACCATGATATGTATTGCTCCATGCATGATCCAGGTCAAAGGTCAAGGTCACACTTAGAGCTCATTGAAAAACGCTTGTCCGGAGCAAAACTTCTACATTCATAGGGGGATTTCAATATAACTTGGCACAAATGTTCACCATTGTAAGGCTGAGTGTCGCACGCAAAATTCAGATCCCTGCGACCAAAGTCAAGGTAACACATAGAGGTCAAAGTTCAGATGAAAATTTGAAGATGTGTATAGGGACCATTTAGTCATCTTTTATTGATGGATTTGTAGCACAAATGGTAACTATCATGACTACAGGTGTGACACATTTAATTTAGGTTAATATTTGCAAGGTCAAGGTCACTGGAGATGATTAAATATCCAGATGTTGTCCGGAGCATATTTTCTACATGCATGGAGGAATTTTAATGTTACTTTTATAGAATTGTTCACCACCATGAGACGTAGTGCCCTGCACATGAACCAAGTCTCTAGGTCAAAGGTGAAGGTCACAGTTAGAGCTCATAGAAAAACGCTTGTCTGGAGCAAAACTTCTACATGCATAGAGGGATTTCAATATAATTTGGCACAAATGTTCATCATTGTGAGGCTGAGTGCCGTGCATAAAATTCAGGTCCCTGCGACCAAGGTCAAGGTCACACATCCTGTGCATATCTTCCCTACTGATTTGTTTTAAGGTTCATTTAACAACACAGTGCCAAGAATAAAAACTTGCTTGCTAGATAACACTTATCCATAATGCCCCCATCTCCATCTAAAGCTTTCGTAAACGGGCGTATTTTGTGACTATGGCACCCTTGTTACTAATGGCAGAAACTACTCTGAAACTACTGGACAGATTTACTTCAAATTTGGTCTGTAGCATCCTTGTGACAGTCACACTTGAATTTGCTCATGTCATTCCAATTGGCCCCTTTTAGGGGTCAGCAGAGCTAAAAATAGAAAAACCTTTAAACATCTTCTTCTACAGAACTAATGGATGGATAATCACCAAACTTTGTCTGTAGCATTCTTGGGTAGTCTTTTATCAAGTTTGCTCATATTAATTTGATTGGCCCCTTTTAGGGGTCTCTAGGGCTAAAAATAGAAAAACCTTTAAACATCTTCTACAGAACTAATGGATGGATGATCACCAAACTTTGTCTGAAGCATTGTTGGGTAGTCTTTTATCAAGTTTGCTCATATTACTTTTGATTGGCCCCTTTTAGGGGCCGCTAAAATTAAAAATTGATATACATTTAAACGTCTATTGCTACAGAACTAATTGATGGATGATCACCAAACTTTGTCTGTAGCTTCTTGGGTACTCCTTTATCAAGTTTGCTCATTTTAATTTGATAAGCCCCTTTGAGGGGCCACTAAAGCTAAAAATAGAAGAAACCTTCGAACATCATTTCCTACTGAAATAATAGATAGATGATCACCAAACTTTGTAGCATTCTTAAGTACTCTTTTATCAAGTTTGCTCATATTAATTTGATTAGCCCCGTTTAAGTTAAAGCTTAAATACCCCAGGTCATGGCATTTCTTCAAATTATTGTTTAAACATGCATTATATGCTCAAATTTAATATTAGAATATATTGACATTCCAACACTTGAAAGCAGTTGTTTCTGGTGAGCGACTCTGGGCCATCATGGCCCTCTTGTTTTTTTCCCCATTTAAAAAATTTGATTTCTGAACAGTCCCAAAAAAAAGGTTTTTGAACTTCTCAGCAAATGAGAAATGTTATGACTTACGTCTTGAAAAAAGTGACGGGTTCAGGCTCTTACATGACTTACAAGCCACGTAAAAGATAATTTTTCAACTTTTGAAATTCTCAAATTTCCCAAAATGCTTAGAAATTTTTCACTATTTATGCTAGTTTTCTCTCAAAGCAGCTGGAAAAGGCTCAAAATATTTATATAAATGCATTGCTGTATGGTTTAGCCCCTGTTCAACATATTTCAGTCACACATACACTATTTTGTTTCTATTCAGTATCCGTGCCTACCCACTTTTCTACAAGTAACACAGAAATCATTTTGAACAACTACGATGGGCAATTAAGACTATTAATTTTGTAACTAGATTGTCTCAGAAATTACATGCCTGGTCATTGACAGTAACTAAATTGTGAAAAACTTTTCTTTGGATACATTTTCACGAGTTGTTTTGCCTTTTGCTACTTAGGTCATCTTATGGGCTCCTTTGTCAACAAATTTAGTATACATTTTGTATTTAGCCTCCTCAGCTATGTTTTTTCAAAATACGACTGTGAACTCGAGCAAACCGCATGCTTGAAAATCAGGCATCTTTTTCAAAATATTGTGAATTTTGTTGATGTCAATTGTAGTTGTTGCACGTAAGCCTGTTCGAGCAGCATTTTTATGCTGCATATGCTCATTTCTTAATTTAACGACTACCTTACAAATAGATATTGGACATTTGATTATCAACATACCTTGACATAGATACAGGTTTTGTATCGAGCAATGACCTACTTTTTTACATAGGCCTTTTTCAATCACATTTACGACTTTTGTTGTGTTACAGACACTGTAAAACAAAGTGCTCTGTCTGTAGGAAGGTAAGTGACACAAGAAAATGTAACAATTGATAAATAAACGCATTGCTCTGTTTGGTAAATATAAAAATTTATTGTCAAAATACACATGATTTATAAAAGTAAACATATGACAAAAGAAAAAAAAGACAGAAAAAAAATAAATCTTAAAATTCCATCATACAAGGAATGTATATAAGTTAGAACATAGCAAAAAAAAACAAGAAAACTATAGTTCTTCTTCCATAAACAGCATCAAACATCAAGCTTGAATCATATACTGAATTAGTCTGGAGTTCCTTCCCTTTATACTACTACTTTCCGTAGTAAATGATAGCAGGGAACCAGACTAATGCAGAATGTGCTACACTGAGCTCCCAGAAAATTCTGACATATCCAGTCTTTACATATGACATACATGAACTATAAAACTATAAAAAATCTTTGATAATATAATTGAATATGCAGTATATACCTTAATTCTGTCAACAACAAAAAAAGAGTAATTGTATAGCACTTTTACCAGTAGGCATTCTAGTTCATGTCCCTTTTTTTCGCTCTTTTGAAATAAAATATAGACTGCAACTTTCCTGTTTTCCTATTTTTCTTTGATAAATTTCAAAATCATTTAAATTAAAGGAATAAAGTAAATAGTAGCTAGGCTCACAAAAACAAAGCAAAACAAACAATTAGGGCAATATTTCCTACTTCATACATACATACATGAACAATCCAGCAATGATGCAGAGGGTTCTACAGGAATGTTTCCAATACATTTTTTTATTTCGGATTTGCACAAAACTAGGAGAGAGTTTCTGCTTAACTTACTATCAGAAATAAATATAAATGATCAGCACAATGTATCTCTTTTCTTGCAAGGAACACAAAAGCATGTACAGGTGCTATGTGCAACTTAACAGCACTGTGAGTGTATAATGATTTTTTTAACATCTAAGCTCTTTTAAATTTTCAAACAAAAGCATTCTAAATGTCAGTCAACATTGACTTGTCTAATATTATGACTCCAAAATTTCATCTAATTAAGCTTGATTAAAAAATAAATTGGTAAATATAAAAATTACATAAGAAACTTGTAAAATTCGTTTGTTCTTGCATATTGCAAATTACAAAATTTTTGCAGCACATAAATTTTAGCAAATCTGATCTATGTGATTATAGGGCACTTAGATTCTTATTTTAATGCTGATTTTTTTTCTGCTGACAACGCGCTTTTTGTCTCAGATTCTGGTATTCACCATTATTACAGATATACAGCAATAAAATACATTTAGTCACAATGTTTCCTGATTTTTTTTTATTGTGATATCCACACATACTATAATAACACATGACCCCTATCCAGTCCCACAGCTCTTAATGACTAGGCCTATTTGTTATTGTCATAAACTTATAAACAACAAAAAGCTAATAGAAGATACACGAGTCCTACTGCATTGTGAAAATAAACAAAAATCAGAAATAGAGATTCTTGAATATTGATGAATAATGACTAATACAACTTCGTGATAATTACACATATAATATACAAAAATTCATAACTACACAACACTATAATTATCTAAATACTTAAATATGATTGACTCGGATATCAAGTGAATGGGCTATGCAGAATTGGCAACAAAAAATACAAGAGATTAATAAATAAGCTAATTCTGTATGCTGATTTTTATGTAAATTGTAAGGAATATTTGTTTCAGTATAAATATGCGATTACACAAATGCATAACAATGAAACAAAACATTTAATTTTTGATAGCTACTGATATGTGGGGGAAACTAGCCTCATGTGGCTGTATGTGGGAACACTTTAAGTGTGTATGAAGATAAACTACCCTCATATTTCCATAAGTGGGATCACCCAAGTGTGTATGGGGATACATTAACCTTATATGGGGTGATACACTCATCTTATATGTGGTATATGGGAGTAAGCTACCTTCATTCATGGAGTATTTGGGAACTTCAGAAATGTTACTTTTAAGACTTATGATGTTTAGTACATGTATTAATGTGTTGTATTTAGAAGTCTTTCAAAACTACCATACCTGTCAACATTATAATATACCCATTACTCAGAAAGCCTTATTATCACAAAACAAATAAAAAAAGTTTTGCGTAAATTTGTGTACGATGTTCATCACATGGTAACGACAGAAGAACTCTAATAGAATATGAAGGTACAAAAATTATTAAAAAATCACATATTGAAAATAAATAAGTACATAATTATACTCTATAATATTTAAAAATTACAACCTTAAAAATATACTAGAATAATAATAAAGGGTAAATGCCCATTTTCTGATGCATTAACATCTGCATAAACACAAGGACATCTTTAAAGTCGGAGCCCAACTTCTGCAGTCCACTGAAGTAGGTTAAGGGATCTGTTATGTACATTACGCAGCCAACAGTCCTTTATTCAAGGGCTATAACAGTGCTTCTTTGATTTACATATATCTATTGTGATATATCTATTTTGGTATATTCATTTTGATATATTTATTGTAATAAATTTGAGCCGCGTCACAACAAAACCAACGTAATGCGTTTACGACCAGCATGGATCCAGACCAGCCTGCGTGTCTGCGCAGTCTGATCAGGATCCATGCTGTTCGCTATCAGTTTCTCTATTTGTAATAAAAATTGTAAGCGAATAGCATGAATCCTGATCAGGCTGCGCGGATGCGAAGGCTGGTCTGGATCCATGGTGGTCGCAAATGCATTATGTTGATTTTGTCATGACGTGGCTCATTTATAAGAATAGAAAACACTATTTAGAATGGTTACACACAATGTACAGGATGAACAATAAAATTACAAAATATACACAATACATGTACATCAATGCTGTCAGTTACATAATATTTCTTCTGTTTTTATAAAAAGGGGGTTATCTTCCTATAGCTTATTTTGCCACTTTTAACAATAGAGTATTTTCCAAACAAACTATGAGGAATCTTTTCATTATAGTTTTAAAACTCAGAGTCTTCAGCAAGAATACAAAAATATACAATTCTTATCTTAATGGTTTTGATAAGGCACATAACAAAGACATCGTTATTTTCACAATCTTTAGCATGTAAGTAAAATCAATAACAAAAAAATAAGGTTTGACAAAATAAAACTGTTTGATGTGGAAAATCACTGTTTTTTTTTCAATATTTCATTACAATATTGGGTTTTTATTATCCTTTTTCGTACAATCAAATTATACTTTTAGTCTAAGCCCTATAAATAATATCAAACTTACTCCAATGTTGAAAAAGAAACTCATGTAAAAATTGTTACTCTTTAAGGAGAGAAAGATTGTATAATTTCTCCTTTTACCACTTAACCTGGAGAATATTTGAAATGGATTAGCCCTGCTTTGAATATGGAATAGTCTATTTAATTTTTTAAGGAATTTCCTTATCAAACTACAAAAATCTGAGCAATCTGGTCAGACTGCCAAGTAGTGCTGGCAGGCCTGGTTCTATACTAGAAGCAATTAAGGCTGGTCAGTTCCAGCAGATTATCACTTAAGAAAACAAAAACTTTTCCTTGTTTATATATAATACAGATATTCATATTTTATTTGACCTCTAGAATATCGTACTGTCACCAAAGCTCTGGGATATTTCCTTTTTCTTACTTTCTGATTGAAAAATTATAAAAATAAAAAAGACAAATATATAAGTGGAATGTCATGAAAGTTGGTCCAATGAATGAAAGCACTTTACATACATTACAATGACTTATTTTGATCTAATGAAAGGTAAATTTACTGATACTAAATTATTTTTTTTTAATTATTTTTAGTTGGGTTTTCTCGTAGCCCCAACACTGTAAAGGTCATATGGCAACTTTCCAGCTTTAATGGTGAAGGATGACCTCAGGTGCCCCTCTGTGCATTATTTCAGGCTCAAATTGGCAACTGAGTAAAACCATCAATGTTATAAACTAGCTGAATAGCTTTCTTACATGAAAAAAATCCAAAAAGTCTCTGGTGGGATTCAAACCCACAGCAATGAGGGGCAAGTGGTTCATTACTAAATAACAAATGATTTGACGTATTAGATTAATTACATATTTTTTTAAACAAAACAAAATGTCAAATTATGTCAAAATAATTGTATTTTCTTTACATACTTTACATTGTGACAAAGTTAAACAGAACATGTTTGTATTGTTTGGACAAAACAAAAATCACTTCCATTACCATTACAAGTGTAATGCCATTAGCAAAGTTCAGCAAGTTACCTGTCTGAATAGACACAGGTTAATAATGATAAAAAAATAATCTTGCTTTTCATACGAAAACTATAGTATTGTATAGTATAAATATATGACAGTATTTCTATCATAAATGGTTGGACAGTAATAATTATAAACACATATCACAGTTACAGCTAACAGCTTAACTAAACATAAACATCAAATCTGTTTGGAATGTAATACTCTAGACATTCAGAAAAACTACTGTGATCTTCCCTATTAAATTGCATTAAAGTAGTACATTACACTTAATAGTGACTGTTCAAGTTATTGTCAAAATTCTAAGTCAATAATACTTACAATAAACTGTTTATTTATCTTAAAGTTTAAAGTAGAAAGCTTTAAATTAAACAAACTTTTGATCAAACCCACAAGGTGGTATTTTACGCTAAATATCTAAGCTCCAGATGTTTTTGTTTCTTAATATTTTATTCTCTTTTTAGCAATCAATTGTAACCCAGATATACAATTTGATCAAGCTTCTTGCAATTAACCTTCTTCATAAATTTCATCAAATCTGGTTTGGTGATTTCAGAGGAGCTTTCATTTGAAGAAATTATAGACTATGAACAGAAAACATTGACCCTTCAAACTTTCAATGAGCACAATATGCTCAAGTGAAACTTAAAAAAAAAACACTTAAGAAAATCAAAATAAAAACCTTGGTATTTCAACTGTAATAAATATCTGACTTAGAATGCTGACAAATACAGATATTTCGATGACTAGTTACAAATTTTCTACAACATAACCAGTGATCTGTAACCAGTTATTAATCAATCTAGCAAGCTGTAATCCACCCTGTACAACCGGTAGTGTCCAGTTACAACTGGTTGTGATCATCATCCGTGTATTCTTCTGTCATCTGGTCGTGTTTAAATGGTGCATGTAGCTTTCTGTTGCGTCGGAATATAATGCAGCTAATCAAGGTTCCGAGCAAACAACCAAGCAAAAACATCCCCACTCCAACTCCAGCTACTGTTCCTGTTGTTTAAATAAAATCAATCAATCAATCAAATCAAAAGAAAATTCTAAACATAACTACTTTGTCAAAGGAAATATAAAAACACAATTACATCAACCAATTTTTGGATAGTTCTAGCTCAAAAAACAGATATATTGTAGTCCTACAGTTTTGCTGCAGACAATATACTTGAAATAAAAGAAAGGGAGATAATCAAACAAACAGGACTGTATAGAATTATGGCTCTTGATCACTTCAGAACTCCTAGTTGTCATCAGTTTATCAAACACAGATCTCACAGACTTGTCAGAAACTGGCACAGATATACACCGACCAATAAAAAAATCCTGAGATCCAAGACAGATCTGAGACTTAAAAGTTTTTATAACCTTGCGGCCAAGTGGGTTTGTAATTAACTCTAAGAAAGAATACCCTAAAAGTAAACTAACCAGCAATATTGCTTGTTCTCTCCTCCTTCTTTGCGTCGCCGGTAGACAGAATGGTATGTAACATCCATGACCACATGTGATTATCAAACTCATCACTTGTCTTCACATGGTCATATGTCAAATCATCACCACTGAAAATTACAGTTCCTGAAAATAATGGTAAAATGTCATATGTTTATTCTTTCAATAATTGAAAAATATATGGAAGCATATTTCTCAAGTCCAGAACATAATTTTTAATTTTCGCAAATTTTCGAGTGAAATTTTATCGATCCTTACTCTCAATTCTTTCAACAAAATTATAAAATAATTAATAAATCTTTTTTAAACACACACACATAAAGATCTTTAAGATAATAATTATATAATGTTATTCACCTCTCATGTACACTGAATAGGCATATTAAGTAAATCCCTTCATTTTCATAAAAGTACAATCATGTACCCATTTGTTTACTTATCAAAAGTCAGTTACCATTAAAAGTTAATTCAAAACTAACAAAATTCAGTCGGAACCATTCATTTCAGAAATGATATTGATATTTTCTATCCAGCTGCATAAATTTTGCCATATCTTCAGTTATTTATTAGTTCCCTGGAAGTATAGCCGTATTTACTGGTAGGTATATACTGTTATAATATTTATTTCTTGTTTACTGAGAAGCAAATCTGCCAGCAAAATCTCACACCATGTTTAGACAGTTCTTTATTTTTTGTCTACTGAACATACACAGAACTACCTCAAGGAGATACAGTCTACATGGTTTGTATGAATTTTGATCCTGATTCCTTATCCGTATCACTTTTTCTGATACGTAATCTGTCAAGTTATAAGGAGAGTTAACAGTACATACCTTTTATGTTAAATTTGTTAACTGCCTGGTATTTCACTAATAGACTGCCAATGTCCTCAAACCAGGTCATGTATTGCTGAATTTGATTTCCTGAACCACTCTAAAATAAACAAAATTTGATGACAAAAAAATAAAATTATGTCAAAGTGACTTTCATTTCCTTTGATAAACTATAGAATTGACATGCAAAACTTAAACCACGAATCTTTTAGGTTTTCAGAGGTGACGAATTCAGTTAAAATTTATGCTTGCACTATAGATTTTCGACAGTGATAAACAATTATGATCCTGAATATACATTAAAAGTGTATATCTTCAAGTGTTAAATGAAATATGAAGTAGCACACAAATCCTTAACATAAGAAATGTCACATCAATGCCAAGAAATGACTTAAGTGAATAGCTCCATTACTCTCCTTCAAGAAAAAGCTAAAATAAACAACTCATAAAGTTCAAAGCATTGCTATGACACAAGTGGAGCTCAAAATAAAAGATAATACTCTTGAGTTTCTTACCTGGTCGACTCGGAATGGTGACTGATCTGTTTTACTGAAGGTAGAATCTAATAAACCCATCTCCGGAACTTTGCCAACAACTGTTCCTATACTCATCTTTAACCTGGAACCTTTGAGATCACATGTCTCTACTCCAGTAACATTGTCTTTCACTTTGTTTAGGTTGCATACAAAGTGGCCAGTCTGTTGAGACAGAAATAAAAGACAATACATGTATATATAAATCTTGTTTGAATGCCAGCATGAGAAAATGACGCTTAAAGTCATTGTACAAAAGACGTTAACAATGTAATTGATGTTAAAAATAACTAGAAATGTGTTCATAGGACATGGGTGCCCCCACACGCCACTGTTCTGTCAATCTTATGACTTCAGGTCAAATATGTTTTGGACTACATGTGCCACAAGTTGAAAACTAAAAATCTTTTACTAAGTAAAGGGCAAGAACATTACAAATACTGAATAAATCCACAAGCAAATCCCATATGCTGACCAACATTCTTGTAAACTTTCAGGCCTACAAGTCAAATACTTTTTGAGCTATGCATGAACAAGTTGAAAATTGCAAATTTATACTACTCTAAGTCAAGGGCAATAACTCTAACAAAACTGAAAAAAAAATCCACATGCAAAGTCCCAGGTGCATAGCTTCACAGTGATGTTGATCATTATTCCTGTAATTTAGTGATGTTGATCATTATTCCTGTAAAGTTGGTTGATTCTAACTCAAGCACTCAAGGAACAAATAACACAACATAATGAAACAGTCAAGGGAAATAACTCTACAAAAACTGGATAAATCCACAAGCGAAACCCAAGGTGCACAACTACATTGCTGAGCAACCTTCCCGTAAGGTTTAATGACTCTATGTCAAATCCTTTTTGAGTTACATGCGACACAAGTTGAAAATTGCAAACATTTTCTAAGTCAGGGCAATAACTCTAAAAATACTAAATAAATCCAGACGAAAATACCCAGGTGCACAACTACACATGCAGATCAACATTCCTGTAAAGTTTCATGACTCTAGGTCAAATCCTTTTTGAGTTACATGCGACACAAGTTGAAAATTGCAAAATTTTACTAAGTCAAGGGCAATAACTCTAAAAATGCTGTATAAATCCAGACAAAAATACCCAGGTGCACAACTACACATGCTGATCAACAATCCTGTAAAGTTTCATGACTCTAGGTCAAATCCTTTTTGAGTTACATGCGACACAAGTTGAAAATTGCAAAATTTTACTAAGTCAAGGGCAATAACTCTAAAAATACTAAATAAATCCAGACAAAAATACCCAGGTGCACAACTACACATGCTGATCAACATTCCTGTAAAGTTTCATGACTCTAGGTCAAATACTTTTTGAGTTACGTGCGACACAAGTTGAAAATTGCAAATTTTTACTACTTCAAGGGCAATAACTCTAAAATTACTTTAAAAAATCCAGACAAAAATACCCAGATGCATAACTACACATGCTGGTTAACATTCCTGTAAAGTTTCATGACTCTAGGTCAAATACTTTTGAGTTACGTGTGACACAAGTTGAAAATTGCAAATTTTTACTAAGTCAAGGGCAATAACTCTAAAAATACTAAATAAATCCAGACGAAAATACCCAGGTGCACAACTGCACATGCTGATCAACATTCCTGTTAAGTTTCATGACTCTAGATCAATTACTTTTTGAGTTACGTGCAATACAAAAGAGAACGGACACACGGAAGGACGGACGGACAAGGGTAAATCTAAATGCCTGCCACTAAAGTGGGGGCACAGAAAAGTGAATTACCCTTGAAATGTTTAAGATAATATGAATAGGTAACAAGAGGGCCATGATGGCCCTAGATCGCTCACCTGACCCATCGAACTCATCCAAACAATTACCTACCAAGTCTCATGACAGGTGAGTCAAAAATGTGACCACTACAGTGTTAACAAGGATTATCCATATTTGAGCAGTGTGACCTAGTTTTTTACCCAGGTGACCCATATTCAAACTTGACCTAGAAATCATCAAAACAAACTTTCAGACCAATTTCCAGGATACTTGGATCAAAACAGTAGCAACTAGAGTGTTAACAAGATTTTTCTATTTTTAGCTCCGGTGACCTAGTTTCACATGCAATTTTGAACTCATCCGAGCAATTACCTAGACAAGCATCCTGACCAAGTTTGATGATAATTGAGTCGAAAATGTGACCACTAGAATGTTAACAAGGTTTTTCAATATTTGGGCGGTGTGACCTAGTTTTTCATCCAAGATGACCCATGTTCGAACTTGACTTAGAAATCATCAAAACAAACTTTCAGACCAATTTACAGGATATTTGGATCAAAACAGTAGCCACTAGAGTGTTAACAAGATTTTTCTATTTTTAGCTCCTGTGACCTAGTTTTTCATCCGAGATGACCAATGTTCAAACTCATCCAAGCTATCAACTAGACAAACATCCTGACCAAGTTTAATGATGATTGAGGCAAAAATGTGACTGCTAGTGTGTTAACAAAGTTTTTCTATTTTTAGCTCCGGTGACCTACTTTTTCATCCGAGATGACCCATGTTCGAACTCATTCAAGCTATCACCTAGACAAGCATCCTGACCAAGTTTGATGATGATTGATGCAAAAATGTGACCGCTAGAGTGTTAACAAGGTTTTTCTATTTTTAGCTCCATTGACTTACTTTTTCATCAGAGATGACCCATGTTCAAACTCATCCGAGCTATCACCTAGACAAGCTTCCTGACAAAGTTTGATGATGATTGATGCCAAAATGTGACCGCTAGAGTGTTAACAAGGTTTTTCTATTTTTAGCTCCGGTGACCTACTTTTTCATCTGAGATGACCCATGTTCGAACTCATCCAAGCTATCACCTAGACAAACATCCTGACCAAGTCTGATGATGATTGAGGCAAAAATGTAACCTCTAGAGTGTTAACAAGGTTTTTCTATTTTTAGCTCTTGTGACCTAGTTTTTCATCCGAGATGACCCATGTTCGAACTCATCCTAGCTATCAACTAGATAAGTATTCTGACCAAGTTTGGTGATGATTGAGGCAAAAATGTGACCGCTTGAGTGTTAACAAGGTTTTTCTATTTTTAGCTCCGGTGACCTACTTTTTCATCCGAGACGACCAATGTTCGAACTCATCCGAGCTATCACCTAGACAAACATCCTGACCAAGTTTGATGATGATTTAGGCAAAAATGTGACCTCTAGAGTGTTAACAAGGTTTTTCTATTTTTAGCTCTTGTGACCTAGTTTTTCATCCGAGATGACCCATGTTCGAACTCATCCGAGCTATCAACTAGATAAGCATCCTGACCAAGTTTGATGATGATTGAGGCAAAAATGCGACCGCTAGAGTGTTAACAACAAAATGTGAACGGACGGACGATGGACAATGATCGATCCTAAAAGCTCACCCTGAGCATGCTCAGGTGAGCTAACAATAAGCAATTTTCAAAAATAGTTATTTATTTATTTATTTCAAAAGCTATAGAATTGAATTTATTTAAGATTAAAAAAAAAGTGATGTTAAGGGTTGTTTTCTTTGATAAGAGTAAAATTTGAAGTTTCTTGCTTTGTAACATAAATAAATGTGGATTTGTTTCAAAATAAACATATTTAAGAAATGTAGAAATTAGTGTAGTCAGATCATTTCAAAGACACAGCCTACAAAACCTACTTCAGTTATAGCACATTAAAATATTATTAAATGCAATTTAAACTTTCTAATTATAAATAAAATTATCGTAACAGATTAAATGATCAAAAAGACTTGGAAATTGTTTTTTCTTGTGTCTGAATGTTGGAAGTAGAATGGGCATAAGTTGAATGATTTACCATGTCAATGTTTCATACCCCATTCTAAGTTATTGTATAAATAATGTGTTAATTGATACAACACAAAAACCCACTGGTTACTAGTATTTTAGACAGCATAGTTTTCGGTAAAAAAATAAGATATCAAAACAATCTATTTAAAAAAATAGTCAGAATACTTTTAGGTAAGAAAAAAAATCAAAACACTCTATTTCTATCAACCCATTTCTATAAAGCTATATCAGGAATGAACACATTAGTTTAAGTGATTGATATCACATGTTATCTTCATTATACTAAACTAAAAGCAAACTGGAAAACATGTTTAACTTATCTCTTGCCTTAACATGTACCTTCATGAAAAATTACAGAATTTAATCAATGATATAAAATCCAAATTACTCAGTACATGTAGCTTCACCAAAAATTACAGAATTTAATCAATGATATAAAATCCAAATTACTCAGTACATGTACCTTCATGAAAAATTACAGAATTTAATCAATGTTAAAAATCGAAATTACTCAGTACATGAAGCTTCACTAAAAATTACAGAATTTAATCAATGATATAAAATCGAAATTACTCAGTACATGTACCTTCATGAAAAATTACAGAATTTAATCAATGATATAAAATCAAAATTACTCAGTACATGAAGCTTCACTAAAAAATACAGAATTTAATCAATGACATAAAATCCTAATTACTCAATACATGTAGCTTCATGTAAAATTACAGAATTTAATCAATGATATAAAATCCTAATTACTCAATACATGTAGCTTCATGAAAAATTACAGAATTTAATCAATGATATAAAATCGAAATTACTCAGTACATGTACCTTCATGAAAAATTACAGAATTTAATCAATGATATAAAATCCCAATTACTCAATACATGTAGCTTCATGAAAATTTAAAGAATTTAATAAATGATACAAAATCCCATTTACATGTACTCAATACTAATAACTCACAGTGAATATTACTTCACTCAATTAATAAGCACACTGAAATGGAACAAATTCTAATTTTCTTAAGTACTGAACAACAGTATCTCACTCTGGAATTCAACTTTTCTCATTAATATATAAGTTTACTTTATACATTGTCATATTAGCTTAATTATGATAAAAAGCTTGAAACACATTTTAATACACACTAAAAGTGACATTATGGCCATTTGTTCTTTTTCAAGTTGAGTCAAGTCAATTATCAATATATTTTTTACTTCTTCACTTGTTCCCTTACCATTTACACAATAACGGTCATAACATCACTTTATCTTAGGACTAATCAATACTGGTCTCATGAATATTTAATATCTGAACTAATGCTTTACAAACTCGTATTTTTTTTAGTTATTTTTAAAACTATCTATAAGCATATAAATATTTAAGTGCAACAAGAGACATCAGTGCCACTTACCCAGTCATCAATGTGGTCACCTGGTTGACAAGTATAATTATATCCATGCCACGGTATTCCTAGGAGAAGCTGTGACGGAGAGAAGCCCGCAGAAATATACTCTGTTATACCTACAAAAACAAATAATTTACTTTAAGTATGTCCCTTTGTTATACTCATTATGCCTCAAATATCTTCATTTTTTACTTCTTTAGAAAGGACAGACATGTGTTTAATAATGTTTCAATAATGGATTAAGATCATGTTAGATGTTAAACAACTAAAGAAAGTAGTTCTGATCATTTATCAGTTATGTAAGATAGAGGTAGCAAAATATAAACAAAGTAGTATTTTGACCTTTATACAAAATACTTAACTAAATTACTATATTTACATCAAATGCCAAATAACCAAAGAAGCAAAAGATAGTTCATCTATATGGCCAATGAGTATTTCAAGATATCAAAATGATTTTTTTTGAGGAATGAAAATGAAAGCATTTCGAGGCTTAACATGTATTAAATATTTCATTCTATGTTGACATGATTGTACTTTGCGTCTGAGGATACATACATAAAAGATGTGGGGTAAGTGGTTCATATTTGAGCCACGTCACGACAAAACCAACATAATGGGTTTGAGACCAGCATGGATCCAGACCAGCCTGCGCTTCTGCACAGTCTGATCAGGATCCATGCTGTTCGCTACCAGTTTCTCGTCTTGTTATATGGTTCGTAAGCCAACAGTATGGATCCTGATCAGACTGCGCGGATGCGCAGGCTGGTCTGGATCCATGCTGGTCGCAAACCCATTATGTTGGTTTTGTCGTGACGCGGCTCATTTATTTTTGATATGTTTAAATGTTACAGTTAGGTCACACTGATGCAATCAAGATTGTATGTTTTTTGCTAGCTTAACTGGTGCAGGAAAACCTAGACTGCTTCTCAATTTATCATGTCAGGTACAGACAGGCACCTGAGTGAGAACGACTCACCTTCCATAATCTAGTGATTTTAAATCAGCAATGTTAATGATAAGCTTACTTACACAATGTTTTTTGTAATTCATTTACAGAATGATTTATATTCTAAATGTAAATACATCTGAGTGAAATCATTCACATTCAAAGAAATTTCTTACCAATGGTTATTTTACTGAAAGAAACAGTTGGTTTTGCTGTACATGTCTCTTCACAGTATGTATTGTAGCTTTCTGGACTGAAGATGACAGCATCACACTGCTTAGCTAAAGCTGCACTTACATCACAGTTCATCTGATAGCACGGTGGTTGCCATGGCATAACACACAACAACTGAAAAATGAAACTGAAGTGAGTCCATAGTCAAGGGTGTTGACCAGTGACCTACAATTATGGCCCTGATGATGTTTCAACTTCATAGATACTTCAAAGATAAAAACATACAAGCAAAACATTAACTACAAAACCTTCCAAAAGAGGATTTATTCCGACAAAAAATGTTTTTGATGCTGAACTGTGACCTACAATTATGACCCTAAATATAGTAAATGTGTTTTATTTTCAAGTGAATCTTCTCTGTGGTTTTAAGTGAGGCAAAACTTGAAATTTGTGCCAAAAAAAAATTGTAAGTTGAGAAGGATACCCCCAGCCATCACCTTAGTGCAATAACAGGTTAACTCCTATTAAGTTAGATGGACTCGGTTATTGCACAGAGGTGATATAGTATTCTGTATTTAGTCTTAGCAGCTTACAGATCTATATGATGAACTATATTGATGTGGCAGTATGGCTGAGTGCTTAACATGTTGCACTAGTAATCTAAGGATGGCTACCTGCGTGGGTTCAAAACCTGTCAGGAGCAAGTCCTCAATGTTTCCTTGAGCAAGAAACTTTACCCTCATTGGACATGCTACTGGGAAAAGATTGGGCAGTGAGTCCCTAGGCTTATAACTTCCTACACAACTATTAAGTAAAATAATACAACTATTACGTAAAACAAATTCAGTATAAACTAAAACTATACATGTATGAGAAATATTTCCGACACCTACCTTCGCTTCTATGTTTTTCTTTATCACACTTAAGCTTGATACTGTATAGTTGATGATTTGGTCAACATGCTGTGCTGCATGGGAACAGTTACCAAGGTAATCAACAATGTTTATAGCAACTACATCTGCTCTTTTAAATGAAATTTCCTGAAATTTGAGAACAAAAAGATATATTTTAGAAAGATAATATCTGTTACTGGTTGTAGATGTGGATTTATTTTTGAAAGTATTTTTGAAGTATGAAAAATGTAACAGAAAAAGTTTGACTAAATTCAAATGAAAAGTAAAGAAATATTCAAGTAAATTAGTTAGAATATTGAATTCTAAATTTACCAATTACAATATAATGATTTGTACTTGAAGGAATGAGTATTTTAAAGCAGCCAGCACTATAAAGCCAAAGACAGACTGGCCTGAAGTTTTGATACTAGTGACCAAACGCCTTCACAGATGTCATTGATGATGAAAGTCACATGACATAAGATCAAAATTCAAATGTAAATATTGATGGTTACATAGAAAAGCTAACATCATTTTTCTTTTTCTGTTTCATTTTTATGTTTTCATTATGACCTACATTTGTTACAGTTTATTAAACTACACACAAAATATTGTTAAAAAATTTGTCTGTGGTGGCAGAGATCTCTGTACTGGTAAGGGGAGATCACTGGGAAGGAGATTGATGTGTAACATGTCCGTCACTCAGGACTCACTACCACCACTAATATCCATACAAAGAAAATATACATACTGCAGCAACTTTAGTAGCCTCAGATGGTTTTGGAAAATCTTTGACTGAAATAAAAACATACAATATAAACTTCCTGCATTATTAGATCTTTAAAATCTAAATTTTGCTTCTTTACAAACAACTTTTTTACATTATCTCATCGAATATTGCTGTGTAAGCTTGAAACATATGCAAGTAAAACATGATTTCATAGAGTGTTAAAACCACTGTGATTCGGTAGATCTTTATTAAAATATTTTTGTTCATATTTATCCGGTGTTGACATGTGGTTTCTTTTATTCTTCCTTTTCATCCAGTTTGTTACCAATGTGTTAATTAAAACATGCTTAACATCCCATGTGAAACACACATATTAATTCTCACTTACGGTTAGTTTCATAATATTCAGCCAAGTTTAAATCACTGGATAGTTGTCTTCTGACAAAATAAACACTCTTACCCTTTGCTTGCTAGATTTATATACATTTATTATGGATTTTCCCTGTTTTGATATTTTAATCAATTGCACAAAAAGCTGTGGTACTGTGATGTAGCTTGTATGACCATGGGCAATGGTAAAAACCATCATTTAAAGTGGTCATACAACTTGAAATAATCAAGGAACATAATTTTAAACACTTACTGTAAAATCCATACTTTTTCCCTTGTGAGTGAGCATAACACATCAATTCATCTGTAAGTGTTGAATTGATGTCATCATTCCATTCCAGCACTGTTGTGAGAGAATTCCACATCCAAAGTTGGTAATCTGATGATCTATTAGTAATCACCATAATCTGTGAATTACATATGAAGATATATAATTTTTTATACATGAAATATTAAATTTAAACAATAAAATTTAAAAAGAAAACACATACACCAACCCATACTTTTTATTATGTTCATACATTTATGATTGATGTCATTATAATGCACATGCTTAACCTTTAATCTGCAATCTGCTTAATTTGCTGAGCTTTCAATTTAGAACCGTTCATTCCAAGTTTTAAGGAAAACTGCATACATGCGAAGAATTGGCTCAAAGTAAAAAATTGCCAGGGCTAGCCCTGTGAACTCTCCCACTTTAAGCGGGAGACTGACCCACTTTCTGCAGCCATATTTTCAAAGATTTTTCTGAGAATAAGGGGTATTTTCACAAATTAAAGAAATCTCCCTCCTTTTGATGTCAGAACTTCCTTCTTTGTTTCTTGCAAATTTTAAAATCTCCCTCTTTTTGAAGAAAAATCTCGCACTTGATCCTCACGGAAAGTTCACATGTATGGAAAAGGTACAAAATTCAGCCTCCAACTAGATAAAATTATTTGTTGACAATAACATGATTTCAATACTCCCAATTTAAGATTACATTTTTATAAATTAATTATTTAATTTTTCGTTACTCTAATAACATTATATTGAAAGAAAAGTAAAAAAAAATGTAAAAAAGTTATAAGCACATGGTATTGTTTTCTTAACAGCTTGCGCAGATTAGCCCATATTCCGATCAATCTCAAAATCACATGCTGTCAAACACTTTGTCAATATAGAGGCAAATTGCTTAATTTTCATACCTATCGGCAATAACTAGATCGTTTATGTTTGTTATTAATAATAATATGTATATGTAACACTTGGTTTATTGGGATATGCTTAGCTTTACTATATGGCATGCTTCAAGGCTTGATGAATGTATAAAATTATAAGCATGTCATATTATCCTACCAAGATTATTGGTGGATGTCTCTACATCCAACTAATTGTGTTTGTTGTTGCTTATTGTGTGTATGGGCAGTATCTCTTCTCTAGAAGCCAGATAATCTAGGTAACCTGACTTAATATTTTTACTATTTATAGCTCTGTCTTCAGCATTAGGTCAATCATGTCAAAGTACATAATTGGGTAAGCTGATTACTTTAAACTCACTTTATCTATAGACTATACCTATATAGGGTCTATCCCTGGATATATCATATATCACATAGCCCTAGTGATGTGCCAAAGCTTGATTCTGAGATATTTTCGTTCTAGGGCAGAATCTTTCTTTGAGGAGAGATATTGCCCAGACACGAAAACAGCACATATCTTGTCGCCTAATTATGCCTTAATAAGCTGCTAATAGCCCTAGGTAATGAGTGTCTTCAAAATTTGAGGGGTGAAGTGTCTGGGGGGTGAGGTGTCTTGCTACCGATAATGAAACCGAATTTTACAGAAATCCATTAAACTTGTGTTTGTTTTGACAAATGTTTAATTTACTTGTATTTGGGTACAAATGTTCAGACACAAACAAATCAAACCTCTTTTAATCCATCATTCCAGTCTGTGACAGGTTTGCAGTGATCTTTATTAGAACAAGGACAATCTGGTTTTGGACCATGCAATGGATTCAGTATCCTCAATGTCAAGCTTGGACTGTACAGAAACGATAGAAAGACGAAATGGAAAATTCTAAACTGCATGATTATTATTTGTTGAGACACTACGAAAATAATTTACAACTCTGATTCATCTATTCATCAGCTCATTTCTATCTAATTAACACAGGTGAGTCGACAGGTAATTACTTCCGGGTTAACGGTGTCGTGAGAAGATATATTTGTGAAACTGATAAATGATAAAAGCGCCTGTTGACGCAGATTATCTGTCACTTTTGTTGACATGGCAGACTGGAATAGAAGAAATGGCACAGGTATATATCCAGATCACAATGCGATGATAATCGTTTAAAATCTGAAATATTTTTTTTTTATCATAAAAACTTTTCATATATACGATACAATACAGTACTGGTGATTGTGTCAGGAAAAGTGGGACAGTGGATTTTTTACTCAAAATTTAATTGTTTCATACATCAAAAAATTTAGATCTACTTAATGTAGAAATAATAGAAGTATATCACTTTTCCTTGATGGTTAAAAGACAGACTTGACATTTATTATGTCAGTTTTTATACACGATGTTATTTAAGCCGTACCGGCACATATCAAACCTGACAATGATCAATATTCGTACTTCCTTTAGCGGACATGGCGATTCATCTCATACGAAGACAATACAGTGTATTCTTGCATATCAGACTGGCGTTTCTGTGAGTTTTACCCATGCTGGAAATTTCATCTGGCATGGGGCGTGCCAAATGAGTCGCGTGCTGTAGCACACTTGGATGACACACTTAGGATGACGTCAATTTACTGTTATGAATGAAGTTGTAATTCATACATTGTTGTAAAAAATTTACGGTTGTAATGATATAAATTTCCATTGAAAATAAAGATAAAGAATTTAAAATATAATGGAATATGGTAGAATATGCAAGAAAAAATATCTGACATATGTTTGCGGTTCGGATCGGAATATCCGTCCCTCGGTCACCCACCCATGGGCGGTAACTCAACAAGCCTCGTTACTGCCCAATGGGTGAGTCACCTCGGGACGGATATTTCTATCTGAACCGCAAAATATGACAGCTTTTATTACTCTGGCTAGCCATATGTGACTCATAAACGGCTAGAACTCTTGGCTAGCCGTATTGGCCTGTATGGTTAGCCATTTCCTTTCAGTTATGTACTGTTCAGAACATTCAAAACTCATTGAATTTATTGAACTGTTTATCTATCTATCTATCTTCCATTAATGTCAAACCCCTTGCGGGGAGGTAGACACATCTGCATGTCAAAATAGCAAGCAAGATGAAAAGAGTTGTTTAAAAAGGGTAAAAGAAGACTATTAAAAATGTTTAAAACAGGGGGCTGGAAAAATAGGGTGAGACATATCTACGATGCAAGCTATTGCTGCATTGAACTGCTCTGGGGTGGGGAGTAGAGGAACTGCAAGGATAAGGTGGTTCCAGTGGTATACAGTCCCAGGAATGACAAAAGAATTTACGATAGTCTGAAGTTTCTGTGAATAACCTAAAATTTTCGAAGCTTAAGGGAGTGAAGCATGTCTGTGATGCTAGAGGTCTGACCATAATCTAGCTGGATCTGTCAGGCTGCTCTTTTTTAAATATTTTCAATTTGATCTATTTGTGTTTTGGTATGTTTAAGTGGAATGATTTAGTAATTAATTAAGCTATATTGTGCCTTTTTTCAACCTTGTTTACACAAACATAAGTATGTACCCATTATGGCTTGTGGTTTGACATCATATTGGGAGATTGATAGATTTCTAGAGAAAATAGCTTGTGATGCATGGGAAACTTTTAGGTCCCTTAATGGTTTATTGACCACAATACCACCAAGTTCCTGTTTCCGGTCAGTACATATGTTGTCAAGTTTGAACCTTTACCACTGCCAACTTGTATATCTAATTTTGATTTAAACTCAATCTCATACTTGGATAATACATTTTCACTAGGAAGTAATATCCACAAGTTTGCATTTCTGATGATTTCAGCATTAAACCATTTAGACACCAAGTCACACCATAGAGGCACATGTAATATATTATAACAAATCTTACAATCAAAATATGCCACATCACTTAAAATCTTGCCCGACATTAAATACACTGTCGTCCGCACAAAGTAAACTTTAATTTCCCAGGCTCACAAATTCCCACAGGAATTCTTGGGAAATTCCTGTTATGGGATTTACGTTAAATTTGACAATAATGGGGAAAATTTGGAAATACTACTGATTCATATTTTGTACAACTTCAGTGTTTAAGTGAAACCTGGAAATACATGTAGTACAAATACAACACATTGTTTACTAGTTTAGCAAATAATGTGTACAGTATAGATGCACAAGTCAACATTTATTACCCAAGGCTTTAATTACCTTTATACAATGATCTGCAAGCAGCTTTATTCATTATAGTGTCACTCCCTCTTTGAATTTTGTTAATCTTTTTTTTTAATTTTAGATAACATGTTGGATATATATTTCAGGCCGAACTGAGGAGATGTTGGACAGTGAAAATCAATCAAGGGTCGAAGGACTCGCAGGGAAAATCTCAAGGCTTAAAGGGGTATGAATATTTGTATTTTTCAAGATACTCTGAGTTGAAAAAAGGTGCAAGAGTATAACATAACTAGTTAGTATGGATTCTTTCCTCTTATATTAAAGGGATGCACCTAAAATACTTTGTTGGCCTTGATCATTATAATTTGTCACCTTAGTGCAATAACTTAATTGTTATCTCCTATTAAAGTTACAAGGAATTAACCTGTTACTGCACTAAGTTGACAAATTATGCCATTAAATTTTGTTGTTCAATTTATCTGTAACATATCAGTTAGATAGGAAATCTTCAAAATCTAAAACTTGATATTTACAATACTAGAATAGTAAACTTGGGTTTTTGAGCTTTATGAGGGTCCTTCTAACATTTCATGAAAGCACTGATGGTACTGGCCCCTCAACAATTAACTTTACTTTAATAGCAGATACAAAGTAGAATGACCCAATGGCATATTAAATAATTAAAATCTATGTTTACATTCATCATTACCTAAAATGTAATAATACAGTGTTGTTTTTTTAGTTTTAAAATGTCTGTTGGTAATTTCAGATAGCATTAGATATAGAAACAGAAACAAAGCACCAGAATACATATATGGACAATCACATGGTAAGCATTACTAGCCTTTTAGCTTAAGGTCTTCAACTTTCCTGTTTTATATTATGACAGGATAGGTTTTTTAATGTCACAAGTTCAGATGAAAGAAAAAAATGTTCAAAAGCGGGAGGATTATAAAGGTTTGGAAACCAGTAGTATTATGCCATATTGACTTTACAATGCAAGAGGAACTTTTTAACCAACATTTAAGTGTTTCAAGTTATTATGAAACACTAGTAAAGAAAAGCAAATCTGATTTCTTTTTATGAATACATTTTATTAGCATATTAACTATTTAAAAGAAGGTTTTATTTCATTTGTCTGGAATGACAACACCTTCGCTGTTATACACATGCTAAAATAAAGCTAACAGTTCGGCTTGAATTTGACGACTAACCTATTAACACTCAAAGATGTTGCTATTCTGACTTGCAGCTTTTTTCTGGTTTCAAGTTCATATGTACTTTAAGCACTTTGATTTTTACCCTTTTCAGATGGATGAGTTTGACAGCAGTCAAGGTCTGTTGACAGGGAGTATGAACAGAATTAATCACATGGTCAGTTCGGGAAAAGGCAACAGAAAACTCATGTGTTACATCATTATTGGACTTATAATTCTCTTCTTCTTGTCCTACTATCTCATCACTAAAGTTACAAGCGGATGATAAAAGATAAACACTGTTTCAACATACAGACTGTCTATATATATGTGATATTGTTATTTATTTAATGCTTACTAATGAGAAGCTGGATTCTATGTGTGAAAGGTAGTTAACTTAGTCGTATTTTATTGTTATTTGAATATGACAAAGTTACTATAACCGAATCTTTATAAAGAAAAACTTGTTTTTGACATGATTGAATTTAGGTTGGCAAAGATCTCACATGGCATAGAACTTCCAAGTGTGATTCAGTCAATAACAAAATCATGAGAGCATTAAATACATGTAAATAGATCAAGCAACTCTTACAATAAGGTTTTAGTTACATACCTTCTCATATGTTGATTATATATATTTAGCTGTAATGGCTTAAGTTAGACACTATCATTCCAGATCATGCCTGTAAAATTGACAGTTTTTTTTTTGTGTGGTCATATTTTTAGTATAAACTGATTTAAGCACGATTGTGGAACATGTTCATGTATCTTGTATTATCAACTTTTGAGTCTGCTTCATATTTTTGGGATGTTATACATGTTACAGCAATACTTACAGAAAAATATACATTTATACAGGTGTATAATATTTGAATCTATATATCAAGGTAATAATGATGAAAGTGTTAGATTTACCTACAAGGTCTTGCGGTTCTAGACACAAGATTTACCTAAGAGAGATAAAATATATCCCATAGTAAAAATATTCATTTTTAGTTCTCATTTATCAGCTTAAAATGTAAAATTTTGTTTGTGTGTATGTATTTTAACATAAAATAACTGGTATATATTTCTCATTGAGGATAATTTCATATTCAAAGATCATAATTTTATTCTAAGTATTAATATTTATGTTTAATCATTTTTAAAGATACTTAAATTAACAGCACTTGGGATTCTTTCTTACCTGTCAGTTTTTATGGGTTAAAATATGGTGATTTAAATTCCAATAAATTGTTCTTTTTCTTTGATTTCTTTTATTATCATTTTAAGACTTTACAATATCATTAAGATAATTTCTAACCATTCTGATTTTCATTTTTACATCACCTTTGACAAGGGTGTATAACACCCATGCAAGATACTGCCCACTTCATGTTTCATTTTAAACAGACAATATTTCATCAGAAAATCTCATTTGTACATGCAGTATGACCATAAAAATATTTGTATTTCTTAATATTACACATAATATAAAATGTGAAATCATTTGGTGATGTTGTTTTATCAAAGGCACACTCATTTAGCTGTGTTTTTTTTTTTTGTTGTTGTTGTTGTAATTAATGTTTTTAGGGCAAGATATAGAAATACTCTTATATGAAAATTTTGTTTTCTTTTCATTAAGAAGTTATCAAAAAATATGAAGCTATATATGAGCCATGTCATAATAAAACCAACATAGTGCGTTTGCGACCAGCATGGATCCAGACCAGCCTGTGCATCCGCACAGTCTGATCAGGATCCATTCTGTTCGCTATCAGTTTCTCTACTTGTTATAGGGTTTGTAAGCGAACAGCATGGATCCTGATCAGACTGGGCTGATGCGTAGGCTGGTCTGGATCCATGCTGGTCGCAAACACACTATGTTGGTTTTGTCATGATGCGGCTCATATATTCTTATGACTGGCTTTTTATAGCAATTATATTGATTTCCTAGACTTTTTTGAAAGAAATTTTAATGAAATTATAACTTAGGGCAAAATTTTTTAGAACTGTCATCACTAGAAACAATATGGATGTATCGTTGATATTTTTCTGTAGATCAGTTATTGATACACATTTCAAAAAAAAACAATAAGTTTTACTAATGAATTTAATGTCTAGAAATTATGAAAATTTTACCCAAAACATACAGAAGTAGGTGTCCATATCTAACATTATGCTGTTACTGTTATATATTGGAAATATTTCACAGCAATCATGACAAAAATATAATGGTCTGGAAAAAGGTCATGCTTTTATAAACAAGACACTGAAAAGAACATGTTTTTAACTCGGAAATCATTTAAACAGGTATGAAAGTGAATGACAGACAAGGAATTATAGGTAATTATCGATATATCAATATATTGTTCATATGCTTTGCACTGAATGACAGCTCTAAAAAATTTATAAATACCTGAAGGTCTGCTTTGACCACACTTGGTGAAACTCTCATATAATTATTCTGTTGTTAAATCATATGATTATCCTGATCATTGTTTTAATAATCTGTACCGGTTGTCATTTTGTAAATGAATACTACATATAAATCACCATGTATTGTAAACATTTATATGGGTGTTTACCATTATGGTATTTTTAGGCACACATACATTTTTTCTTATAATAATTGGTATACATTAAATTCTATGAATTGTATAAAATGCTTGCTTTTTAGCAAATTACTTTTTTTTGCATTCATTTTGAAAATACTGTTTTATTGTAAAGTTAGAAAATAAAATAAATGCACATTATTGTTTGTTATGTCCACTTAATTAATATCCTTGGGAAAGCCAGAGACATATAAATGTATTTTAACGTCTCTGGGAAAACTATAAATTTGTTATAGATTTGTTCACAACTGTTTTGAAAGAAAAAAAAACACAAAGCTACTAAAATATACATAACTCTGAAGCATTTACAGATGTACATATTTTTGATGAAACAAAATTATTAAAAATATTTATCACATACCCATGCCACTTTTGCAACTGTAAAAATGGTATTGCATGGCTGTGCATATATATCAAGATGTTGTCGATAAAAAAGTGATTTATTTTTAGCTCACCTAGGTGAGGTATAGTGATGGGGCTATGTCCGGCGTCCGTCGTCGTGCGTCGTCAACAATTGGGTTGTTAACAGTTTAGCAGTCACAGTTTTGATTGGATCATCATCAAAATTTGTCAGAATGTTTGTCTCAATGAAATACAAATGGAGTTCGAAGATGGGTTATCTCGGGTCAAAAATTAGGTCACAGGAGCTAAAAATAGAAAAAGCTTGTTAACACTCTAGAGGCTGCAGTTTTCATCCAAATATTCTGAAAATTTGTCAGGAAGGTTGTTTAAATGATATCTAGGTCAAGTTTGAAGATGGGTCATCTCCGGTCAAAAACTAGGTCACAGGAGCTAAAAATAGAAAAATTTATTTAAGCTTGTTAACACTCTAACAATTGGGTTGTTAACAGATTAGCAGTCACAGTTTTGATTGGATCATCATCAAACTTTGTCAGAATGTTTGTCTCAATGAAATACAGATCGAGTTCGAAGATGGGTTATCTCGGGTCAAAAACTAGGTCACAGGAGCTAAAAATAGAAAAAGCTTGTTAACACTCTAGAGGCTGCAGTTTTCATCCAAATATTCTGGAAATTTGTCAGGAAGGTTGTTTAAATGATTTCTAGGTCAAGTTTGAAGATGGGTCATCTCCGGTCAAAAACTAGGTCACAGGAGCTAAAAATAGAAAAATTTATTTAAGCTTGTTAACACTCTAACAATTGGGTTGTTAACAGTCTAGCAGTCACAGTTTTGATTGGATCATCATCAAACTTTGTCAGAATGTTTGTCTCAATGAAATACAGATCGAGTTCGAAGATGGGTTATCTCGGGTCAAAAACTAGGTCACATGAGCTAAAAATAGAAAAATCTTTTTAACACTCTAGAGGCTGCAGTTCAAGTTCGAAGATGGGTCATCTCCGGTCAAAAACTAGGTCACAGGAGCTAAAAATAGAAAAAGCTTGTTAACACTCTAGTGCCTGCAGTTTTGATCCAAATATTCTGGAAATTTGTCAGGAAGTTGTTTTGATGATTTCTAGATCAAGTTCGAAGATGGGTCATCTCCGGTCAAAAACTAGGTCACAGGAGCTAAAAATAGAAAAAGCTTGTTAACACTAGTGGCTGCAGTTTTCATCCAAATATTCTGGAAATTTGTCAAGAATGTTGTTTTGATGATATCTAAATCAAGTTCGAAGATGGGTTATCTCTGGTCAAAAACTAGGTCACAGAAGCTAAAAATAGAAAAAGCTTGTTAACACTCTAGTGGCTGCAGTTTTGATTAAAATATTCTGGAAATTTGTAAGGAAGGTTGTTTTGATGATTTCTAGGTCAAGTTCGAAGATGGGTCATCTCAGGTCAAAACAAGGTCACAGGAGCTAAAAATAGAAAAAGCTTGTTAACACTCTAATGGTTGCAGTTTTCATCCAAATATTCTGGAAATTTGTCAGAAAGGTTGTTTTGATGATTTCTAGGTCAAGTTCGAAGATGGGTCATCTCAGGTCAAAAACTAGGTCACAGGAGCTAAAAATAGAAAAAGCTTGTTAACACTCTAATGGCTGCAGTTTTCATCTAAATATTCTGGACATTTGTCAAGAAGGTTTTTTTGATGATATCTAAGTCAGGTTGGAAGATGGGTCATCTCCGGTCAAAAACTAGGTCACAGGAGCTAAAAATAGAAAAGCTTGTTAACACATTAGGGGCTGCAGGTTTCATCCAAATATTCTGGAAATTTGTCAGGAAGGTTGTTTTGATGATTTCTAGGTCAAGTTCGAAGATGGGTCATCTCAGGTCAAAAACTAGGTCACAGGAGCTAAAAATAGAAAAAGCTTGTTAACACTCTAGTGGCTGCAGTATTGATTCAAATATTCTGGAAATTTGTCAGGAAGGTTGTTTTGATGATTTCTGGGTCAAGTTCGAAGATGGGTCATCTCAGGTCAAAATTTAGGTCACAGGAGTTAAAAAAGAAAAAGCTTGTTAGTCCCCTACCGGTTTACCGGAGGGGACTTTAGGTTTACCCTCCGTCCGTCTGTCCGTCCGTCCGTCCGTCTGTCCCTCTGTCCGTCCGTCCGTCTGTCAGTCCGTCAGACCACAAAACTGGATCCCGCGATAACTTGAAAAGTACTGAAAATATTTTTATGAAACTTGGTATATGGATAGATGGCAGTATGGAGATTATGCACGTCTTTTTCTTTTCTTCCTATGTTGAAAATTCTGGTTGCTATGGCAACAAATAGGCTAAAAATATGGCAAATTTTACACATAAACTGGATCCAGTGATAACGCAAAAAGTACTGGAAATATTTTTATGAAACTTGACATATGGGTAGATGGCAGTCTTGGAATTATGCACGTCTTTTTTCTTTTCTTCCTATGTTGAAAATTCTGGTTGCTATGGCAACAAATAGGCTGAAAATATGGCAAATTTTACACATAAACTGGATCCAGTGATAAAGCAAAAAAGTACTGGAAATATTTTTATGAAACTTGACATATGGGTAGATGGCAGTCTTGGAATTATGCACGTCTTTTTCTTTTCTTCCTATGTTGAAAATTCTGGTTGCTATGACAACAAATAGGCTGAAAATATGGCAAATTTTACACATAAACTGGATCCAGTGATAAAGCAAAAAGTACTGGAAATATTTTTATGAAACTTGACATATGGGTAGATGGCAGTCTTGAGATTATGCACGTCTTTTTTCTTTTCTTCCTATGTTGAAAATTCTGGTTGCTATGGCAACACATAGACTGAAAATATGGCAAATTTTACACATAAACTGAATCCAGTGATAACTCAAAAAGTACTGGAAATATTTTTATGAAACTTGACATATGGGTAGATAGCAGTGTTGAGATTATGCATGTCTTATCTGTTCTTCCTATTTTGAAAAAATATCAGTTGCCTTGGCAACAAATAGGCTTAAAACATGGCAAATATAACAATATTTGTGATTAGTCAAAAAGAGCTGAAATTTTTTATGAAATTGCATCTTTAATTCAAGAGTTATCTCCTCTTTAAGAATTCTGCTTTTAAAATGTTATATTTTGGTAACAGGGATGTTTCAAATATTAACTTTAGAGTGTCCTTCAGTCCATCTGTCTGTCTGTTCATAAAAACTGTTTCCTGTGATCACTTTTTAAGAACTTTTCCAACAAGTTTACTTAAAATAGAGAAAAATTGAAACATAAGTGAATGGCCAATGACCCTTCAGAATGTTGATAGGGTTCTAACCGGTAGGGGACTTATGGATTGCTTGCAATACTATGATAATTGCTTGTTTACACTCTAGTGGCTGCAGTTTTGATTCAAATATTCTGGAAATTTGTCAAGAATGCTGTTTTGATGTTTTCTGGGTCAAGTGCTAAGATTGGTCATGTCCGGTCAAAAACTAGGTCACAGGAGCTAAAAATAGAAAAATCTTTTTAACACTCTAGATAGTGGCTGCAGTTTTGATCCAAATTTCCTGGAAATTGGTCTGGAAGGTTGTTTTGATGATTTCTGGGTCAAGATCGAAGATGGGTCATCTCAGGTCAAAAACTAGGTCACAGGAGCTTAAAATAGAAAAAGTTTGTTTACACTCTAGTGGCTGCAGTTTTGATTCAAATATTCTGGAAATTTGTCAAGAATGCTGTTTTGATGTTTTCTGGGTCAAGTGCTAAGATTGGTCATGTCTGGTCACAGAAGCCTAAAAATAGAAAAATCTTATTAACACTCTAGTGGCTGCAGTTTTGATCCAAATTTCCCTGAAATTGGTCAGGAAGGTTGTTTTGATGATTTCTAGGTCAAGTTTGAATATGGGTCGTGTCCGGTCAAAAATTAGGTCACATTGCCCAAATATGGAAAAATCTTTATAACACACTAAAGGTCACTTGTTTGACTCAGTTGTCATCAAACTTGGTCATGATGCTTGTTTAAGACATTGCTTGGATGCCGTTGTGTCAGGTGAGCGATCCAGGGCCATCATGGCCCTCTTGTTATTGTAAACAGTTCTTATTTGTATATGTGATAAAAATATAATTACATTCATGTAGTTTTTTTACTAAACATATTGAACTCGTTGAAAGAAGTAAAGCAACGCTCACCGGAGGCTCACATTCAACTTGGTCAATAAATTAAGTTTTGTATCTACACTCATTCAAAACATCCTTCTGAGTCACTTTCCTGAATGGTTTATAAGTCAAAGATAAATTTGATGTCATCTGCCTTTTATGTAGATGTATGTACAAGTGATAATTGGACGTCATAGGCAATCGCCAACTTCCACACAAAAATGAAACCTTACCAAAGGTCTTTAAGAAAATAAAATATGGCAGTTCCCTGCATTGTAACACATTCCATTATCAAACTGAAGAAACCCAAAGTCTCTAAATTTGTATACTTTTCATCATTGGGTTTTGATTTTTAAATTATATAGCTCTTTTCTTTATTTTTCATAATTGTAATATTTATTATGCCCCCGCCATGTAATGGCCGGGGCATATAGTGTTACCCTGTTCCGTCATCATCAGTTTCCGTTCATTATCTTAGTAACGGTTGCACACATTCAACTCAAATTTGACATATGGATATGTCATGAGAAAATACAGGTCAAGTTCAAATTTGGTCATGGTTCGATGATTTTTGGCAGAGTTATGCCCCTTTTACTTTGAAAATAATATGAAATTTTCAGTTTCCGTTCATTATCTCCCCATTCAACTCAAACTT